ACTTTTGCATCATCTTTGGTGCTGCCGAATGCTCAATGGTTGTATGAACCTGAATGGATGTCGCCTGAGCTGGTGAAGCAGCTGCTTTTCCCTGTCTGAGACTTCTCCCCCAGATGGCATGTATGGAGGTATCTAAGGCATCGGCTTGCAAAATGCGCCTGATGAATCCCATGGTTCCTGAAATGATGTCTTGCCATTGATGTTCTTTCCATGTGTCTTTGTACAACGTAATGGCAAACAGTTGACAGGCATCTGACTGGATCTGCGTTGTGGCTCCCTTGTTGATTTGAATATCTTTACCACCCAACTGGAACATTTTCCCATGCAATAGCACTTGGTGTCCATGAGGATTGGTACATGGAATGGTCACTTCTTCTCCTTTCATGTCTGTTGGTGGCAGTGGCCCGAGTGCAATTAAGGCGAGCTCATCCGTGCTAGTTTTTTGTCCTGCATGCAAGAAAGGGAGTGCATCAGCGGCATTCATCAGAGCTACACCTGTGGCTTGTGGTCGGATGCTGGAAATTTGTACGGCATCAGTTCCGTCATCGTTGGTGAAAAACCCTGATGTGATTGTGTAATCCTGCGGTCGGATGCTGAATTCTGGCTTCTTCTTTTTCTTATTCCAAGGTGCTCCCGCAAAGGCTTCACGTGTGGTGGAGGCAGCAGGCTGTGGAATGTCAATCTTGTGTTCACGGCATAATTGCAAAACTTCCTGCAAACGTTCGGATGCTTTGTTTCTGGCAGTGATGGTCTGAAGTCTTTGCAAATTGGTTTTCTGCACTATGCTGTCAACAGTGGCAGTGGTCCAACTGAGTTCATAGCCCTGGTCCAAGAGCGTTGTGGCAATTGCATTTTGCATGACTGCTTTTTGCTGTTGTTTGGTCCCACCCCCTCTCAATGCTGCAGTGGCAAAGAGGATGACTGCATGTTGTCTGTGTGGTGATCCTTGGAGTTGACCAATCATGGTGTCCGAAGGCTGGGTCCTACCATTACTGACCACGCGCAGCGGTGTGTTGTGAATGGCAGGTGAGAAAGCAAATTGAAGCAGCATTTGCACTGTTTGGATTGATGTGTCGGCGGGGAGCATGCCTCGCCACACTGGTCGATCCCATTTGATCAAAACCTCAGTCGCTGTAGTGCTGGTGTCAACTGCCGCATTGAGCAGTGCTTTGGCTGCCAAAACAGCCAGTGCATCTCGGAAAATAGGAATCGGGCAGGTACCTTGATTCGGGATGGCAGTGAACCGAAGTTCATTGGCTTGATCTTCACATCTACGTCCCAGTTGATGCAATGAATCAGGTTGAATGCTATTGGTCCAAAACTCTTTCATGATGGCAATGCAAGGCTGGCTACCTTGAAATTGGATCACAAAAGTGTCATCATCATGGCTCTGGAAAAAGTTGGTGGTGATTTGTTGATTGGCCGCTGCATAAAAAGCCAAATGTTGAGGCAAAGTGCCCGGTTGCAATGGCTGATCCAACAGGACTGTGGAAAACTTCGGTTTTGATATGATGTCCATCTGTCCGTACTGGTCGTACAGAATAGGTGCAATGCTCTTGATCCGATCCTGTTTCATCAATGGTTGATCTGGGTTGACGGAGGTGATGGTGAGTTCTCCGTCAATGAGGGATACTACGCACTGATTTGAAACTTCGGGAATGCAAGCTGGCACAGTGTCAGGTCGCTGCATGATGGCAGTTCTTCTGTCTTCCACTGATTGGAAAGTCAACTGATATTCATGTGCCCATACTCTTTCAATCACACTTCCAGGCAGGTCCGCACTATACCAAAAGGTACTGTTGTGGGCTGCTTTCAATTCCCCTTGGAGGAATGGATGCCATGGGTCAACGTCATGCTCTGGCTCTTCGGATGTGTCGGATGCATCTGTGATGGTGATGACGGATGGCGCAATCCTACGTGCAATGGCTTCAGGAATCTGGTCATGTAGGAGCAGTCCATGATCTGGCAACCACACATGCATGGTGTCGTGTTGGAAGGCCCATCTATGCAACAATTCCACATGCGTTTGAAAGCTGTGTAACATGAGTGTGTCACGGTGTGTAAGGTAGTATCCATTGGCCATATCAATCATCTGACATGCTGATGGAACAACCTGGGATGCATGGAAAAATGCGCAAACCTTCTTCAAATCAATTGGTGACTGCAAAATTCTGTTCATTCCATTGACCAATAGCACAAGGGCATGTTGAGTCGAAATCATGTTGCCCAAGAGTTGATTGGCTTCAGCTTGATTTGTGGGCAAAAAACATCCCTCAAAAACACCGTGGATCATCGCAATTTCAGCAGCATGCCAAAATCGAAAACCATTTGGGGCATTCCCATCCGCAACAAAATGGCCAAAATATCCATGGCTTTGCAAAAGACTTGAATCAATGCAGTGCTGTGAACCATATCTGGCCATGAAGGTGGGCAATATGTCACCTGCTTGATAAATGCGTGATTTCAATACCTCGGTTGATGATTTCCCTGGCATGTTCTTGGCAAATCGGACATCGGATGCAACCTGTTTGACAGGTTCTGTGACAGCAGTTTGATTGACCATTTCGGCTGGCAAGGTCATTTTCGGAAACGGATGCTGGTTGTGTTCTATCTTTGGCCAATTCTGCAAAGGACAAAACGGCAGATTGGAATGGACCCGAATAGCCAGCCCCAACCACCTCACACGTGAAGTGTATGTCAGATCCTGCAAGTCCAAAGTTTTCTGCATGATCAACCGAAAACCGACATGATGCAAAGTCCTGATGATTTCTTTTTTGTGAGGGTGGTGATTGAATCCCAGTACCTGTTCAATAAGTATCATGTGTGGTCGATACCATCGGCACTCAAGAATTGCCTTCATCAGCATTTGGCCATCCTCGCTATTCAGTCCGGGTGGATGGGCTGCTCCACTCCATGGAGGGCATGGTGCAGAGATGGTGATCATGTTTGGTGCCCATGTGGCCAATGGAAGTCTCAGGCGTGTGTCAAAAACATCGGCCAAAACAATCCAATTCTTCTTGTTATCAAACGATCCTGCATGCAAAAACTCAGTACCAGGGATGAAACCAGTCTTGTGGGTGATTGCAAACGCGATGGCTGTTGGCAAACAATGTTCAACACTTATAAACTGACTCTGGACCTCACAGTATTGGCGGATGACACTACCGGCTGCTTTCCAACCCCCAAAACCTCCTGCAAACAACTCAGCCACTCGAAATGGCTGATCTTGGTCAGGTGATGGTAGCGGAGCCCATGAGGATGCATGATCGTAGATGTAGGTATACATGAACTGGTCCCGATAGGACAAGTGTTCTTGCACATCAAAAATCCAAATAGGCACATGCAGTTTGGGTGGCTCAGTAGCTTTCCAAATCAACAGTTGCTGGCTCTCCAAGTTACAGTCAGCTGGGATTTCAAGCATGTCCATGTTGAAAGTTCCAATGCCTAATCCTTCTGGAGCGATTTGGGTGAATTGAAATGCAAACTTTCCAAACTGAGGATACACTTCATCAACAGTGATCAACAGGTTGTTTCTTCGCTTGAATGGCAAACATCCTTTCGTTCCCAAAACATCATAATCTTCCAGGATCTTCTCATACGACATGGCTCATTCGCTTAGTCTCAGAAACTAAGACAGGATTGGCACGTGAAGCCTGAGCCCAAATCCTCGTTATAATTTACCCAGATTATTGTCAGACAAAACTATATGGTTGATGGTCATCCCATCCATAATAAGGATCCTTATAATGGTTATTAGAAATCCCTATGAACCATTGGATGACTAGCCCCTATTAATGGTTATCAACCATGAGTATTGACCATAGCTCATATGGGTTAATATGGGTTGATATGGTTGGAGCAAACTGTGCTGGACGGTAAAGCTGGTGAAGACTTCAGTCCTACATTGGTTGGATTGGTTGGATGAGTCGGGGGAAGGCGGTGCCCCAGTGATGTTTGTTGGTATCTGGGTTTTGTTTACCCCCATGAAGTGTAGATATATCTACCATAAAGTCAAAGTTATTGGTTAGGTTGGGCTGGGCTGGATGGTTGGATGCTTGCGCATGTTTTCCATCTTCATGATGGTTGGCAAAGGTTAATGATGGTTGATGAGGGTTAATACTGGTTGATAAAAGTTAAGAATGGGACCCTGTTGGGAGATGGGAGATTGTTTTTGTTCAGCACAAACTTAGATGACTTTTTTGGGCCTAATGGTTACAACTGAGATTTTCTCATCCACACAGAGCCACTACCCTGATCACAGGTTATAATTAGGTTTTTATGACTTTACTTGTCTGAATCTGTGTGAGACTTGCTAATCATGAGACTTAAGCTTGCGCTGGGACCATGAAAACAATGGGAATCATGTGGAACACTGGACTTTTCTGTATTGAACATCTATAGAAAGGGAATTACTCCAGGAAAGCAGAACTTACATGGTTGGTAGTGTAGCAGACCCAACGATACGTCCTAATGACTAGTACTGTGTTGAAGGTTTCTTTCGGAGATAATGCGAATGTGGTTCGTGATTGGGCTCACCACAAGATTGCTTAACAACAGGTTGGGATATGAAGCAACCACAACAAGTGCGTTGTTCGAAGTTCCCATTTTGGCAGTATACCATCCCGTTTTGCGGGACCAACTCTGACCCGCCAAACAAAAACAGCAACAAAAACTCACATTTCAGCAGGAGAAAACCTCACATCAACCGGTTGTGGAAGGCCAACCGAACCCTTCGGTTTTCCCAACTAAAAACCCAGTAAACGCTTACACTTTACTGGACCATCAGCCATAGAAAGTTGGATGATTTACCCATTCTAGCTATGGTGGGTTTTCCAGTTCGCAAACTCTTAACGTTTACCAGAGGGTATATCCCCATGTATCATCATAATATCACTATTAACCATAATAATCACCATTAATCACCATTAATCACCATTAATCACCATTAATCACCATACAATCAACAATAATTACCAGGCCGGGTAATCCCACCGGGCAACCTGTTTTTCAGACTTGAGCTCCATGAGTTCATCTTCAGTTCTCTGCGCCAAGTCGCGCAGTTCCTGGGCGACTTGGGCTGACCTGTTAATTAGCGCAGACCACTTGGGAAGTTCTTCACAACCCATGGATCTTCTCAATTTATATCGCCATTTTAAAGGGCTTTTCGAAAGTCATGGTGGATCCTATTAATCCTATTCATCGTCACCATGTGCTTCAAGTGCCCCTGGCCCCTGGTCACATCGGATTTGGGACCCATTTTAAAAGACACCTCCATAGGTTGAGAGATTCTCCTCAACAGCCATCCGGTCATCAGTTCCAGCCATGGCGTTCCGTGCTGGAAAACCACGAATCCTTCGATGATCTTCATGATCTTCCCTTTGAAGACTTGCTGTTTATATATATATATAGTGGATTTCCTAATTAACATGTTTGGTTACCGAAGGCTTCGTTCCTGAAAAATTATATCATATCCCATGATATTCCTATGATGGTTGATATGTATCCCCATGATATTCCATTGTATTCCCGCTATTTCTTGGTCAACCAGTTCACCAACTTGTTATCCAAATTTCACTGCTTCCAACTATTATTGCTGATAATCATTGATAATTAATCAGAATTGTTCTTTTCATCATTACTATCATTGTTATATATATATATAACTATTATCCTTGTCATTAACCGTTTATGCGTTCAGAGTTACCCATATGGTTTAATAGTTGAATGATCCTCGTAAAACGAAAAAAATGAGTGATGGTGAAATTTCATTGAATCCTATATTTGTTGATGATTGGTGATTATTGTTGCTAACTCTATAATATTACTAGTACAGTATTATCATTATCATTACTATTGCTACTATCATTACTATTATATCATATCATATACCCTCTGGTAAATTAACATAGACCCTGGCAGTCATCGGGCTTGGAAGATTAGTTTCCATTAAAACCAGGCTATCACTTCAGGGTCCAACTGTGAATTTACCAGAGGCTAATTGTATCACTATCAATTTACCAGTTGTGATGATTATTCCCAATATATGGAAAAATAAAATTCATGTTCCAAACCACCAACCAGATTAATTGTATCACTATCATTTTTAGCCACTCCGTTGCCGTCCCAGACTCCCTTTGCACCGCCATCTTCGCTCCCCGCAGGACGTACAGCGCCTCATTCCGCCGCGACGCGTCGCGGCGGCCCAGCAGCGACGTCAGCGCGGCGCGGGCGGCGCCGGGTGAAGCGTATCTGGGCCCAAACAACGGTGGCGCTGGAAAATTTGGGGGTTGAGATAGCTGAAGCATTGAGAAAACAATGAAAAAATGGAAGAACAATAAGAACAATCTTAGAACTTTTATGGGGGTTGGAAGTATCTAAAACTGCTGGAAAAATGGATTTGAGTCCAGAAAATTGATGGACATTTGGGGGATTAAAATGCTGTTTTTCACCTGTTTTCAAATTGAGTTTAGGTCAAGAAAGTTGAACAAATTGAACAATTGGATGTTATTTTAGCCAAATTGAATGCTTTCAACAAAATATGGAGTGGGTAAAGTAGAAATCTGGGATTAGTTAAGTGTTGATCATTCTGTTAATCATGTTAATTTCCATTCTTAATATTTGATTAGCAAAAATGGAGTTAAGAGTCATCAAATAGATCTGCTGATCACCGCGCGGGTACCTATGTTTGCTCGCGGCTCTGATTTTGGAATGCTATAACCACCATAAATTTAAACATCTTTGACCATCCACCGAAACCAGTCTAAAAGCGTCCAAAACCGAGAAAAAACCAGCTAAAAAGTGCCTACTGTGGTAGGCCCAATTCAACAAAAAACATCCTCAGTTCACGTATTCCCATAAGTGGCGGGGATTTCAACCATCCAGAAAAGGTAGTTGTTTATGGCCTTGGCTTTACCACTAAACAAAACAATCTATAGATAATTCCAAAGATGTGTTACCCTCTGGTAATTTAACATAGCTATGGAAAATTGCCATTTGTAGTTGATTTACCCATTAAACATGGTGATTTTGCATAGCTATGTTAAATTACCAGAGGGTAATTCAATGCCGTTCCTTTGACTGACCCCAAGGCCCCAAGCCTTGGCGTTGGTGACCTTTGGGATCCGTAAACACGAACCCCCTGGCACATCTACTTCGGTGCTTTATCGTTGTAACCGTTGTGAAAAAGGGCACATCTCCCAACTTCTCAGGGTTACCCCAAAAAAAATGGCCGTTCATAGACCCAAGTCGCAGGCCCAAAATGTTCATTTCATCTAAAGATTTTAACATCATCCAAGTGGGTAAAATTTGGCAGATTCACGCTTCGCTACATACCATTGAATACCCATTAAATCATTACCCTCTGGTTATTTAACATAGCCATGGAAAATCCCTCATAAATGGAGGTTTTAATAGGTAAACCATCTATAACTGGGAGGCCCCTATAACCAGAGGGTAAACACTATTAAACACTATTTAACACCATTAATCCCCATTATATCCCCTATAAATCCCCATTAAATCCCATTAAATCCCATTAAACCACCATTTTCCTATGGTTTTCCCATTAAACTGAGCCATCCCCTCCCAAGTCCCCCCACCTATCCCCCACCTGAAAGTAGCGCACTCCCCTGGCTCTTCCACCGGCGGCTCCGGCACCACTGCCACAGGAACCGGGCTGCTGGGTGCCACGGGCACCAGTTGTGCGCTACACCGGGCGCGCCACGGGCGCCGGCGCAGCCGGGTGAGGGAAATCAGGCGCATGGGGAAGGAAGTCCTGTGGTTCAACAGATGATGTGGATTTTGGGGTTCGAAGAATCTAGAATTTTGCCATCCTTTGGCAATTTCGCAGATGTTTCCGTCAAACTTTGGGGATTTTATCATCAACGATGGGGATTTCAGCATGAACACCAGGGATGTAAGCATCACAACTGAGGATTGAACTTGACTAAGCCATCAACAAGACTGGATTTGACATGATTTAACTTGGTGTAGCGTCTCGCAATCAACCCTGGCAATGGGAATATTCAATGGGTGAATAATCTGAAAACAGGTGTCCTTTCATTGCCATGGGAAGTACCACAGGGTATATCCAAATGTGTTTGTCGGAAACTTTGGGACACAAAAATCTGATGGTCGATCGTCATTTCCCAGCAATCTAAATGGGGGTATACCCTATTCTCAGACAGCCATTGGACAAATTTAATTGGGAAAATGATGGAACATGATGACAATTGATTTAATCAATGGATTGGTTTGTTTGGGAAAAATTGCTCTGAAACCATGAGTTTTTAGCCCCTCAAATGTAGAAAAAGACCCACTCCAGCATCTCCTTGTGCCGTGGACATTCCTCTACCGTCGCCCGAAAGGGCGCAATACGCCCGCTGAAGATTGGCTGCAGAAAACGACCCAAACTGACGAAAGGTCAGTTTGGGGATATATTAGTGATGGGTTTTGAACCAGATTTTGCCAGAAACATGTATCAAAATGATAATCATACTACGTACCGTTACGCACCCTCTGGTAAACTCATATCACTATGGAAAACCACCATTGTTGAGGTTTAGTAAATCCACGAAGTTTCTATGGTCAAAAAATCCAGTTCGCAAAGTGTAAACGTTGACCGGAGACCGGGTAATGATTTTTAGATAGCATCCATAAGCTATGACGAAATCTCAAAAAAGATACGCGTAGATCATTTATGGAAAATCCAACTTTTGACCATGGCAGCCATGGCACTAATATCAGCTCCAAAGAAACTAAACATCATACAGAAATTGCTAGTTATCGATGGAAAAACCTTACTCTTAAGATGCAGTTATATCTGACCAAAACAAACCTAAGTGACTACTGAAAATCTGGTTGGTGGTTGAGCCACCTACCCCTCTGAAAATCATGGAGTTCGTCAGTTGGGATGACATGACATTCCCAAGTGTTTCTGGAAAGTCATTAAAAATTCCATGGTTCCAGTCACCACCAAGCAGTAGCCTAGACTCATCATGGCACAACTCCTCTGGTCCACTGATCTGGTTTGCGAAATTCGCACCCGATATAGGAGATACTATCATTGGGTTGGTTTAAGGGGAAATCTTAACCGGAAACCCATGGGTTTTTTCCATCAAATTGGTTGGGCTTTCCGGTTAGAAATTTTCCCATCATCCAATTCTATGATACTATCCTTGTTGGCCTCTGGAATAATTCAAAATATAGATAATATAGTATCTCCTTTTTTTTAACCATTGTCAATCACCTTGGATCGCAATAGGAGATACTATTTAAATGGTGAATTGCAATAGGAGATGCTATCCATACATTGAAATTCACCTTCAAAAAATGGAGAAAAATGTTAACGACTTTCATCACATGGCCAATCAGCCAGATACCTGCAAAGATATTACAAATTCTTAGCTGGTTAGTAGATAATTAATCCTATTGATACCAAAAGACTAGTTAGATTTAGTTTCTACCCATCCAGTCGATTGACCTAGTAGTTATATTAGTTTTGTCTCCATCTTATCTCCAATACCCATAGGATCCATGCATGCTATATATGGTAACATTTACCATCAATATGCCCCCAATGTTAGCATATATAGCATACATGGATCCTATGGGATATGTTTACCAAAATGTTTTGTTGACTCTGAGACTTTGATCATAGAGCTTATTTCGTATTGACCTGCCTGTAGGCGTTGTTGTCTTTGCAAGGGCTGCCTGATATACCCTGTGGTACTTCCCATGGCAATGAAAAGACACCTGTTTTCAGATTATTAAATGATTCACCAAATTAAAATGGTGATCTTCCGCTACAACAAGTTAAATCATGTTAAATCCAGCCTTGTTGATGGCTTAATCAAGTTCAATCTCCAGTTGTGATGCTTAAATCCCTGGTGTTCATGCTGAAATCCCCATCGTTGATGATAAAATCCCCAAAGTTTTACGGAAACATATGCTAAATTGCCAAAGGATGGAAAAAATCTAGATTCTTCGAACCCAAAGTTCCACATCATCTGTTGATAGTAGGATCCCAAAGTTTTACGGAAACATATGTGAAATTGCCAAATTTGGATGCTAAACTTCCAGATTCTTACATCCTAAATTCCACTTTAGGACTTCAAAATTCCACTGCTGCTGCTATTTGGAGGTGCATCCCAACTAGTAAGTGACTAACCCATTAATCTAACTATGGTAATGTGGGAAACCCAACAATAAACCTACATTTGCAGATAGTTTATACCCATAAATGATGACTTTGGGGCTGGTTTATCAAAAAAAATTGGCTTCCTTACCACATTCACCCGTTTTTCAGAACATCTAACTATATCTAACATGGGATATAAATATCTCCCACGAATCTAGGCCTCGGGTGCCCCAGGATATCCCAGGGTATCCCAGGGTGCCCGGCTGCAGGCGACACTTGTCTGCCACTCACGCCCAATAGGCCGGACAAAACTTGGGAGGACCACGCCAAGGTATGACCTGCCGAAATATCGATGCGAAAGACTTTTTTTTTTTCAAAAGAAACGCCATCTGAAAATATATGGAAATATCTGAATATATATATATATATATAATCAAATTATATATATATTATTATATATTATATATATATTATAATCAAATTATATTATATATATATGATCTTATATTATACGCTGTACTGACACTCCATTTCGCGTTGTATTCTTCAGTTTTTTGGGCTTGTCACCTTCCCCAGCTAGATCATCCACCAGAGTCCTGTTGGATCTTTTTTTGGTGACCCCAAGGGACACCAAGAATGTGTTGTGTGTGTTATCTCTTTTTTTGAATGGGAACATCAAAATTGTAGTATCGACTCAGCAAATTTAAACAAAAAAAAACGATCCTAAACACCATAGCTCACAGATGATTTCTCACAAGCCATCAATCGATTGGTTAAGACGGGGAACTCAACCAAGGAAATCACATGGTTTTTGGCCCATATTTTTAGGTGGCCGTCAGGTGGATCGTTTCAAGCAAGTCTGAGTTCATGGTTGTAAAATACCCAACATGATGGTCAAACCTTGAAATCCGTTGGGGAAAAATCTCAAAATCCATGGCATTTCTGGTTGAAAAATGATGGAGTGAAAGTCAGTTGGGATGATGACATTCACAATATATGGGAAAATAAAATTCATGTTCCAAACCACCAAACAGATTTAGTTAACTCTACTACGTTCAATGTGTACGATAAGGTCCCCTATATCTGTATTTAGGGTTAAATCCCATGACAAAATATCCCAAAATCGGATTTCATCAACCATTGTCCAGGGCGGCCGATAGCTGTTGTGCACATCCCATCAAAGGCTCGGCTCAATTCATCCTAGATCCAAAGTTATTCATCCCAGAAAAATCCCATAGGAAAATCCAAAACATCACATGATGACTGGTTGGCGGTTGACCTACCCCTCTGAAAAATGATGGAGTGAAAGTCAGTTGGGATGATGACATTCCCAACTGGTTCTGGAAATTCATAAAATTCCATGGTTCCAAACCACCAATCAGATGAGGTTTTTGTGAAAATGTCATCTGTGCTCTTTTCAGAGCCAGAGATTTGAAAAAACCTGTAGATTTCACCAAACACCATGGGGAAATGGATGAAATCCCGAAAAACCAGCGCTCCAAACATGCGGTTGTCCATGGATCTTTGCAAGGTGGACGCCCAAATGTGCAACGTTGATCTGCCAACCAGGCCCCAAACGTTGAAGAAATTCGTTGTTTTTTTCCCATTCTTCGTGAAATTCACCATGAAGTCACCGTTCATCATGATCAGCATCTGGTTGGTGGTTGACCTACCCCCAATCTATGGAAAAATAAAATGCATGTTCCAAACCACCAACCAGGCATTGAATCCAAATCCCACATTTTTTTGAACCATCCAGGTATTGGGCTACCCCCATGACTATATGGAAACCTTTGGAAACTGGAAAGCTCCAAATGATCAACCACCAATATTGCCATTTTTGTTTATCCTATAATACACCCAATATTGCCCCATTTTTACCTTCTGGTAAACTATCATAACTCTGGAAAATCACCATGTTTGATGGGTAAATCAACTATTTCGACTGGGCCATTTTCAAGTTCGCAGACCGTAACAAATTACCAGAGGGTATCATAGTTTTGTTGGTGATATATTCCATTCCATGATCTTCCCATGAAATATTACCATAGTTATACCCATTTATTGCCCCATGGAAAAGCCATATATTGCCCCATTCTTAGTGGGTAATACATGGTAATGCATGGTAATACCACCCATGATATTCCATGCTGGTTGCTGGTTTGGAACATTTTTACCATAGTTATACCCATGAAACCCCATGGAAAACCTCAAGTCAATGGTCATTTCAGGAACCTAAATTGGAGGTACCTACCATATATAAGGCCTATTTTTCAGGCCTATGTAAGGGAATATCCCCACAAAATATAGCCTTATATGGTACTAACGTACCTCCATTTTAGGATCCTGGAGATCTCCACTTGACCAAGTGGGTGATACCACCCACCGAAAAAAACCGCAAATCATGGCCTCCGTAGCCTCCCTGGCTGGCTGCGCTGGGCGGTTTTTGCGCCAGCGCCGCACTGGAGCCGCTGGAGCCGCTGGAGCCAGCGTCCAGGTGCAAAACCAGGTCGCTGCCAGACCTGCCGGTTAGGGGAAGGGAAGTTGGCGAGGGACCCATGAATTTCTATGGGAAAAATGGTGGAACATGTGGGAACATGTGGGAATATGTGGGGGAGAAAAACGAGATTTTCAACTTTCATGGGGATTTGATGGGAATAATAGGGATTTTAGAGGATGTAATTGGGTGCATTACGGGATTTAACTAACAGGGAATGTAGAATTTAGATGTTATGAAATAACATGTTGCTGGGATGCAAATGTCATGAGATATGGTGCGTCTGTTGATATTTTGGAGACTTTATCGGGATATGATGATACACATGGTGTAAAAATATAATTGGTGGTTCCCTTTATATAATTGGTACCCCCAAATCATCCATTACTAGATGGGATTTTCCATGATATACTATTGGATACCCCAATTTATGGAAACCCTCAATTAACGTTTGGACATTAAGCATGAACAAAGGGAAGTGTACCTTCAAAGAGTAGTATTGTATAACACCAACAACTTCATGGGATATAATGGCGGTATATGGCGGTATAGTGGGGGTTCTATGCGATAAATTGTGATTATTTTCCCAAATCCTAGAACATTGTGGTAGGGGTACCCCTCAAGGTGATGGAATGGAGGATTTAATCAACATCAATGAAGGTTTTCACAGGTTTTCACCTACTGCGGATATCAACCCACGGTTTTACACATCCCAAATTTCTGGGGTTTTAATATGTTAAAATGCACCAAAAAACACACGCCCTAACTTGTTGGCTGATCAGCGGGAAATGCCAGCGCTTAGATGGGGCCACGTGTTTCGATCGAAATGTCGTCGGAGATTGGTCAGTTCTATGACAACTGTCATGGCTAATCTTAGATACCCTGCAACAAATTAAATTCTTAGCTGGTGAACATAGATAATTAATCCCATACCAAAAGACTAAAGGATTAGTTTCTACCCATCCAGTCGATTAACCTAGTTAGGTTTCCCAAAATGGAGGTACCTCAAAATCTTGGATGTGTAGAAACTAATCCTAACTAGTCTTTTGGTATGGGATTATCTACTTACTAACCAGCTAAGATTTTTTCGTTATTTGTATGGTGGAAGTGGAATCATTCTCAATCTGCCTGCTGGGATGAGAAAACCATAAAAAACCATGTCGTGGATAAGCTGCAAAAGACATCAATGTTAGCTGGTCATCCAAAACAAACATATACCCTCTGGTAACATAACTATTGAAAATGGCACATTTAGATACATTTAGTTCGTTTACCTATTCAAAATGGTGATTTTCCAGTTCGCAAAGTGTTAGTTTACCATTAGGTACAGCTGAAAATCAACCACTAAAGCTAGCATTCTCCAAGTTTTCTCCTTGATCGCCATTTTCGCAGCGGGTCCCCGTCCTACGGATTTTTTCACCAAGGAACACCAGAGGGGCCATTGGCATACTCACCACCTGGCGCTGAAAGTTGGTGCATTGAATCCGTGGGGCCAGTGTTGGGATGTTGGCAAAATGTCAATGGGAGATCTCCAGGATCCTAAAATGGAGGTACTTTACCATATTTCTGGCCATATTTTGTGGGGATATTCCCTGAAATTTAGGCCTGAAAATAGGCCTTATATATGGTAGGTACCTCCAATTTAGGTTCCTGAAATGGCCATTGAAAATATGAGTTTCTGGCTGGTGGTATATCTACCCCTTGGGAAACTGCTGGGAAATTTGGGGATTAAGAATGGTTGATCATGGTTAATAATGGTTAACTGGTTGGTGGTTTCAACCAACCCCTCTGAAAAATATGAGTGAAAGTCAGTTGGGATGATGACATTCCCAATATATATGGAAAAACAAAATTCATGTTCCAAACCACCAACCAGCTTTAAGATGGTTTAACCAACAAAAATGCTGGTTCAATCAACAGCCAAAAAAAATTAACCAACAACAATGAGGACTTCAAAGGGATTTATTTGGATATAACCCTGGTACCGTGCCGTGAACCCCAAGTCATAGCTGGGTTAAAATGGATGTTCATCCCCCGAAAAAAACGCTGGTATCTCTAGGGATTGATCCATAGCCATTTAGCTGTGTCTTAAAATCATTGAATTTGGGGGTACCCTCTGGTGAACCAGATGTTTTTGATGATTTCTGATGATTTTATGATGTTTTTTCAGCTCTTTTGAAATGATGTACCCTCTGGTGAACATACAAAAAGCTATTGAAAATGGCCCAGTCGAAATAGTGGATTTTCCCATTAATAGCATGGTGGATCTTTCCATAGAATTTTGTTAGTTCACCAGAGGGTATCCCCAAATCCACTAGTTGATCATCATCTTCCCTTTTTTTTCTATTGCCATGTTGGAGGTTCAAACCACTTTGTGGCTGTACAAACCACTGTGGGGGGCAGCAAGCCATTTTCAGACAATCAAACCATTCAAACCATGCCCTTTTGATCATCCCAATTATGAACAGAACGGATGACAACATGATTGGCCCATAGGCCCATAGTGATACCAGGGATCATATTCTGGCACTGAAATTGAGCGAGAGTCCATTGTTGGTTTCGATCTTTCGCCAAGAAATCGCACAAAATTTAGCTTGATCATCGCAAATTGGCAGGGACAAGTAATCACCAGCGCGGAAGAGCACAATTAAAACACAATGCAAAAGTCTTCATACATCCAAGTTCCTGGGAAATTCTTCTTAGAATTATCTAGTTGAAACAACTACAGAAATGAAAATCCTCAATGTGCAACAGGAACAACATTTTCCCGGGAGCAATTTGCTATGAACTGAACCTTGGTAGTTTCAAGTCGTGGCTAAACTCAAAAACACCCAAAAAAATCAACTATAAGTACATCAACTAGGTACAGAATTTTCCAACATCTATAATCTGAAACGGCGCCATTATGCACCAATCACCCGCCATTCACATATCTTTGGTTCTTATGGTTCTTTGACCCATGACATAAATCTGATTAATCTATGGTGATTAGATGTGATTAGGTTTATTAAGCGCTATTCAACAGGTGCTTCCCAAAATAGGAGAACCCCAAAACCATTGGTCTCCTATGACAATGTGTGAAAATGATCAACTTCGAATGATCTGAATGGGTCCCCCGTTTTTGGAAATTCCCAATTTACATATATGTACCCTCCTGATCCCTCCTGTAAACTAACAGTTCAATGTGGAAAAGCCACAAAGTAGATCATTTTCCCCGGGAAACCGTTGGTTTTCCACATAGACCCCAACCCTAAACCCTAACGGCTGCGCACCGGGCGCTGCGCGCGCACCGCCACGCGGCGAAGCTTCAGAGACAGAGGCGCGCATTGAGGGCTGGCCACAAGCAGTTTGATGGGACTGGCCTGCAAGGCAGCACTTGGTGGTTCATCCCACATAGTAAGTGGGTTCTATGCCTAGTTATAAGTGGGATAAGTACAGGATGGTGCCCCCCAGTTATAAGTGGGTTTATAAACCCCATTAACTATAGTTGTATCTGGCATAAACCATAGTTATGGGACTTATAAACCAACTTAGCTAACTATGGGGCACCACCTTGTATGGATAAGTAGGGTAAATCCACATCAATCACTGGTGTTTTTTTTCGCCACGAGCCGTGAGATCAACCAGCGATGTCTTTTCGTCTAATGTGAGGTGGTAAAGCCAATGGGTAAAGCCAATGATGTGGTGAAGCCATTCATAAATCTTGTGATGTGGAAGAGCAACCCTGTGTATACCCAATTTACTCATTACTTTGTGGATTTTTTCAGAAGACTAATGTGATCTACAGTAATTTGGTAGACCCAGTAATAAACCTCCCATGTGGCCACCCATGTATGGTCATTGTGGGGATGGTTGATAATTGGCTTTACTACAGTGTATTGATCTTCTGGACTTGACATTTGTTTAAAGCACATATCGTATCCACGTTTCATCGGCAGAGGAACACTAGGGATCTCCACCTATCTTCGCGCAGCTCCAAAACAGCTCCTTAAAAAATATGACAAGCAACGGGGGCCGGGGATCGGCCCGGGTAACATTTCAAACCAAAAAACGAATGGTTTTGTCAAAAAGCTTAAGCAGCTGCCTAGTAGGTCTCCAGCAACAAACTGTGAAACAGCGGCGGAGGCTATTTGTCTCGCATTCATCTTAAAATGTTGATCAGAAACTGCAAATCATAGGCTGCTAATGCATACACCGCCACATGAAAGACTAAGAAGGCCACTTGGCAATGAAACTCCTACCTCGGCAATTCAAAGCTTATCTCCGAAGGTCAAGCTTTGAAGAGTCTTGGAAAGGTCAATCCTTCGAGGCTCCGATCGAAAAATCTCCGAAGGTCAAGCTTTGAAGACTGCTTGGAAAGGTCACTCCTCCCAGCCCCTGGTCAAAAAAATGGCCAAAGGTCAAGCTTTCAAAACTGCTTGGAAAAGTCACTACTTCAAGGCTCTGGTCGAAATCATCTCCAAAGGTCAAGTTTTGAAGACTGCTTGGAAGGGTCACTCCTTCGAGGCTCTGATTGAACCGTAATCCAAACGTCAAGCTTTGAAGACTGATTGGAAAGGTCACTCCTTCGAGGCTTTGGTTGAACACATCGCCAAACGTCAAGCTTTGAAGACTGCTTGGAAAGGTCACTCCTTCGAGGCTTTGGTGGAACCGTAATCCAAAGGTCAAGTTTTGAAGACTGCTTGGAAGGGTCACTCCTTCGAGGCTCTGATTGAACCCATTGCCAAACGTCAATCTTCGAAGGCTGCTTGGAAAGGTCACTCCTTCACGCCCTGGTCAAAAAGATCGCCCAAGGTCAAGCTTCGAAGACTGCTTGGAAAGGTCAATCCTTCCAGGCTCTCGTCGAAAAAATCGCCAAAGGTCAGGCTTTGAAGACTGCATGGAAAGGTCACTCCTTCAAGGCTCTGGTTAAACAATGTTCCAAAGGTCAAGTTTTGAAGACTGCTTGGAAAGGTCACTCCACCCAGGCTCTGGTGGCAGAAAATACCAAAGGTCATGCTTTGAAGACTGCTTGGAAAGGTCACTCCTTCGAGGCTCTGGTTGAAATCATCTCCGAAGGTCAAGCTTTGAAGACTGCTTGGAAAGATCACTCCTTTCAAGTCCTTGTCAAAAAAATTGCCAAAGGTCAAGCTTCGAAGAGTGCTTGGAAGGGTCACTCCTTTCAGGCTCTGGTTGAACACATTGCCAAACGTCAAGCTTTGAAGACTGCTTGGAAAGGTCACTCCTTCCAGATTGTGGTTGAACCAATAGCCCAAGGTCAAGCTTTGAAGACGGCTTGGAAAGGTCACTCCTTGGAGGGTCTGGTTAAACCGCAATCCAAAAGTCAAGTTTTCGAGGCTCGAAGGGAGGTTGTACAAGTACTCCCCATCGGATGCCCCTAGCATCTCAGTCAGACCCTCCAATGCAAACTCTTCCTCAACTCCTCCGAAAAGGCCCCAGGCATAGCGCCATGCAGCACACATATCTGTAGGAACATAAGTGCAGGAAAGCGTCATGTCCTGACCTTCAATGCCCTGCTCCTGCAGCGTTTGGCCGAGCACAAGCGGTGAAGCAAGGTACTGCAGTGCAAGTCTCCCCCTCTCTTTGGAAGTTGCTCCAAAACCATCTGCCGCACTTCCCGGCCCAAGGTGGAAGGAGGGAGGGTCAACTTGCAACCTTCACCATTCAGGCAGAGCACTTGAAGGCTAATCATTTCACAGCCATCAGTGGCATCAGCTGATGGCTCCAAGCAGACACTCATGGCCTCTTTGGGCTGAGCAGAAATTGAGTCAATGCTGGGCCCAAATGTTGCAGGCAAAGGTTGAACCTCGTTATAGCAAGTTGTGTTTAACCTCGTCAAGTCAACTCACTTCTCGTCTCATGGGTCCTCAACTTCTCATGGAAAAATCGTCACCGCACGCCCAAAATCTTCCATTCCAAATCGCAGCTCCAATCATCGAACCAAAATCACACTTTGAAGAGCAGAGACATCCCACAGTGACCCCATAAGACAAGGGCAAGTGGGAAGTGTGACCCACAACTCCTTCACCCATTTTGATTAGTGGGATATACCCCAGTTCTACCTGGATAATTAACCACAAAACAAACAATATTCAGGCAGTTAGGTATTATTAACAAGTGTCCTTTGTTTTGTTTCTATATAGTTCCTCAGTTATGAACCATTTACCATGTTTTATCAACTATATCCCCTTATTACCCTCTGGTAAACTAACATAACTATTGAAAATAACCAATTTTCATGGATGACCAACTATTTCTATGGCCATTTTCCAGTTCGCAAACTGTTAGTTTACCAGAGGGTATCATAGTTTTACCATGTTTTACCCTTCTTGTGCAGATAAACATCCCATAGTTACCCCCTTGATCCATCCCATCTCCTCGGCTGGAAAGGCCGGATCGTGACCTGAGCTGATAGCGTTGCAGCTTGACAAAGAAATCGCTTCCATGTTTGATGCAAGAAAAGGTGTTGGGAAATGGTGTGTATTTATTGGTGCATACATAGTGTGTATATATATATATATAGTGTATATATATGTGTGTGTGTTTTAATATTTGTTTTCACGTATATTTATACTTAAAGAAAGACTTATTCTCTTGCGGGTATAGAAAAACACATAGTTTCCCAAGTCATGGGGGTACCCCAAATCATCCAAGTCACGAAACGACCATTTCACTTGGGGATCCAACAACTGGAAAGGAGGCCGTCGAGAGACGGCCGTTACATTATTAGAGTCGACTGGGATCATGGTTCATCCTGTCTTAGTAGATACACAACATATATATATATATACATTATATATATATATATTATATATATACATTATATATATATATACATTATATATATACATTATATATATATACATGTACGGATCTAAGATGATGTAACGAAGAAAACTGAATGTGGTATTTTATGTATGCTAGCTATGTCAGTTTGTAGGTCTAAAAGTAAGTTGACAATCGGATCCGTGGTAGGTACATCTATGCATAGTTTGATGGGTTTAAGAGTCGGAGGAACCAGGGTCATGTCATCAAGAAGCTGGTTGAACAATTGGGTTGTGTTCCCATATCACTGGGTAATACTGGGTATGTCATCAGTGAACTAAGCCACTTGCCATGTGTTTGAACCTAGGGTTTCTGCCTAATCTAAAAGTGCCAGCTGCTGACCATGTCTGAACCAATTTCACAAAGTGTGAATCCTGTGAGTTTTCCAAAAGAGGTGAAAGACGTTGAAATGGGTCATGATTTTCTAGACTTGGCATTGGCACCTCTTATTTGTTTAATGAACGTATTCAATCCCCGTTTCATGGGTGGAGAAAGAGGAGGGATCTTCACCTATCTTCGCCCGGCTCCGAAACAGCTCCTTTAAAAAATAGGAGGATCAAGCGGGATCAGCCCAACCAACTTAAGATCTTAAGCAGCTGTCTAGTAGGTCTCCAGCAGCAAACTGTGCAACAGCGGCGGAGGTTATTTGTCTCGCATTCATCTTAAAATGTTGATCAGAAACTGCAAATCATAGGCTGCTAATGCATACACCGCCACATGAAAGACTAAGAAGGCCACTTGGCAATGAAACTCCTACCTCGGCAACTGAGAACTTATGGCCGAAAGTCAAGCTTTGAAGAGTGCTTGGAAAGGTCACTCCTTTCAGGCCCTGGCGAAAATCATCTCCAAAGGTCAAACTTTGAAGACTGCCTGGAAAAGTCACTCCTGTCAGGCTCCGATTGAAGATACGTCCAAATGTCAAGCTTTCAAGACTGCCTGGAAAAGTGACTCCTTCCAGTGGCTTGTTGAACCCGTCGCCAAAGGTCAAGCTTTGAAGACTGCTTGGAAAGGTCACTCCTTTCAGGCTCTGGTTGAAAGAATATCCGAAGGTCAAGCATTGAAGCCTGTCTGGAAAAGTGACTACTTCCACGCTCATGTTGAAATCATGTCCGAAGGTCAAGCTTTGAAGACTGTCTGGAAAAGTCACTTCTGTCAGGCTCTGGTTGAAGGTACGTCCAAATGTCAAGCTTTCAAGACTGCCTGGAAAAGTGACACCTTCCAGCGGCTTGTTGAACCCATCACCAAATGTCAAGCTTTGAAGACTACCTGGAAAAGTGACTCCTTCCAGTAGCTTGTTGAACCCATCACCAAAGGTCAAGTTTTGAAGTCTGCTTGGAAGGGTCTCTGCTTTCAGTCTATTGTTGAACCAATCGTTTAGCGTCAAGCTTTGAAGACTGCTTGGAAAGGTTACTCTTGCCAGGCTCTGGTAGAACCTAGAGCGAAACGTGAAGCTTTGAAGGTTGCTTGGAAAGGTCACTCCTTCCAGGCTCTGGCAAAACCTAGAGCCAAAGGTCAAGCTTTGAAGACTGCTCGGAAAAGTGATTCCTTCCAATGGCTTGTTGAACTGATCGCCAAAGGTCAAGCTTTGAAGACTGCTTGGCAAGGTAATTCCTTCCAGATTCTGGTTGGAGAAAAGGCCGGTTAAGCTTTGAAGACTGCTCGGAAATGTCATTCCTTCAAGGTTTTGGTCGAAATCATTTGAGAAGGCCAAGCTTTGAAGGCTTTTTGGAAAGGCCACTCCTTTCAGGCTCTGGCGAAAATCATCTCCAAAGGTCAAGCTTTGAAGATTGCCTGGAAAAGTGACTCCTTCCAGGCTCTGGTTGAATCGATCACCAAAGGTTAAGCTTCGAAGAGTGCTTGGAAAGGTCACTCCTTCCAGGCTCTGGTTGAAAAAATTGCCAAAGGTCAAGCTTTGAAGACTGCTTGGAAACGTGACTCCTTCCAGGCTCTGGTTGAATCGAGCACCAAAGGTTAAGCTTTGAAGAGTGCTTGGAAAAGTCACTCCTTCCAGGCTCTGTTTGAAAAAATTGCCAAAGGTCAAGCTTTGAAGACTGCTTGGAAGGGTCACTCCTTTCAGGCTCTGGTTGAACACATTGCCAAACGTCAAGCTTTGAAGACTGCTTGGAAAGGTCACTCCTTCCAGATTGTGGTTGAACCAATAGCCCAAGGTCAAGCTTTGAAGACGGCTTGGAAAGGTCACTCCTTGGAGGGTCTGGTTAAACCGCAATCCAAAAGTCAAGTTTTCGAGGCTCGAAGGGAGGTTGTACAAGTACTCCCCATCGGATGCCCCTAGCATCTCAGTCAGACCCTCCAATGCAAACTCTTCCTCAATTCCTCCGAAAAGGCCCGAGGCATAGCGCCATGCAGCACACATATCTGTAGGAACATAAGTGCAGGAAAGCGTCACGTCCTGACCTTCAATGCCCTGCTCCTGCAACGTTTGGCCGAGCACAAGCGGTGAAGCAAGGTACTGCAGTGCAAGTCTCCCCCCTCTCTTTGGCGGAAGTTGCTCCAAAACCATCTGCCGCACTTCCCGGCCCAAGGTGGAAGGAGGGAGGGTCAACTTGCAACCTTCACCATTCAGGCAAAGCACATGAAGGTTAATCATTTCGGAGCCACCAGCTGATGGCTCCAGGTAGCCACTCATAGCCTCTTTGGGCTGGGCAGAAGGCTGGGGCGAAAATTTGCGGGAAAAGGTTGAATACCCTCTGGTAAATTCACATAACTATGGAAAATTACCATGTTGAATGGGAAAATCGACGAACTAAATGGTGATTTTCCATAGTTATGTTAGTTTACCAGATGGTATATGAGCCATGGTCAATACTCACTATATGGTTGATGGTCATCCCATCCATAATAAGGATCCTTATAATGGTTATTATAAATCCCTATAAACCATTGGATGACTAGCCCCTATTAATGGTTATTAACCATGAGTATTGACCATAGCTGCCATAGCTCATATCATGTTTGTATTTAGAACCCCTTCAAGTCAACTCACTTCTTCTCTCATCGGTGCTCAACTTCGAACAGATCGAACCACCGCACACCCTTTTTTTCGTCCGCCAAAGACATCCCATGGTGACCCCAGATGACAAGGGGAAGTAGTAAGTGGTTCCCAAATTCATCCCACTTCGCGGCTTTTTGCTACCAGAACTTCGAAATATGTCAAGTAGAATCTCCAAGCGAATTTGAAGGTGAATGTCGGATACCCTTCGAAAGACTCAATCTTGCTTGGTGTTAGATTCTAGCAGAGAACCCCATTTACGAACATTTACCAAAAAACATACCCAAGATTTACCGAGGACTTTTTGAGCATTGCTTTGCTCTGAGAAGTTGACATCTGGGTATACTCTGGTAAACGTTTACAGTTTGCGAACTTGAAAATGGCCCAGTCGAAATAGTTGATTTACCCATTAATAGCATGGTGATGTTCCGTAGTTTTTTTGTATGTTTACCAGAGGGTATACTCTAAAAAATCATAACTGGTTGGTGGTTTCAACCTACCCCTCTGAAAAATCTGAGTTCATCAGTTGGGATGACATGACATTCCCAATATGATGGGAAAGTCATAAAATTCCATGGTTCCAGTCACCACCAACCAGTCTTAAAAAAATTGGCCTCTGGGAAATTAACACTTTGACCCTGAAGATCACATTTTTTGAGTGGAAACTCATCTTCCAACCCCTAACCCCTATCTGCTAGGGTCTAAATTAATCTACTGGAGGGTACGACCCTCCAGAAATCAGCTCCGTAGTTGCTCACGCCGTGACCGGTGGCCTGGGCGTTTTCTTATGTTTTGTGCTTTTGTCTCTATATGGGGTATATTCTGTAGGTTTTGTTTATATATGGGGTGGGGTGGGGTGGGGTGGGGTGGGGATGTCAACGTCCTGACGACTACGTCCTCGATACTACGTTGTCAACATAGATGTTCTCTTGAAGTAGCAACATGTAACTACGTTGAGACTACGTTGGGGTGGGGTGGGGGTGGGATATGGTGAGATAGTAACAGGCTGCCCGGTCACGGTTTGGTTTAATTACTGACATGCTTTTTAATTTTCATTTTCCAGTTGCATGCGTTGCAATCTGAATGTGAGCGAAAAGTTCACACCGACGCAGATGTGCCTGGAGCTTGGCAAGATTTGCCATTGGCGCCCTTGAGTGTGAAAAATTAAGCTGATGACGCCGCCGGCCACAGGCCACCGGTCACGGCGTGACCTAGAGTTTGCTGGAAAATCCGCTCCGTTCGATGATTTTCCCAGCTATAAAGCTTCATTTATTGAGCGGATTTCATGGCACATTTCCGCGGCATCCCCTTAAATCCATAATCCCTCTGGTAGATGCATCCCCATCTGGTTGGTGGTTTCAACCTACCCCTCTGAAAAATCTGACTTCGTCAGTTGGGATGACATGACATTCCCAATATTTTCTGGGAAAGTCATTCGAAATTCCATGGTTCCAGTCACCACCAACCAGACTATATTGTTATTCCAATTATTAACCATTATCAACCATAGATTAACCATAGATTAACCATAGATTAACCAGGAAAATTCCATGGTTCCAGTCACCAGCTATTTTTCATGTTCCAACGTTAAAGAACCATCATTTATGGCACAGCCCATCGGCCCATCACCCAAGTGCCACACGGATGCGTACAACATGATCACCTGAGGCGCGATCGGATGAGTTCTCAAGGTATGTGGGCAAAAAAAACGCTGGAAAATGTGGATTGATGGGAAATATACTGGGAATATACCCTCTAGTAAACAAACATAGCGATTATATGATGATTAATGGTGATTATTATGATTAATTGTGATATCATGATGATATATGGGGATATACCCTCTGGTAATTTAACAGTTTGCTATTGAAAATGGCCATTTATGGTGGATTTACCTAGTAAAAAGTGTGATTTTCCATAGGTTTTTTGTACGTTTACCAGAGGGTAATGGGAACAAAATCGAATGGGCATTTAATGCGAATACCATGGGACTATTTCATGGGAATAGGATACTTGGATCCGCAGGACTGTTACCAAGTAGCAACAACCATATTATCAATCCCCATGTTGGTTACTGCAAACACAACATGTCTATTTCAGCGGTGTATGCACGATCAAACCGTCATCTCATTTCTGCAGGATGTAGTTTGTTTTTTTGAACCAATTCTTATATGTAGAAAACTGACACATTTGGGTGGGGTTCCCTATTTTTCTATACATAAAACACTCATGTTCAGAAAGTAAAGCTGGTCACTTAAAATCATCCTACCCCCCTACCAGAGATGCGTGGGATAAAAGATTAAAAATCGGAAATTGGATGGATACCCTATGTTCAGACAAATCCATATATGGCATTAAAGCCCAAAAAAAATCGCTTCAACAACCAACCAGTTCTGGGATAGAATATTGATATAGTATGTTTCATATTACTTGGAGGTGCAGTTGGGTTTATAAATACCTATAACCAGGGTGAGTTCACCTCCATAAGTTGGGATATGGGGCCCCTATCACTGAGATAAAACCTGGCCGTTTACGAACTGCACCTCAAAGTACCCGATGAACAAGACAACTCCAGAGAATACAGTACTGTATGTGAAAATAGTTATATTCATGTACTGTAATAAGACTGTAATATACTTTCATACAATACAACTGGATACGTGTTCTAATCCACCATACTACAATATAGTCATCCCAACAAAATACAACAGTGATTTATTACCATTTCACTCGGGATAAACTGTTCTATTTTTTTGAGGATACAAGGTGGTGACCCCCCAGTTATAAGTTGGTTTATAAATGTTTATAACCCCAATTCACGATATATTCATCATAAACCCAAACGTCATTGGAGTTATGTTCACCAACTTAGCTAACGAACTGGGGCACCATCTTGTTCCTTTAGATTCCTTTAGATTCTTGATCACATTTGAATTTGATCTCTTTCTCCTCCGCTTCCCCGGCCAAAAAAAGCGCCTGCATCCAGCCGCAGCCGCAGTTGCGCCGCCGCGTTCTTCTCCGCCGCCGCCGTGCCGTGCGCACGGACGCGCGGAGCGAGGCCACGACCCAGGCCGGAATCCAACCTGGGGAACGGTGAAGCGTAAGGGTGCTTATATAGAGGATCCCAGTTGCTATAACCCATATGTAATCCATTAAATAATGCATGTATAATCTATAATCTATATGTATATAATTATGTATTTAATCCATCCACACATATATATTATATGTGTAATACAATCTATAATCCATATATTCATATATAACCTATATGTAACTGAAAAATAATCCAGATATAACCCATACAGAATAATAATGACATAGCCCGAATATAACCCATATACAACCCGTATACTATCATATGAATATACTGCTGGGGATGATATGTTACTGCCTTTATGAAAACCGCTCAGTTTCATGGATCCCCCCAAATGTTTCTAGACCCCAACAATAGGAGCGGTTAATAAAGCCCCTAAAAAGACTGTTGGGGGGGTACCCATAGATGTTCATCCAAAAACATTTTTTTAAGGAACCATCTAGTCATCTAGTGATAGTTTTTCTCATATTTCAGTGGCAAATTTCGTATAGAAACTGGGGATGGATGAGATCCACCAAGAGTCAACCATAGAAAAGCGGGTGGGTCGCCCCAGCCACCTATATAGCTAACATCGGGTACTTTTGCTGAAAAAAAAAATGGAGTGATGAAGCAATAAACAGCAACGATTGAGTTTATCAGAGACTTTTGCTGAAAATATTCGGTCCAATAAACACGCAAACAAATCCATGGCTGTCATCCAATCATTACATGCTGCTGCAAGTAGCCACAAGTGCACGTTGGAGAGCATGAAGTTAAACTGCACCTGTCCAAAGTCCCAGGGATTTGGCGTTTCGGTTGGCGCAATCCCACAGAAGCGGCACTGGCACATCTTTTTTTCCTCTGGTCATTTCTATCATAGACATAGCTGGAAACTGGCCATTTATTTTGTGATTTGATGATTTACCCATGTTTGCTTCCATAGCTATCTTAAATGGCTACAGGGTAACATAAAAAATCATGCTGTTGGGGACAACAAAAACGTCCGTGGGTGGCGTTGCGTTTTGGGACAGGGCGTTTCCCCATTTTTTTCGGTGGTTCCCCAAGATGGAAACGCAGAGCAGAGTAAAAAAAAAAACACTTATTGCCACAAACAAATTACCAACTATGGCAGAGGTTGTTGGCATTGATTCACGTGTTAGTGCAGAATAATAGTGTTGTTCTGCTGAAAAAAAATGCATCCAGATATTTTTGTCTGAATAGTCTATCTATAGTACATAAATGACCTTATTCATCAACAATTATACAGTATATTATTCACGATGTTCTCATGTAATATCATAAATGAAGTCCAGTATTGGATTGTGAAACATGATACAAATCTATATATATATGTTTTCTACACATGTACCATATGCCAACACCATAATCTATGACGTATAACTAACACACCTTTTTTGCCATGGGAAAATCAAGGAATCCGAGCCTGCGGGTGGTCCCAACAGTTCCAGTTTTTATCTGGTTGGTGGTTGAGCCACCCCTCTGAATATTAGTCAGTTGGGATGATGACATTCCCATATACCCTCTGGTAATGACTAACATAGCTATTGAAAATGGCTATTTATAGTGGATTTTCCCATTAAACATGGTGATGTTCCATAGCTATGTTAAATTACCAGAGGGTATATGGGAAAATAAAAAAATGTTCCAAACCACCAATCAGTTGTGATAACTATAGCAGTACCAGAAAAATCACCAAGGTTTAGATATGCAAAAGCAGTGAAAGTGAAGGATGGTCAATGATATTACTGATATCTCTATGGCTTACGTCAAGATATACCAAAGATTTTCGTGGTTACCCACAAATAGGCTTTGGATGGGAAGATCATGGGATATCATCACCAACAATCTAGGAATAGATCTGGATAAATACTTTGATGTGCACTTGTTCAGCGACCTGAACAGTGATAGGCCATTTGGGGGCTTCCTGAATCGATCCTCCAGTATTTTCAGTGACATTGGAATCATTGGACGTGAGGTCCAAACATCATAATATCCAAATGGTTCCAATCAAAAGACTAGTTGGGATTAGTTTCTACCCATCCAAGATTGACCTAGTAAAGCCCAAATCTCAAATTCTGCGACTAACCTATGTCTATCTATTACATACATAAGGGGGGGTTCTAAAATACTTGATACCCCAAACCATTGGCTTCTCCCATTGATAATCACCCATAACTTGGATGATTTTGGGGTACCACCATTTTAAGGAAACCCCAATAATTGGCTTTAATTAATCACTTACCACAAGGTGGTGCCCCCCCAGTGATAAATTGGTGTTATAAGCCCACTGAGTATAGACATATCACCTATAAACCATAGTGAAATTGGACTTATTTGCACCAACTGAACGCTATCATTAATCCCATTAAACCATATTAAACCATATTAAACCATATTAAACCATATTAAACCATATTAAACCATATTAAACCATATTAAACCATATTAAACCACCATTTTTCTTTGTTAAATCACAATTTTCCTATGCTTTTCCCATTGATCACCCAAGTTCAACCCTTCATTCGGCACTGATCCAGACAGCCGCTGCCTCGACTTCCACCAACGACTCTTCCGCCAGCCGCAGATGTAGCGCCCCCGTGCTCGCGGAACCGGAGCCGGAAGTTGTGCCTGGACGAAGCATGGCCAGAATAGCCGTGATTGGGGGGTAAAAAAAATGATTTTCCCTTGGAAAAATATAGATTTGCTTGGAAATATATGATTTTTTCCCTGGAAAAATAGGACATTGCCCTTTATCTGGTTTTTTGGCTGGACAAAAATGGATGTTGCTTGCATAAATACGGAAAAAAGGATGGAAAAACGGATGGTAAATGGATAATAAGCCATGATGGTCTATGTTAGTTGGGGGGTGGTAACCTGTTTAACGAAGAAGCATAGGGTTTTTTGAGGTATGACTTCACCAATAGTGCGGATTCAGTGGATAGAAACTTGCCAACAAAATTGGGTAGATCTTATATTTTTGCACAGAATCAAAGATAAGCCACAGTATTTGGATGTGCATCCCATGTGGTTCATAAACCATATGCACCCCCATTTTTTTTTGCTCGGCATATTCCACCGATGTATCCGGGATCTGGGAATGTCTGGGTTGTCTTTTTGGTCACCAACTTGATGGGACGCACCGCGTTAGGTTGAAGCTTTGTCTGCTACTTTCCGATACTACTGTAAATGTCTCTTGGAATGGGGTATTTATATGTATTTATGGTATTTGGATATAGTTGGAAACACATGTTGTTTCAGCTGGTTAGCAAACCGATGTAAATGAAAAGTACATTCCCATCAAAATAGAAACAAGAATAGCAATGCATATTCCCATATCTCAGGAATTATATGTATATCACAATAGTCCCATCAAAATGGCAAGAGTACCAGATTTTTGTCAATCCACCATTCATCATAAACCGCCAGTTTATCAGTGAGGGGAGTCTCCAAAATAGTGATGATGCACCAATTAATTACAAAGTGTACCCATCTCAATAAAATGATGGTTGTTCAATCCTGGGTTGATATTATGTTCCCAGGGTTTGAAGTGGCTAGTGAGCAACAAACGTGGAGGGGGGAAGTATCAACAAAATTAGGAATATCAAAGGCCAACAAAGGCCTTAAAGTCTCCAAAAGTCAGGGATTCTAAATTCTAACAGCCCAGACAAAATTCTCCATGTTTGATTCAGAAGACACAAAAGATCAACATCCACCCGCAACTGGACAGATCTCCATTGATCTTCAGGATCTGTGAAGTTTTTTTTTACCCTGGGACATACCCTCTGTCGTAAACGTTTACATAGTGATTGTATGGTACTTAATGGTGATTATTATGGTTAATAGTGATATTATGATGATACATGGGGATATACCCTCTGGTAATTTGTTACAGTTTGCGAACTGGAAAATGGCCCAGTCGAAATAGTGGATGACTACCCATTGATAGCATATGATAGCATGGTGGATCTTTCCAGTTCGTTTCTTGTTAACGTTTACCAGGCCGGGGACTAACTGACGAACTATCAGAAACGATCCAGTCAGCCAAGTCCTTCCGCTTCCACCACACGACAGTTTTTGTGTAGTTTTAGATGATGATACCCTCTGGTAAACTAACATAACAATGGAAAATCACCATTTTTTAATGGGAAAATCCACTATTTCAATGGCCATTTTCCATAGCTATGTTAGTTTACCAGAGGGTAGATGATGATTACTTGGTGGCGAACTACCCACGAATCGTGGTTGTAGGTTAGTTCACCCCATTTATAAATGGGATAAGGAGCGGGTTAATCCACTGAAATCACTGGGGTGAACTAACCCACTTACGATTCGTGGGAGCCACCAAGTACCCATCAAGAAAGGTTCTTGTTTCAGTGGATGCTTCATCATCATGGAATTTTGGTTTGGTCAAATTTGCCAGATCTATTTGTTATCAATCACCTGAGCAATTTGCCAATGATGTCACAATTCAAAAGAAATCACGATTTCAATGGGAAATTCAGGATCCTAAAATGGAGGTACGTAAACGTACCATATTTCTGGCCATATTTCCTGGGGATATTCCCTGAAACCTAGGCCTTATATAGGCCTTATATATGGTAGGTCAATCCAGGAGATACTCGCTACAATCAATCAGCGTACCAATGCTATCAGCTACCAAACCTACCACTGCGATCATCCCACGTAAGTAAGTCCTGGATTTGTGGATTATCTCATCTATGGAAAGGTGAGAAAAACCCAGTCAGCAAAACCCATGAAACCACAAAATAAAATTTGCTACTGAACCAGTTTGAAACCCATTCATGTGGGTAAAACAATGTCATAAACCACACATGACTGGGAATGGTTTATACCATCTGGTTATTTAACAGTTCGCCATGGAAAATCACCATGCTATTAAGTTCGGTAAACCATCTATAAATGGGCCATCTATACCATGGCTATGTTAGTCATAACCAGAGGGTATTGGGAATGTCATCATCCCAACTGACAAATATTCAGAGGGGTGGCTCAACCACCAACTAGTTATGTTCTATATATAATCCCATCATATATATATAACCATATATAATCACCAGATAATCACTATGTTTATACCTATCAAAATGCTGATGACTGGGGATCACAGCCTGGGATCCGCAGACGACCTTCAGCAGAGCTGATCGTGCTCTCCTGAGGCTCGGGGTCACCGTGCGCGTTGATTTTCGGGGCTCGAAACTCGAGGAGAACCAACCAAGCAACCCCAAAGTCATCATGGGTCCTTTGGAGGTTTCCTAAGTCATGGGGGTACCCGGAAAAGAACAAGTCATTTTCGCATTTTCGTTTACTAAGAGTCTCAGGCCATGGTTTATTGACCCCATTTTAGGACATCTCCATTTAAAAGGGGGACAGTTCAAAATTTGACATGTTTTTTGTTTTTTACCGTCCCAATAGGCTTATTAACATAAACAAAACTTGCTGATTCAACCCAGGTGGGGGATCTGGAGGATGGCCTGGATTACGTATCAGAAGTCGACTTTCAACCACCCATGGCACTCAGAAAGAAAAAAAAACTTTTTTTTTTTTTCGGAGGAACATAATCTACAAATACATCCCATGATTTTGTGGAAATTGTCGGCAGATATTGGTAGGCATGGGCCGTCCACTGAAAAAAAGTTTTCTCCTCGAGTCAGCCCTAAGCACAATTTCACGCGGCAAAGGTCTCTGCTGAAAAAAGATTTCATGTGAAATGACCTGAATATACCATCTCGTAATTCAACAGTTTGCGAACTGGAAAATGGCCCAGAGAAATAGTTGATTTACCTATCAATAACATGGCGATTTTCCAGTTGTTTGTTAACGTTTACCAGAGGCTCCCTGAATATTGTTTTTTTACATCAATTTCTAAGTACCAAATTTTCAGACTTACCCAAAAATGGTGGGTTTCTTAAGTCATTTTTGGGATCCCCAAGTCCCCAAGTCACTATGGGTTTCAATCCTAAGTCATGGTTCAAAAGTTGATGTTTTTTGGCATCCCCATTTTTTTCGGCAACCTTCCCTTTCTGTTTGTACGTTCAGTTGGTGGAATCCTCACAGCGACTTTGGATTCCACACTTGTCGAGTGGTCGCCATTTTTTGAAATTTGATGTGCCCCATTTAGATTCCATCCTGAAGTATTGTATAGCTGAAATCGATTTCTTTCTGACCCATCAAAACAAATATCGATATGTATATTATATAGTATTTAAACCAGTCATTATGATATATTAGATAGTAACCCCCTGGGAAACTATAATTTGTTTAAGATGTGGAACATGTTTGCATCTTTTGGGGGTTACTATAATCCAGATTTTTCTGAATCCCTAAATATCGCATTGCATCCACCAAATAGTTTAACAAACGTTGATGATAAACCCTTGTAACAAACACTCTCTTTCAATTGGCGCTTGGTTTAATCTCAGATGAAACCATAAATCCAATGATCACCTTAACTCCAACTCATTACTTTAGATGTTCCATAGATTATGATATTCCAAAAAATATGACGAATTGTGTTTCCGGGATGGTAGTTCGATAATGTTGGCCCCATTTTTTGCATGTTTCCAACAGTTCTGTTTGTTTGGGGAGGTGCTATATATCGGTATGGGTCAAAATCGGGTACCCCAATAGTTGGATGGTTGGTACAAACAAAATAGGCTAAAATCATCTAAAATCCCCCAAGTTTTCAGAACATGTATCATACCCAATCTGATAAAACTATGATAAAACCCATTGTTTGACCCATCAGAAGCTGGCAAGGTTCGTGAAAATGTTCCAGCACCTTCTCCACCATCTCTCTGAGTTCCCCTCGATTTGAGGGCCGAACATTGACCCCATTGGGATTTAAGGGGATCAATGGAGATGAATAATCAAAATATCTGGGGGCACTAATCGGCCGGAGGCGGAAGGTTCGAAAAAGAGCAGTGACTATCAGAAAAACAGGAACGTCTGTGTGATGCGGAAGCCATGAGAGACTGAGGTTGTGAGGTGCATGTATGGCCCTTGAATTCATGCAGGACAGAAACAAATGCATGCTGGTTGCACGTATCGTGCACTTGGCGGTTTGAGAACCCCATGAAAATGTACCTGCACTCAACGAAGTGTTCATGAACTGTTCTTCTTGGGCATCCCGGAGCTGCCTCCGCGGAAATCAGGGACCTCTTCTCCCAGCTACTTCTTTTCTGAGCTACCTCTTCTGTAGCTTCTGTAACCCAAATTCTCCTCTTCGCGCAGACAACACAATGCGTTTTGTAACCCCGAGCTGCAATCCCGCATAGCACGAAAGTGGCACCATGCTGACAAACTACCTTTGTCGCAGCTGTTACAATGTGTTTAGCAACCTCCAGCTGCAATCCGGCACAGCATGGGCGTCACAGCATGACTAAGTAAAGTTTTCCTGCGCGCAGCCGTGCCAGTGCGTTTTGCCGCGCCCGGTCGCAATCACAAGTCCGGCGCTGCTCCGAACGCGTGGGTTTTTCAAAGTGTTTTCCCCAAGCTCTCATTGCAATGTCATGCCTTTATTTTTTGAGACATCATCTTCCAAAAGTGGCCCACAGCCCTCATTTTTTTCAGCATTTCGAACTCCAAATCAAGCTCTCGCGTCTGGTGCACTTTTTGGCGACAGCTTTTCCAGAAAGAGACCCAAACACGACCCCAGAAGCCATCATACAGCACCTGTAAAAACAGAGTGATACGCGCACCTCCATGGTTTCACAGGCAAATTTACATGCTCCCGGACTACTGTTTCCCACTGCTATTGCTACCTCTGTGGCTGACATGATTGCAGGCTTGACCACGGACATTCGTCCGTAACGAAGTTTGCGAGCTAAACTTCCTTTGATTCTGGAAATTAATGGAACATCACGGAATATGACATACGAAAATAATAGAGTATATATATATTCTATATATATACAATATATCAATATATGGCTCATATATAAATAGCTATATATATATATTGCTAAACCATACTTGGGGGCAGTCATGAATATAATATAGCAATATATATATATATATTATATATGATACACCGCAAAAAAAAAAACAAGAGTTGGGATATGGGGCTTCGAAAAAGCTATGTTTTTTGCCTCACAACGACCAGCCCCAGTTGTACCCCAACAAGACAAGTCCACAACATATTCCTGCAGGCGAAAAAATATGGATCTTATCCATGTAAATATGGTTTGCTATTGAATATATATATATATGTAAATATGGTTGATATCCGCCATACTGAGCCATAGATCATCATAGATCATCCACATCCTGCAGTAATTGTCCCACAAAACTAAGCTGCCAGGTATGCCACCTGGCCAGAAAACTTGATCAAATTTCATGGTCAATCATCAGTTTCCCAATCTAAGACTCTTCATGGTGGTACTTTTGGTCAAACCCATCCATTAATATACCAAAAATCTATCTAAGTTGGTTCATAACTCCAATAACTATGGTTTATGATACGCAAATAACTATCTGGTTGGTGGTATACCTACCCCTCTGAAAAATGATGGAGTGAAAGTCAGTTGGGATGATGACATTCCCAATATATGGAAAAATAAAAGCCATGGTCCAAACTACCAACCAGATCAATATACCAACAATCTATCTTCATACAGTATCTTATAGAGTTTATACCTACAAGAACAATTTAAGATGTGAAAAAAAAACAATGCTTTCCCTGCAAGGTGCTGCTCCCCTAGTTATAAGTTGGTTTATGAAGTATAGATATATCTACCATAAACATCCATAAACCATAGTAATTAGAGTTATTTGCGCAAACTTAGACATCAGTAATCACGAAAAAACTCGGAGTCAACCCCATATGTTTCCATATGTTTCGGTTGAATCACCCGTTTCCGATATGTTTCCGATATGTTTCTGGTTGGTGGTTGACCTACCCCTCTGAAAAATATTAGTCAGTTGGGACTATTATTCCAAACCACCAACCAGCTTTCCTATGGTTTTTATCGTAAACGGTGACACGGACCCTGCGGTTCTTTCGCTCCACCCGAGCGCGCGAAGTTTTCGCCGCGAAAATTCGCCAAGACGCGAGGCTCCCCGCAGGCTGACATCTTCACCATGTCCTTTGAAAAATCTGAGGCCACACCGGGCTGCTTGGAATCATCAAATTGAATTAATAATCATTAATGGATGGTTAATAAGTATCTAAATTAATGGATGGTTAATAATTATTTATAATGGTTAATAGTGGTTAATAATGGTTAATAATGGTTAATAGTGGTTAATAATAGTTAATAATGGTTAATAGTGGTTAATAATGGTAATCAATGGGAGATCTTCAGGATCCTAAAATGGAGCTACGTAAACGTACCATATTTTTGGCCATATTTTCTGGGGATATTCCCTGAAATTTAGGCCTGAAAAATAGGCCTTATATGGCAGGTACCTCCAATTTAGGTTCCTGAAATGGCCATTGATGTAATGGGATATTGATGTAAATTAATGGGATATGAATGGAAATGAGTTATGGGATAATTTTAAACTAATTAGCCATTCATCATCAAACCATGGGTATGAATGCCTATCAACTTATGGCTATTCATGTGGATATATATATATATACCAAAAAAAATATGATTATTTTGTAGCTACATAATGGGATATTCATACTTGGAATATTGGATATTCATGGCTAGTGATGGTATATCAACCATCAATCACGGGAGATATAATGGGGAAATACGATTGGGAATGGGAATAGTTAATTATCAGATAAGATTGATGGGAATGAACCGATATAATTGTGAATAATTATCAATGATGGAAAATATATGAAAATATTATGGGCATTCAACGATATACTTCATTCGATGAAATGCGATACTAAACACCAATAAGGGGAAATATTATCGGAATAGAACCCAACAAATGCACTTACTATTTAGGTCGCACTGCTCAGTGTTTGCCATGGAAAATCACCATTCTTGACAGGTATATAATTGAGCGAACTAAATGAACCAGATATGTGAAATTTCCGGAGGCTAATGGCATGAAACGGCTGATCCCTTCCCCCATCAAACACTACATAAATCATCGAAAATCGGGGATAAACATCATATGTTTGGGACCATACACTGGGATCGCATTTGATTGAAGGGGTGGGATCTATTGAATCTATTGTTGTACCCATGTATTTGGTAGCGAATGAATATCATGTGGAAGTTTCCTGAAATGAAGGTAGCCATCTATGAAATAATATTAATCCTGAAATGAAAATAGAAAATCCCATTAAGTATCCAACAAATCATCCATTCGATTTTTGGGATTTTCCATGAACCACCCATCTATTGGTGTACCCCAAAAACCAGTGACGTCGGGCCGTTTTGGTGATATGTCGTGAGCTGTTCTCAAACATGGCTTGGGAATCCCCCCATAGTCATCAAATTTACCTGGTTTGGTCAAACCATGTCAAACCCATCCATTAATAAGCTGCCAGGTATGCCACCTGGCCAGAAAACTTGATCAAATTTCATGGTCAATCATCAGTTTCCCAATCTAAGACTCTTCATGGTGGTACTTTTGGTCAAACCCATCCATTAATATACCAAAAATCTATCTAAGTTGGTGAACATAACTCCAATTTCACTATGGTTTATGATACGCAAATAACATCAAATAACTATCTGGTTGGTGGTTGAGCCCTACCCCTCTGAAAAATGATGGAGTGAGTTCGTCAGTTGGGATGATGACCAATATATGGAAAAATACAGAATGTTCCAAACCACCAACCAGTTACATATGTGCATGTGTCCGTCTCCTCAAATTCGCGCTTGTTGTCTTCATCGAGTTGCTATCTGCCTTCATCTCTGTCTTCACACTGAAGCGCAAAAAAAAAACTCATGATGCAGTATTTCCAATATCTTTCTTCTGTGCTCATCACTCGCTCAGCTGGTGGGGTTCACATTCTGCGATGTTCCCTTGCATTTTTTTGGAGGTGTCCGACAAGTCATGGGGCTACCCCAAGCGAGCTTAGGATGGTTTCATGGAAAATCCGGAAAAAAATGGATGATTCAGGTGTCCCACCAACCTCCATTTACAAACTTGCAACAAACGAATCACCATATTCACAGTCCGTTGCCCACATGTGGATCCCTCTGGTAATGACTAACATAGATATTGAAAACCGCCCATCTATAGTTGATTATGCTATTAACCTATATTAACATGGTGATTGTCCAAAGTTATTTTAGTTTGCAAGAAGGTAATGTGTCAAAATCCAAACAGTCAAGGTGATTTGTTGGTCCACTGGTACCCAGCTTTTGAATCGTGATGGCATGTGATACAAAAAATCTCTGGGATTTGAGATGTCCCGATTTCTGGTGGAACTACAAAGAGTAACTCAGCAAATCTAGTCATTGGTTCACACCAGCAAGTTATGACTAAAAAAAAACCTACTGGATCAGTTGAGGTAAGAAAAACCTACCGGATCTGCGGTAAACTACGATTCGTATCATCATCCCATTTTGAACCAAAAATCTGCCTGAATTCTCAACAATGTTTTTCTGGTGAATGCATGTTAAAGCCCCATTTACAAAGAAAGAGTCCTGCATGGGAGCAGACTGCATCAGCAGGTCGAAGGAAGCGCATCCTGCGGATCCAAAAGAGCTGAGGGGAAGTCGTGGGAAATATGGTCGACCAACATTGAGGTGTCACGTAGTTTACCCTCTGGTTATGTCAAAATAGCTATTGAAAATGGCCATTTATAGTGGGTTTTCCCATAAAAAAATGGCGATTTTCCATAGTTATGTTAGTTTAACCATGACTGGTTGGTGGTTTTAACCATCTTGAAAAATATGAGTTCATCAATGGGAAAGATTCTCCCATATATTATGGGAAATAAAAAATGTTTGAAACCACCAACCAGATGAAATGGGAATATATAGCCAACAGAATAAACGTAATATGATGGAAACAATTAAGGAACATGATGGAAAAAAATGTACTCCCACCCTGCGATCATCTTGAAAATGGGATTTTAACCAGGGGGATGTGGGTAAAACAATGCCACAACCATCCCCCAGTCATCACCATTTTTATAGGTGGTATAAACCATTCCAAAATGGGTGGTTTATGACATTGTTTTAACCACATTATATGAATTTTCCAAGGATATCATGACAGTACAACCAACTAAGAATGGGGATGTCAACCATCCGTGATGTTGCTAAGTCTGGCTACGCACGGATCATGGGAAGATCATATTCCACGTGACGTGTAAAACCTGCAACGTGGTAGACCCAATAGTAAACCCTCCCATAAACCATAACTGGGGATAGTTTTATATCCAGCTCATGAACCACCCAGTTTCATCAACCTCTATTGGGGAGGGTTTATTGGGTATACCAAGGCTTACCATTCTCGGTGGAACATCCTGATGAAGGGCGGGGTCGACCATTTGTGGCCAGGGGATTTGAGTGATTTGTCCCTGGAATTTCTGGGGGCCAAATGGTAACAAAATCCCATTCTGGCACCCATTTTGATGACAGATTCACTGCTAGATCAGGGAGAGATGACAGAATCACTGGTGATGTTCTCCACATTTCGCCCTTGACAAACCGCCTGAAGTCTGTGCCACCCGGTGCTCTCGATGAAAAGACACCCACCTGGGACATGTGGGATCTGAAGAGACAAAGATTTTCTACCCTGGAAAGTGACCAACACTTTGCCCTGGAAAATCACTACTGGTTGGTGGTTGAGCCCTATCCCTCTGAAAAGTCAGTTGGGATGATGACATTCCCAATATATGGAAAAATAAAAAATGTTCCAAACCACCAATCAGACTATCTTTAATGGGAATACGAGTTGGGGCTTTGTGGAAAATCAATTATTTCAAGCCATTAATCCATCAATCACTTTGCCATGGAAAATCACTATCTATCTTTAGGTAACTATCCAACTCCGGCAAACCATGGAACTGATGGAGTCCCCCATGATGGGACCTTCATTCCCACAATGCTTAAGGAATAGCATGGAAGTAGTATTGGAATGGAAGGCCCCATATTCAACATAATAAGTTCCCTATAGATTCCACTCACTGTTTTTTTCCGATTTATATCAGCCGGAAGTTCCCAATTAGATTCCTGCTGGAATGCGCAAAAGAAACAACCGTTGGAATCAGCAACCCGGCTGCCCTTAGCCGCCCTTGGGTGCCCTGCAAGCCAGAGGCAGGAGCCTGATGACTAGGCGACCAAGTTGGTGTTTCTGTCAGATTCTTCGAAACTTCTATGGTGAGGAAATGTTAGCCATTGTTCTCAAATGCTAGTACATGCTAGTAGATGCTAGTAGATGTTAGTAGATCTTAGTAGATGCTAGTAGATGTTAGTAGATCTTAGTAGATGTTAGTAAATTTTAGTAAATGTTAGTAATTAAGATAGTTTACCCAGTATATACCCAGTTCTAAAAGAGTATAACCTAATTATGAACCGGTCAATTCATCCCAACGTCTATCAAAGTACCACGATGTGTGGTTCCAGTCAGTTCTGTTTGCTGTTTATAAACTTCACCAGTTCGATATACCCTCCGGTAATTTAATATAGCTATATATAGAAAATCACCATCTTTAATAGGTAAACCATCTATTTCTGTGGGCCATGGCTTCCATAACTTTTTGTATGTTTACCAGAGGGTATTGACCCTACATCCCAGCCAGCTTCTAAACCAACCATGCTATTTTTCACACCACCGTAGGAATTCCACCAATATGCTGGTTGGTTGACCTACCCCTCTGAAAAATATGAAAGTCAAATGAGAGTATGACATTCCCACATGACGGAAAAATAAGAAATGTTCCAAACCACCAATCAGTGCTTGTTGAGCCAATCCCCGGAGGCAGATGGTTGGATCTACCGAAACATGGCCACTGGAAGATCTCATCATGTCGATGAATAAAAGCTGGGAAAATCAGCTGACTGGTGGTGCTTCACCCAGTTAGTATCTTGTGAAACACCCCACTTATGATTGGATAGCCTCTATTTTTTGGCAATTTTCTAGACAGATTACCAACGGGTAACTAGGCTTATTTCGGGTGAAATAACCAACTTTCTATCTGGGTTCCTGTTGTGAGGATCGATAGCATGTTGCCTCCACGTGGGTTGGCGCAATAAACTAGGTTCCATGTGGATATCTCAGAACATCTATCATTGTGTAAGGCAAAACCATTGCATTACCCTCTGGTAATTTAACGTAGCTATTGAAAATGACCATTAATAGTGGATTTTCCCATTATAAATGCTGATTTTCAATAGCTATGTTAAATTACCAGAGGGTATATTGGATCCATGCATTTTTTTATCTTTGGAACATGTACAAAGAGGCATACATACGTGCAATGCCATGCTACACATACATAACCTGACCCCGAAGCCTCCATTTCTGTTTGGCCAACCAAAATCATTGTCACTTGCCATGTTTGATTGTCAAAGGGTAAATCCAGTGTTAAAATCCCAGTTGTTGATGTGTTATCAACTTTAAATCAGCTAAATCCCCCATAAAAATCCTGAAACACATCCCTGTCATGTTTAAATTCCAATTTATGTTGCCAAATCCCCGGAGCTTCCAGATGCTTCCAGCACCCCGAAAAAAATGACTCTTGAATCCAAGGAAATAGCTGCCAAAAAGTGTGCCACAAGGATGCTCATTGGATGATACTTATTTCAGACAACTATCTTAAATATTGTTTGGGGCACTCTAAATCCCATTGAATCTCATTGCGTTCCATTAAATCACAATTTTCGATGGTTAAATCATGTTAAATCAACATAACATCGTATGATTTGCGCCTCCATGATATAACTGGCAGCTTGACCTTCTCCCATGATATGCGACTCAACCTGGCGTTGGGAACTGCTGGGTGGAGTATTCAAAATGTTGGCAAGCTACAGGTCCTATGGGGCCTCTTGGAGCATCTTTGGGGAACTTCCATGCACTGGACCTGGTCCCACAACCCATGTGGCCCATGATATCAGGGACTTGGTGGAAGAGGTTCTTGTTGTAGTCCCCAAAATGGATCATCGGAAGGTTGTCCTGCAGTACCCTCTCAATCCAAACCCTCAAATCACGGAGCCGCTCACTCTGGATAATGACAGAGAAGAACACAGCAGTGAACATTGTCCGTGGTGGCAGCCCCAAGTCCCAGTCCAGCCCATCATTGGCTGCTGCTGCAGCGGTGTTGACATCTAGAAATGCCTGGCATATCTATTGTCGCCACGAGCCGGTTCTCGGAAGAGGTCTTTCATGGCAATTCTCCTTGCCCCTTCACCGATGAGTCGGAGCCAATCACCATCCACGTTGTCTGTGTCAAACTGACCCTCGTCCTCCACTACAGTGCGCTCTTCGATGATAACGTTTTATGCGGCCTCTTGGGCCGCCTTTGGGGTTGTATGTTGGCAACCTACAGGTCTTATGGGGGCTTATGGGGGTTGTTGGACCGTCTTTGGGGCTGTATGTTGGCAACCTACAGGTCTTATGGTGCCTCTTTGACCATCTTTGGGGTATGTTGGCAACCTACAGGTCTTATGGGGGTTGTTGACCGTCTTTGGGGCTGTATCTTGGCAACCTACAGGTCTTGTGGGGGTTGTTTGACCGTCTTTGGGGCTGTATGTTGGCAACCTACAGGTCTTATGGTGCCTCTTTGACCATCTTTGGGATATGTTGGCAACCTACAGGTCTTGTGGGGGTTACCTACAGGTCTTATGGGGGTTGTTGGGCCGTCTTTGCGGCTGATTGTTGGCAACCTACACGTCTTATCGGGCCTCTTTGACCATCTGTGGGGCTGTATGTTGGCAACCTACAGGTCTTATGGGGGTTGTTGGCCCGTCTTTGGGGCTGTATGTTGGCAACCTACAGGTCTTATGGTGCCTCTTTGACCATCTTTGGGGCTGTATGTTGGCAACCTACAGGTCTTATGGGGGTTGTTGGGCCGTCTTTGCGGCTGATTGTTGGCAACCTACACGTCTTATCGGGCCTCTTTGACCATCTGTGGGGCTGTATGTTGGCAACCTACAGGTCTTATGGGGGTTGTTGGCCCGTCTTTGGGGCTGTATGTTGGCAACCTACAGGTCTTATGGTGCCTCTTTGACCATCTGTGGGGCTGTATGTTGGCAACCTACAGGTCTTATGGGGGTTGTTGGGCCGTCTTTGGGGCTGAATGTTGGCAACCTACACGTCTTATGGGGCCTCCTTGACCATCTGTGGGGCTGTATGTTGGCAACCTACAGGTCTTATGGGGGTTGTTGGACCGTCTTTGGGGCTGTATGTTGGCAACCTACAAGTCTTATGGGGGTTGTTGGACCCTCTTTGGGGCTGTATGTTGGCAACATACATGTGTTATGGGGGTTGTTGGACCGTCCTTGGGGCTGTATGTTGGCAACCTACAAGTCTTATGGGGGTTGTTGGACCCTCTTTGGGGCTGTAAGTTGGCAACCTACAGGTCTTATGGGGGTTGTTGGACCGCGTTTAGGGCTGTATGTTGGCAACCTACAGGTCTTATGGGGGTTGTGGGACCGTCTTTGGGGCTGTGTGTTGGCAACCTACAGGTCTTGTGGGGGTTGTTGGACCGTCTTTGGGGCTGTATCTTGGCAACCTACAGGTCTTATGGGGGTTGTTGGACCGTCTTTGGGGCTGTGTGTTGGGGGTTGTTGGACCGTCTTTGGGGCTGTATGTTGGCAACCTACAGGTCTTATGGGGGTTGTTTGACCGTCTTTGGGGGTGTATGTTGGCGACCTACAGGTCTTATGGGGGTTGTTGGACCGTCTTTGGGGCTGTATGTTGGCAACCTACAGGTCTTATGGGGTTGTTGGACCGTCTTTGGGGCTGTATGTTGGCAACCTACGGGTCTTATGGGGGTTGTTTGACCGTCTTTGTGGCTGTATGTTGGCAACCTACAGGTCTTATGGGGGTTGCTGGACCGTCTTTGAGGCGGTATATTGGCAACCTACAGGTCTTATGGGGGTTGTTGGACCGTCTTTGGGGCTGTATGTTGGCAACCTACAGGTCTTGTGAGGGTTGTTGGACCGTCTTTGGGGCTGTATGTTGGCAACCTACAGGTCTTATGAGGGTTGTTGGACCGTCTTTGGGGCTGTATGTTGGCAACAAACAGGTCTTATGGGGGTTGTTTGACCGTCTTTGGGGCTGTATGTTGGCAACCTACAGGTCTTATGGGGGTTGTTTGACCGGCTTTGGGGCTGTATGTTGGCAACCTACAGGTCTTGTGGGGGTTGTTGGACCGCGTTTAGGGCTGTATGTTGGCAACCTACAAGTCTTATGGGGGTTGTTGACCGTCTTTGGGGCTGTATGCTGGCAACCTACAGGTCTTGTGGGGGTTGTTGGGCCGTCTTTGGGGCTGTATGTTGGCAACCTACAGGTCTTATGGGGGTTGTTTGACCGTCTTTGGGGCTGTATGTTGGCAACCTACAGGTCTTATGGGGGTTGTTTGACCGTCTTTGGAACTGTATGTTGGCAACCTACAGGTCTTATGGGGGTTGTTGGACTGTCTTTGGGGCTGTATGTTGGCAACCTACAGGTCTTATGGGGGCTTATGGGGGTTGTTGGACCGTCTTTGGGGCTGTATGTTGGCAACCTACAGGTCTTATGGGGGTTGTTTGACCGTCTTTGGGGCTGTATGTTGGCGACCTACAGGTCTTATGGGGGTTGTTGGACCGTCTTTGGGGCTGTATGTTGGCAACCTACAGGTCTTATGGGGGTTGTTGACCGTCTTTGGGGCTGTATGTTGGCAACCTACATGGGGGTTGTTGGACCGTCTTTGGGGCTGTATGTTGGCAACCTACAGGTCTTGTGGGGGTTGTTGGACCGTCTTTGGGGCTGTATGTTGGCAACCTACAGGTCTTATGGGGGTTGTTGGACTGTCTTTGGGGCTGTATGTTGGCAACCTACAGGTCTTATGGGGGTTGTTGGACCGTCTTTGGGGCTGTATGTTGGCAACCTACAGGTCTTATGGGGGTTGTTTGACCGTCTTTGGGGCTGTATGTTGGCAACCTACAGGTCTTATGGGGGTTGTTTGACCGGCTTTGGGGCTGTATGTTGGCAACCTACAGGTCTTATGGGGGTTGTTGGACTGTCTTTGGGGCTGTATGCTGGCAACCTACAGGTCTTGTGGGAATTGTTGGGCCGTCTTTGGGGCTGTATGTTGGCAACCTACAGGTCTTATGGGGGTTGTTTGACCGTCTTTGGGGCTGTATGTTGGCAACCTACAGGTCTTGGGGGTTGTTGGACCGCGTTTAGGGCTGATGTTGGCAACCTACAGGTCTTATGGGGGTTGTTGACCGTCTTTGGGGCTGTATGCTGGCTTTATGTTGGCAACCTACATGTCTTATGGGGGTTGTTGGACCCTCTTTGGGGCTGTATGTTGGCAACCTACAGGTCTTATGGGGGCTTATGGGGGTTGTTGGACCGTCTTTGGGGCTGTATGTTGGCAATTTGGGGCTGTATGTTGGCAACCTACAAGTCTTATGGGGGTTGTTGACCGTCTTTGGGGCTGTATGCTGGCTTTATGTTGGCAACCTACATGTCTTATGGGGGTTGTTGGACCGTCTTTGGGGCTGTATGTTGGCAACCTACACCGTCTTTGGGGCTGTATGTTGGCAACCTACAGGTCTTGTGGGGGTTGTTGGACCGTCTTTGGGGCTGTATGTTGGCAACCTACAGGTCTTGTGGGGGTTGTTGGACCGTCTTTGGGGCTGTATGTTGGCAACCTACAGGTCTTATGGGGGTTGTTGACCGTCTTTGGGGCTGTATGTTGGCAACCTACATGGGGGTTGTTGGACCGTCTTTGGGGCTGTATGTTGGCAACCTACAGGTCTTGTGGGGGTTGTTTGACCGTCTTTGGGGCTGTATGTTGGCAACCTACAGGTCTTATGGGGGTTGTTGACCGTCTTTGGGGCTGTATGTTGACCTACAGGTCTTATGGGGGTTGTTGACCGTCTTTGGGGCTGTATGTTGGCAACCTACAGGTCTTCTGGGGGTTGTTTGACCGTCTTTGGGGCTGTTTGTTGGCAACCTACAGGTCTTATGGGGGTTGTTGACCGTCTTTGGGGCTGTATGTTGGCAACCTACAGGTCTTATGGGGGTTGTTGACCGTCTTTGGGGCTGTATCTTGGCAACCTACAGGTCTTGTGGGGGTTGTTTGACCGTCTTTGGGGCTGTATGTTGGCAACCTACAGGTCTTATGGGGGCTTATGGGGGTTGTTGGACCGTCTTTGGGGCTGTATGTTGGCAACCTACAGGTCTTGTGGGGGTTGTTGGACTGTCTTTGGGGCTGTATGTTGGCAACCTACAGGTCTTATGGGGGTTGTTGACCGTCTTTGGGGCTGTATGCTGGCTTTATGTTGGCAACCTACAGGTCTTATGGGGGTTGTTGGACCCTCTTTGGGGCTGTATGTTGGCAACCTACAGGTCTTATGGGTGCTTATGGGGGTTGTTGGACCGTCTTTGGGGCTGTATGTTGGCAACCTACAGGTCTTGTGGGGGTTGTTGGACCGTCTTTGGGGCTGTATGTTGGCAACCTACAGGTCTTATGGGGGTTGTTGACCGTCTTTGGGCTGTATCTTGGCAACCTACAGGTCTTGTGGGGGTTGTTGGACCGTCTTTGGGGCTGTATGTTGGCAACCTACAGGGTTGGCAACCTACAGGTCTTGTGGGGGTTGTTTGACCGTCTTTGGGGCTGTATGTTGGCAACCTACAGGTCTTATGGGGGTTGTTGACCGTCTTTGGGGCTGTATGTTGGCAACCTACAGGTCTTATGGGGGTTGTTGACCGTCTTTGGGGCTGTATGTTGGCAACCTACAGGTCTTGTGGGGGTTATTGGACCGTCTTTGGGGCTGTATCTTGGCAACCTACAGGTCTTGTGGGGGTTGTTGGACCGTCTTTGGGGCTGTATGTTGGCAACCTACAGGTCTTGTGGGGGTTGTTTGACCGTCTTTGGGGCTGTATGTTGGCAACCTACAGGTCTTATGAGGTTGTTGACCGTCTTTGGGGCTGTATGTTGGCAACCTACAGGTCTTATGGGGGTTGTTGACCGTCTTTGGGGCTGTATGTTGGCAACCTACAGGTCTTGTGGGGGTTGTTGGACCGTCTTTGGGGCTGTATGTTGGCAACCTACAGGTCTTGTGGAGGTTGTTGGACCGTCTTTGGGGCTGTATGTTGGCAACCTACAGGTCTTGTGGGGGTTGTTGGACCGTCTTTGGGGCTGTATGTTGGCAACCTACAGGTCTTATGGGGGTTGTTGGACTGTCTTTGGGGCTGTATGTTGGCAACCTACAGGTCTTGTGGGGGTTGTTGACCGTCTTTGGAGCTGTATGTTGGCAACCTACAGGTCTTGTGGGGGTTGTTGGACCGTCTTTGGGGCTGTATGTTGGCAACCTACAGGTCTTGTGGGGGTTGTTTGACCGTCTTTGGGGCTGTATGTTGGCAACCTACAGGTCTTGTGGGGGTTGTAGTCAAACGTCGCGCTGGGACATCTCCAAATGTCAAATTGTGCATGCTTTTCCATTGCCATGTTTGATTTCAAGAGGGTACAGGATGGTGCCCCCCAGTTTTAAGTGGGTTTATAAACCCCATTAACTATAGTCTATAGTTATATCTGCCATAAACCATAGTTATGGGACTTATAAACCAACTTAGCTAACTATGGGGCACCACCTTGTATATTGCAAGTATGTGTCCATCTATCTTGTCAAATCTACTCTGGTGAAGCATCTATCCAATGGGGGTTGAGTGCGGATATGGTAGCATCAAGTGCCTGCTTCTTGATAGCAAGATACCATCCAAAATTTGATGGTTGAAACAATTTATATACTACCCAACATGGAATCATGAAATATTAAACATCCAAACACAAATTAAAATGTGGCTATGAAGCAACAAGAGTTGACAGCATCGTTGAACAGGGCCTTCTGAGCTGAGCTGACGGTGGCAATAGATGGGTCAACTTGTTGCGTTGCAAACTTTTAGGCGTCTATAAAACAATGAAGAGGTGTGTACTCTCTGGTAAACTAACATAACTATGGAAAATCACCATTTTCAATGGGTGAATCCATTATAAATTAGCCATTTTCAATAGCTATGTTAAATTACCAGAGGGTAAAACATGGTGAAACACCATCAAGACACGAGCAAGAAAACGCTAGCGATTGACTCTACTTGCATGGGCCATCTGAGTGTTTTTTTTGGCAATTGCCTTATATCCCCAAACACGACTGAGCATATAATGGATAGACAAACCCATTTCCTACTTGGTGGCTCATCCCACGAATCGTAAGTGGGTTATAACCCCAGTGATTGATGTGGATTAACCCGCTCCTTATCCCATGTAAATCACTGGGGTGAACTAACCCACTTACGATTCGTGAGTAGTGAGCCACCAAGTAGCTCCATGGCACATCACCTTAGATGACTTCTGTGGTTTTTGAAGTTTTTCACACATCGACGAGATTGGTAAGCTGGTGGTGCTAACTATCTGAAGAAAAATCAACACGATACTCGAATTTGATCCAAAAGCCGCTTGGAAAGTTCCAGGTTGTACGTAGCTACCCTCTGGTAAACGTTTACATAACTATGGAAAATCACAATTTTTCATGGGAAAATCCACTGTAAATGGGCTATTTTCCAGTTCGCTATGTAACAAATAACCAGAGCGTACCATCCCCAAGCCCGGCCGGGGCAATCTGCTGGTGGCTGCTATCTTCAAGGACCACCTGGCAGCACGACTTGGAAAATGATGGAGCCATGACCAGTGCTATCCTGGCTGATCTGCTGGAAGGCCGGGTGTTATACATGAAGAGATCCTCAGATAGTGATGATTTGCACCCTTGTAACGGATGACAACCACTGAAAATCTGCCAACTTCTTGTGATTTTCTGATGCATATCATCTATGCCTTATTACGTGACTGTTACCCTCAAAGTGCTGTGGATTTTTGGTCCTAACCATTCGAAAACCATAGCTATCACCAAGAGTTGTATGTACACATGGTTTTTTTGCCATCCACAAGGTGGTGCCCCATACTTGTGAGTTGCTTCTAAACCCACCCAACCAGATTGATAATCACTACAAAACTTAGTAAGATAGTCACTCAGTTACCATTATTTTAGAAGTTCAGATTGATAATCACCAGGTTTTTTTTACACCAACTTAGTCAGAGATAAACTATCTACGAAATAATCACCAGATAATCACCAGATAATCACCAGATAGTCACCAGATAGTCACTCACTACAAAATTTAGTTTTACACCTTATGATTCCGAACTGAGGCACCGCCAACTCCGACTCTCCGATTCCGACTCGGACCTCCGTCTCCATTGCGTCTTCCGAAACCACAGCCACCCTGAAGAAGGTCAATTAATATTGGAAAAAAAACAAAACAACATTTCATGGGGGTAGTCATCTATATATATATATGTGTGTACTGTATTTATGTATATAGATATTATATGTATGTATATACATATATATATATAATGAGATATGATGGCATATCTTGCGGCATATAATTTGGTAGCAATGTATTGAATGCATTGCTTTCATTGGGAAAACACAGGGGTGAAACCCTTGATTTTGACCCATGAAGATGGCCAAGATGGCCGGGAAGGGTTCCTCATGATCCATCTAAAGTAGTCAGATTAGCTGTTATAAACCACCCGTTAATGGTTAATGATGGTTAATAAATGGTTAGTAAATGGTTAATTCCCCAGTAATGATGGTTAATAGTGGTTAATGATGGTTAATAATGGTTACTGATAGTGAATGATGGTTGATGAGGGTAAAACAATGCCATAAACCACAAAAATGACTGGGAATGGGATTTCCATACCACCTATAAAGATGGTGATGACTGGGGGATGGTGCAAATGGCATTGTTTTAACCACATTATAAGCAAATGATGATAAATCACCCGTTATTTCATTTTCATACACCCCAAATCATATGGTTGGTTTGTAAAAAAAACCATTAGTATCCCTATAACGTGTCCATTATATCCCGATTTTTGGTATGAGCCATTTATTGTTGCGTAATTGTTTAAGTAATTCACTAACCTGAAATAGACCATCTGGAGATAGTTACCCAACTGGCCGTCCTTTATAGTGACATCGCAATGTCGTCACTACATAATTCATCCATTTATTGCACTTTTGAAAAATATGTTTGTATCCCCAACATATATCATGATCTCTCATGATATCTTATATCTCACTATATCATGATATCCCATCGCTCTTGCCTAACATCACTTGCGTAGCACGGTCTGGATGTTATTCTCTGTCTTTTGCCTAGCAACTTCTAACACGCTCTGCATGTCATGCTCTGCACTGTTTCCATGTGACTTCTAACACGCTCTGGATGTTACGCTCTGCACTGTTTCCACTTGACTTCTAACACGCTCTGCATGTCACGCTCTGCACTGTTTCCATGTGACGTTTAACACGCTCTTCAGGGAAGATTGACTCTCTGTGGAATTTGGCTAAAAAAATTGTGCCCAGCAATTTGCAGACAAAAGCAGGGCAGAACAAAGATGTCATGCTGTACCTGCGTTGCTGGCATTGGCGTTATGAGTGCCATACTGGCAACTTGCTGTCGAAAAGCTTCCAAACTGATGGATCGCTGAGCCGACGATGGTGTTAAAAAAACTCGTCGAATCTACGTCTGATGCACATAGTATTTACAAGGATTTGTCAAAATTCAATAGATCTTGAAGCCACTTTTTTTCACCAAAATTGAGTTATCAAAAGAGTTCGGAACAGCATTTTATATTGAAAATTATAGGTGATTCTGACAGTCCTATTCAGCACACCCTCAAAACGCTCGCGCGGTTTCGCATCCGCCGGGATGTTTATCATCTATAAATGGGCCATCTATACCATAGCTATGTAACAAATAACCAGAGGGTATATCCCATGATATCCACATTTTTGTTGGTAAAACATCCATTTTGGCCCCGTTTCTTCTGACCCTTCGCCGCCATCACGACCTCAGCATCGACGCCGCAGGCAGGCGTAGGAAGACCTTCTTGCGGCCGTCGTGGATGTCCGTCCTTGGGGAATTTGGAGATGATGATGGAGATTTAAAGGGAATATAACTGGTTGGTGGTGTCAATCCCTCTGAAAAATATGAGTTCGTCAGTTGGGATGATTATTCCCAATATATGGAAAAGGAAAAAAATGTTCCAAACCACCAACCAGATTAGAATATGATGGGAATATTCCAGAATGAATGTACTAATGAGGATATGCCCAATGGATGTTAGTTAATGGAGACTGTGGATTAAGAGCGCATAAAATTGGGTCACTAATAGCGTAAGAGCTGGAGTCACTAAGTGCGCATAAACTGGGCCACTCCAAGCGCATAACTGTCATTTATGTATATAGGATGAATCTTGATTTCAAACCATAAAATAGATACAGACGAGATCCTATAGTTCTCTGGACAAATATATTTGCAAACCCGGAGAATGTCAAACCCATCTTTTCTTTCCCGTAGCTCTGATGGCATGGTTCCGCTGCATTGTCTTTGGAGACAACATGGACCAGGCAACATTTTCTTGAACATGCTGCACAGAATCGAAGATGATAAGAACATCATCTTGATGTGTTTCCTTGGAAGAATTGTGGCCTAGAATTTCAATTGCAACTAGCAAGCCTTTTTCCTCCATCATAGTGTGACCGATCCTCTTCGACCGATCCTCTCAGGCTCTGTTTTTTAGCCGGCTTCAGCAACGATAGTCTTCTACACTCAACGGCAATTTTCTCGAAAACTTGGGATTGAACAGAAACTTCCGAAAACCCCCTGGTGTTTTCTGATGCACACCAAAGCAATACAATCGCAATCAATCGCACCATGCCCTTCCGTGGAGGGTTTGTGCCAACTGTGGAACAAGAGATCTATTCTTGTGCTCTGGACGCCTTTGTACCGAAATTGTTTCTGGCGTTCAAAAAAAGGTTATAGTACCGACGCAGCGGAACATGAGCCTTATTGCCCAGCCCCACCCCAACCCACCCCATCGGTGAAGTAGCGGCTTGAAGGACTATCATCCACGATGAAAGTCACTTGTGTTTGCGAGCTTAGTTCATCCAGTTACCCTCTGGTAATTTAACATAGCTATTGAAAATCACCATGTTTAATGGGAAAATCCACTATCTATGGTCATTTTCCATAGCTACGTTAAATTACCAGAGGGTATGGGGTATGACCCAATGGGGACTTAGCATGACTTATGACATGGGATGATCCTCCAGGCGCTCTGTCACTTGACCCATTCTCACGGTGGGGTGGAATTTATAACCGCAAAAACACCCTTGGTTTCCGACCCACACACTACACTTCCCACCTATCTTTTTGGTTGAAACAGCAACCCCAATAAGGAAAAACTGCAAACTTGGAAAGACATGAAGAAAAACTCCTCTTTGCACAGTCATGATACCACCATTTCTGATGGCGAAATCCTCCCATCGCCCAGAAATTTCTAGATTTGTAGATGATGTTCCCATTATATCTTAGCAAAAATATTTCACTAACCTGAAATAAGGCTATTTGGGGATGATTCCCCTTTCTAACCTGATTCCAGTGAGGTCGTTATGATTTACCCAGATTATATCCCATTATATCATATCCCATGATAGATTCTGGTTAACCCCATTCTATATGCCCATGTTTGAGTTTGATAGATGAACATCCAGTTATAGAGGATTCTGTTCCCATATGTTTGATGCCTTAAAATCCTCTCCCTTATTCAGCGGGTAAATGTGCTAGCTTTTCACATCACCCAACGAAATTGAGGCTGGAAAGTCTCCAACAGATACTTTTCAAGTGTCCAAAAACTCCAATTTGGCGGACATTTAATCCCATCCAATATTAAACACCCCCTTTTCTACGAAACCATTGTTTTTCATAGGGAATTTCCACATTCCAGCCAGGGGGGGTGTTTAATATTAGGGGGATGGGATTACCCTCCGGTGATGAAACGTGGCTTGCTGGAAAACCCCCATGGGAATTAGTTCGATGGGTTTCCCAACGAAACCTCAAGAAAAATGTGGGATTCTCCAGCTAGCCGTGTTTCATTCCCAGAGGGTACCCTCTGGTAATTTAACATAGCTATTGAAAATGGTGATTTATAGTGGATTTACCCATCAAAATGGTGATTTTCCATAGTTATGTTTGTTTACCAGAGGGTATGTACCATTAAAACCGCATAAATAAATAAATATATATATATATATATATCCGTATGGTTGAGATATCCCCAATATATTCCATCAAGAATTCCCATAGAATATCACCATTTCTGTTGGTCAACCAATATGATCCAACTATATTAATTGTCCCCCATTGTAGTGGTCATCTCATCCATAAACCATTCAATGGATTGGTCTAAGGGAAAATTTACAGGAAACCATGGTTTTTACCATTAAAGATGGGGTTTTCCTGTAAATTTTCCCCTAAACCAATCCATTGAACCATGGTATTTCGACAACTTCCGCCCTGCCCGGCATCCAAGGCTCAACATGATGCGTTCGCGGATCAGCAGCCGCCCATCCGCATCCACAGGGCCACCATAGGCGGCAGAGCCGCCGGTGTCGCTGATGGCGTCCTGCATCAATGGGGGTACCCCAATAGCTGGATGGTTTACAATGGAAAATCCGATGAAAATGGATGATTTAGGGGTACCCCCATGAATTGGCAACCATACGGAGACATTGGTGGATATAGCCTAGTCGGATATGTCATGGGGTATACTTATATATACAATGAGATAGATCCACAGTCTTCAGTTGGTTAATAGCCTTCATTAAGTATTGATATATCTACCATACACCCAAGCTATTGGAATTATAAACCAACTTAGCTAACTATGGGACACCACCTGGTAGATATAATGGGATACAACGGGAAATAATGAGATATAACCCTCTGGTAAACTAACAGTTTGCGAACTGGAAAATCATCATTTTTAGTGGATAAATCAATTATAAATGGCATGCTATGCTGGAGGGTACATTCTATAGATCTAAAGGGATATAATGGGATTTATTGTAGATAGTATATGGAATATCCCCAATCAATTATAATTATATACTATCCAACCTTAGATGCTATCCTATGTCAACTGACGTTAGAGTTGAGTGGTTTGTATAATTCAGGTTGGTCTAAATATGTCTAAATATCTGTAGATATATCAACCATCGATCTATAGATATATCACATCTCATATTCCCGCAAAATCTTAAATCCAATTGTTGCATTGACCCCAAAAATTTCCATTGTAAAATGGTTTAAATCCCTATAGAATCACATTAATCCCATAAAATATCCACAGTCTTCCTCGGCTAGATCCCTATCTGTGGATGGTTAAATCACCATCACATTATTCAAATCCCCATCAAATCCCATTCATCCCCATCAAAAAATCTTCGAACAACCACAAAAACCATAAATATCCACTGCCACCCAAAATCCCATAAACTGCTGAGATCCCCGCAAAATGCTGGAAAATCACCCAAAACCTATTGAAATCACCATCACATCCCATGAATCCTACATCAAATCCCATTCATCCCCATTAAATCCTCAAAAATCTTTGAAAAACTGAAAAAATCAGATCAAATCATAAAAAAAAACACGAATTCCCACCTGAAATCACCCTGAAATCACCCTGAAATCACCACCACGGCTCCAGCGGCAGCGGCAGTGCCCCTAGGCCATCACAGCGCGCGCCCAAGCCCAGGGAGGAGCCCAAGAAGGGCGGCACCGAGCCCACGGCCTGGGAGTTAACCGTGGAAAAAAAAGGGATCGATCACATCCGGCTGAAAGCCTTGCCTGGTGAGCAAACTCTGCTGGGCCTCCAGCACCGTTGCCACCGCCAGGGTGCCGGGAGCCTTCTTCCACAATTTGTGGGACTCCCTTTGCCCCTCGAACAGCTCTGTGTTGACCATCACCTCGCTGCTGCTCGATGAGCTCGACACCGAAGTTGACCCTTTGCTGCTGGAGGATCTCTTCTTCTTTTACTTCAATCTCTTCCTGACCTTCTTGGCTGTACGAATGGCCAGCCGTCTCACCGAGGGGTCGGGGTCTAATCCCGTTCCCCCAAAGAACAGCGCGAGATTTTTTTTGGCGTCGCTGAGGTCACCGAAAAAATCGGAGTTGAACCGTGAAAAAGGGTGATTTTACCGTGAAAAATATGGTGTTTACCGTGAAGTGTTGGGATTGAAGCATGAACAATAGTTACAATAGTTAAGCATGATGGAGTTGACCATGAAAAATAGGAATTTCAATGGATTTTACCATAATGAAGAAGAATGCGGATTTAACCAAAAGCTGGCCTATACATGGCTTTACTATATTATAGTCAACTATAAACAATAGGGATTTAACCAGAATAATTGCAAAAAATGGATTTAGCTATGAACATCGTTCGGATTAACCATGAACAACATTTCCCCACCTGTCAGGTGAAGGTTGTTAGGTTTTATGTCAGCTGTCCCGCCCGCCTCCTCGCCCGCCTTCCGCCTCCTCCGCCGGACCTCAACTGCAAGCGCTAGATCGCAGTGTTACCCGCTACAACTACGACTACCGCTACACTACACTACACTACACTTCGCGACGCTACTGCTACAACTACAAACGCAAATATACTACGCTACATTACACCACACTAATTGAATCTAATTACGCTACACTACACTTTAGCACACTACACTACAGCACACTACACTACACTAATTACACTACAACAACCACCACCACCACAAAGACGGCGAGTACTTTTACTACTACTACTACTACTACCACCACTACTACTACTACCACCACTACTACTACTACTCCTACTACTACTCCTACTCCTACTGCTACTGCTACTGCTACTGCTGCTACTGCTACTACTGCTACTACCACTACCACCACAGCTACAACCACAATTACAACTACACTACATTACACGAGACTACACTAATTACACCGCAGCACACTACAACTACAAAAACAACTACACTACATTACACAACACTGCACTACACTAATTACATTACATTACGCTACAACTACAAGTGCAACTGCAAGTGCAACAACCACTACCACTACATTGCACTACACCTAGGCTACACTAACTACACTACACTGCAACTACAACTACACTACACTACACTAGACTACACTATACCACGCTACAGTACAAAACACTACAGCAAATTACACTACACTACACTAATTACACCACACCACAACTAGAACTGCAACTACACTGCACTAATTACGCTACATTGCAACTACAACTCCACTACACTACACTGCAACTACAACTACAGCTGCACTAATCACACCACACTACATGCAGCAGTTGTGGTGAGGTGACCAGTGCAACCATTGCAACCACTCCGAAAAACACAGCTCCAACCACCTTTCGGTCCATCAATGGATTCGCTCTGCCATCCGTGATTCACAACAACCAACCTCTCCTATAAGTTCCCTATTTTTGAAATTTCTGCCACCGCCTTGTGCGGTACTACTGGTATTGGTGTTGTGTGTGTGTGTGTGTAAACTTATTTACATGTGTCTGTATGTGTATATATGTACACAATATATATATATATAATGTATGTGTTTGCAAATATACATATATGTATGTATATGTATATGTATATATATAACATAACTGGGAAGGTAAAAGATCATTTGTAAACATTAGTTTGGGTCAGCGACCATATTTCCATGAAACGCTTGGAACTAGACCCGACCACTTGACCCCTTGTACCCTGTGTGTCCAAAGATAATACAAATTTACCCCAAAACTCCACATGTCTGCAGGAAGGCCATAACCTTGGGATGCTTCCACTTGCCTGTTGGTAAGCATGATCTCAGGAGCTAAGTAGTGGGCTGTGGTCATTTTGCGAGCGGTGAGCGGGGCATTGACCCCCTCCGCCGTATCAAAATCAATCATTTTCAGGCAGCGAGATCGGTCATCCATCAAGATCTCACCTTTGAGATCGAAATGGCCGATCATGTTGTCGTGCAAGAACTCCATTGCTTGCACAATTTGTGAGGCCTGGAACCGAAATTCCTGGGCATAATCATCAGAGGCCACTTCAAGGAGAAAAGTCTCGAGGTCGCTGCCGAGGATGAGCTCTGACACGAGATCATATGTGTCGCTGGTCAGAAAACAGGCGCGGGTGCTCAATATATGCGGGTGCCGGTGCCGCGACAAAGCAGCCAAAATCTCCCACTCAGAAGTTCGGAAGGAATCACGGGCAAGGACTTTGACAGCTACCTGCTGCATCGGGAAGATCCCATGGTAGACCTTGCCAAATGCACCATGGCCCAGCTCTTCCCTGTCCAGCGCGTCTAAGTTCGATCTGTTTGTAATATCAGGGGAGGGGTCTGAAGGCCCAAAAAAGGGTTATGATCTTCGATCCATTCGTTTGTCTTGACTCATGTGACCTTCGCGTGCACTAGTCTTGAACAACCTTGGGTCAGGGGTCCTCAATGCTGTTATCCCATCAAATTTGTGTTCACAACTGATCACACCAACAGGATGCCAGCACAACTGTACTGGGCCGCTCTGGTTGTGGAAAGCTAGGCCATAGAGCGAAGATTGACATTTGCCTTGGCCAAAATATGTCAATATCATCGCTCATCGACTCAGCACGTTCAACTTTCGCATGGTTCAGTGTGAACATCTGCGAGCCATCCGCTCTGGCACTTCTGCCCGGAGTCATCCCGATGCTTTGTCACATTGTGATAACATGAACGTCAACACCCCACCACATGCCAAGCGTAGCATCAAGTGTCTGAGTAAGTTAACATGAACGTCAACACCCCACCCCATGTCAATCGTAGCATCAAGTGTCTGAGTAAGTTAACATGAAGGAACCATCAAGAGTATAAGAAAGCTCATGAAATCAAATAATAGTTGATCTAGGTCAGGGAGTGAAACCTACCGTGCTTGACTTGCCCGATCTTACCGGTTGCTTCCTTTGATTGATTTATCCGCCTGACCAGAGCGTTCCCCGCCGGACCTCCACCGCAAGCTCCGGATCAAAGTGTTCCCCGCCGGACCTCCACCGCAAGCTCCGGATCAAAGTGTTCCCTACCGGACCTCAACCGCGAGCTCCGGATTAGAGTGTTCCCCCCGGATCTCAACCACAAAGAATCTCCGAAGATATACCAGATAGAATGCCAGATAGAATGTCAGAAAATATGTTAGATAAAATGTGAATGTCAGATAGAATGTGAGAAAATGTGTCCAAAAAATGACAGTTGGTGGGGATCACTCGAAGAAAATAATTTACATATGCTTTTTTTGGGGCGGTGGTTCAACCAACTGGAAGATATTTGACGGATATATGGACTACAATGGAAATAGAATAGAACTAATGGAAATCAGGTGGAAAATATCTGACGGAATAGTAGACGACAATGGAGACACAGCTAATATGGCTATGGTAAGTTGGTTTAGTTCACTCATATCACATCATATCACTTGGGTTTATGGTAGATATAGAATCTATAATTGGGGTTTAACCAAGAGAAAATCGGCATTTAAGTATCAAGAATAGGGAGTTAATCATGCTAAATAGGTGGATTTAACATGATTTAACATGATTTAACCAGTCAACAAAGGTTCATAAACAAAAAAATGATTTCAAGGTCGAAAAGTGCCATTTATCCACAAATATATGGGGTATAGAACGAACCATAAATTGGGAATTCGACGGGCCTGGAACTGGGTCTCAACCAGCAAGAATGTTGATATCCTGTGGAAATACCTGTGGAAAAATCCTACAATGTGAGGCCCCCAAGATAGCTAAGTTGGTTTATAGGCCCCAGTAACTATAGTTATTTGTGTACCATAAACCATAGTGATTGGAGTTATTTGCACCAACTTAGATATCTTGGGGGCCTCACATTTTAGGATATAACATGATATCCTCTGGTAAACTAACAGTTTGCGAGCTGGAAAATCACCATGTGCAATAGGTAAATCAACTATAAACAGTTTTCCTTGGCTATGTTACCCACCTGGGTCTTCAATCGTTACATTGTTTTTTTACTACCCTGGCATAAGATCCAGGCATATGTATGCATGTCATTGTATATCTACATATTGTTTCATACCTGATTTTTGTTGGCACATTCTTCCATCTGCCAGCACGTTTCGTACCAAGATTTGTTGCATCCCAGAGGCAGAACTCGAGCGTTCGATGGCAGAAAAGGGAACGAGAGAAACCTCGATGTGGTAAGTCATGGAATGATATGGTTTATTATGGCTTTATATGGCTTTACATGGTTTTATATCATGACTTACATGGTTTATATCCTTATAAGTTATATGTGGTAAGTCATGATATGGCTTATTATGGCTTTATTATGGCTTTACCATGAGTTTTATGTTGGGATTATGATCGGAGAAAATCGGGAAAATCATAGGATCCATGATGGATATACGCTTGGTTGTTTCAATGGCAAAGGTCATGGTCATCTGACTAACATTGAAACATTGATCATCATGACTAAACATTAGTCTTATTTTTTGATCATCATGTTTCAGAAAATCTTACCAAAAGACTTGCCGAAAGACTAGTTAGGACTAGTTTCTACCCATCCAGTTGATTGACCTAGTTTTACCCACATTACGGTCTGGCTGGTGGTATACCTACCCCTCTGAAAAATGATGGAGTTCGTCAGTTGGGATGATGACATTCCCAACTGAATGGAAAGTCATAAAATTCATGTTCCAAACCACCAACCAGTCATCCATGACAACTGGATGACCCCCATGACAAAACGGAAACCCCTAAATGTTGGGGAGAAACTCCCTAATTTACTAAAAACATGTTGGGGAAAGTGAACTCACAAACATGGGGAGCTTCAAAAACGGAATTCAAACTGAAAACATCAGGATCTTCCTGAAGATGACGACTGAAACATGGGGTTTCCAAGGCTTTCCATAGGATCTTCCGTGATTGTCCAATATCTTCAATATCTTCGATGGGTTTTCCACTGATTTTCGTTGATTTTCCACCCTTCGAACCATAAGTTGTCCCTGGATTTTCCATGGCTTTTCCCGGCTTTTTCTTCCCAGCAAGTGGCAGCCACACCCATGGCCATGCAGCCAGCAGGTGGCGATAGCGGTGACATCTCCTGGCAGGTTGGAAAATGATTTACCTCTTACTAACATATGGAGGATTTAACATAGCTAAATTGTAAATAACATTAAATAACTATCATGGGCTAATCATCCACTATGGTACAAATTGTGGCTGATTTACTTATATTATCTTATATTTACCTCTTAAGAATGGTGATTGTCCATAGCTATGTTAAATAGCCATAGGATAAAACTTAGTAACTTAGTATCTTCCAATGATGTCCCATTTTTCAAACCAATGTTCCGTCGATTTCTCCAACAGTTTCTAAGTTTGATGTTGAAATTGAGGTTCAACCGACAATTTTGGTTGGAGAAGTCATGAAAATTGAGCGAAAAAAAACAGGTTTAGGTTTAACTGTGAACTGTTCAACCAAGAAAAATCAAGATCTTATGCGGATATATACTGGGATACAACTAACCAACTTGATATGATCTTTGGGGATGATTTCCCTTCTTAACCATGATTCCAGTGAGGTCGCAGTGAGGTCGTTATAATTTACCCAGATTATTGTCAGACAAAACCAACTCCATTAATGATTCAATGAGTCTCGGCCACAAGGACTGAACCATTTACGTAGAGGTACTGGGTATCTTCATTTCTGAGCTAAAATAAAACAACAAAAAATGATCGCCACTGTTGCAACTTAATGTTGGTGATTAGACCATCTTATGACTTTTAGAGGCTTTGCTGTAAGTATACCATCTTCAAATTCTTATGAATTCTCCAATCAATCGGAGGGTAAATTGTAATAATTCACCAACCTGAATTGGTTGGCGATTGTGGGATGAGTTCCCCTGTTGACCATTTTTTCAGTGAGGTGACTATCTGGTTGGTGGTATACCTACCATCTTGAAAAGTATGAGTTCGTCAATGGGAAGGATGACATCCCATATATGAAATGGAAAATAAAATTCATGTTTGAAACCACCAACCAGCTACAATGACTACTAGAATAAACCTATCGGGAGTTTCAGCACAGAAGAATTTGGGGCATGTGTTCCTAGAGGTTAAATACTCCAGAAATCTGCTTGAAAAAAAACGGAGGCCTCTCCGGCCCCGGAGAAGAATTGGAGGCAAAGACAGCAAAAATTTTCTGAAGATCCCTGGGGCCCTGTAGAATCAGTTTTTGTGATACTGTGGATGGGCCAGCGAAATCCGAATCACCAGCTGATAGGTGGTAAACATCCCATTATTTCGTTCGGGTTTCATCCAAAGCGGTGATGCAGGATTTCGCCGCCATCCACCGTATTGTCCTGTAGAAATTAGGAGTGTTCTGATCACAGACTTGGGTCATGGGAAAATTTTAACCGGAAACCCCACCCAATTTGATGGTAAAAACCCATGGGTTTCCGGTCGATTTTCCCAGACAAACCAATCCATTGATATGAGGGGTATCATGCTGTTGACCATGAAACATTGAGATCCACATAGTGCCTGCTGAGCTTGCCTGCAATAAAAGGCATAAACCCTCTGGTACTCAAACATGGCAGAAATCTATCCATTTTGTTCGATCATTGTCCAATTTAAATGTCCATTTTTTTCGGGGATTTCCCAGCCACGTTTGATTCCCGGAGGCTTGGGCCAGGAAGATTGACCAAATCTGGGATCCCATCGAGTCATCAGATCCCGTTCATATGAAACTCATATATCTGGGTCAATTATAATATTTCACTCACCTGAATCTTGCGGCCATAAAAGGGGATGATTTCCCTAAAGTACACCATGATGAACCAGGGCTCGGGAGAACAGGGCTCGGTCGTGATGGAATTTACCCAGACAATTGCATGGTCCTAAATTCACCTGATTTCATCCTACGGCCTACCATGGTCCATAGTTTCTGGGGCGTGGCGAGGACGAGATGAATTTCACGGCCACCCATGGCCCAAGCCCAAGGCCTCCACCGTCATCTGATAGTCTCCAGGGGGAAGCTCGATCTCCAGCGAGCTGCGCCTGTCACTTTGGGCTTCCTCAAATGTAGAAACCATTAGACGCCCTAGAACTACATGTAACTAGCATGAAAACCTTTACCTGGGGGTGCAGTTCCACTCATTTTTCTGGGTTATAGTTCACCATAGTTAAGTTGAACCTAGAAAAAAAAACTAATCCCTATGAAAATATTCACATAGTTTGGGATATTTAGTTCCAAAAAAAAAACTTGTGGAGGTAAACTAATCCCAGCATAGTTATAGCTATGAAACTAACCCCTTGGCTTCACCCTCAAGTTCGTATGAGCTTTCACCTCATTGACTAACTAAGTCACATCTAGAAAAAGAACAAAACTACTAGACTACCATAAACCACATTTAAGTATGTAAATATATATATAGTATATTATATTATATTATATTATATTATATTATATTGTATTATATCATATTATATTATATAATATTATATATATATTATATTATATTATATTATATTATATTATGTTATGTTATATTATATTATATTATATTAAATATTATTTATATATATATTATACTATATATTATATATTATATATTATATATATATTATATTATATTATATATATATTATATTATATATTATATATATTATATATATTATATATTATATATATTATATATATTATATATTATATATTAAATATTATATTATATATTATATATTATATATTATATATCATATATTTTATATTATATATTATATATTATATATTATATATTATATATTTTATATTATATATTATATATTATATATTGTATATTATATATTATATATTATATATTATATATTATATTATATAGTATATATATTATTATATTATATATTATATAATATATAATATTATATTATATTATATATTATATTATATTATATTATATATTATATATTATATTATATTATATTATATATTATATATTAAATATTATATATTATATATATTATATATTATATTATATATTATATTATATAGTATATATATTTTATTATATTATATATTATATATTATATAATATTAGATTATTTTATTATATTATATATTATATTATATTATATATTATATATTATATTATATTATATTATATATTATATATTATATATTATATATTATATATTAAATATTATATATTATATATTATATATTATATATTATATATATTTTATTATATTATATATTATATATTATAATATATATATAGAAACCTCACATAGAAACCCTATGGAAACCTGGACCTTCCCAGCTGGAATCTGGCCTGCCACGCTGCTCCCCGACCCAGAGCCCTTCATCCGAGACCAAGGCGACGCGAACCTTTGGATTTTCTGATATTGCCATAACTTATGGAATAATGGTAAATAAATGGAAAAATAGTAATAGTAGTAATAATAGTAAATAGTAATAAGTATTGCTTATTTGCCTTTATTACTATTTTTTTACATATAGGGAATAATAATGGTTACCCTCTGGTAAATTAACTTGTTGACCCTGAAGTGATAGCCTAGTTTTAATGGAAACTAATCTTCCAACCCCGTTTTCTGCCAGGGTCCATGTTAATTTACCAGAGGGTAAATAGTAACAAATAGGGAAATAGTAGGGAAATAATAAATCATATATACTATGGGGAAATATACTACTATAGGGACATAAAATAATGGTAACTATCCAAATAATAATGTATATGCCAGATTACTATTCCCTATAGGTTTTCCCTATAGTACTTATTTTCTTACATTCCCTAAGATTATATATACTATAGGGAAATTACAATAACTTAATCAATAGGGAACAAGAATAAAAATGGTACATAGTAATGGTACATATCACTACTATTGGGAAATAAGAATGGTACATAAGATTATATCTACTCAATGGGAATGATAGTAACTTAATTACCATGACTTTATGGGATATATACTCAATGGGAAAATGTTGAGGATATATATATATATATATTATAATGGGGATTTTGAGATTTTTCATTTCATGGAAATTTTGGACTTACCATGACTTTATGCTGGGAATATGATGAAACATGATGGGGCCCATCGGATAGTGGGAACATGGTGGGATCATAAATTGACTGGGCCTCGGGAATGCTGGGTACATTGTCGTGCGATAGACAGACCGCCGATATTCGACAAAAAAAGGCCTTGCTCTGAAGATATGGTTTATGGGAATATGCATACTTGAATTTCATGGGAATGTAGGTGGAATGTGATGGGAATATGTCTAGAATGAAATTGTTTGTCTATATACCCTCTGGTAAACTAACATAACTATGGAAAATCACCATGTTTAATGGCAAAATCCACTATAAATGGCCATTTTCAATAGCTATGTTAGTTTACCAGAGGGTAAACTCATGGTGATATCATGGGAATATCATGGGACATTTCATTGGATAATCGTGATGTCAGACTGGAATATCATGGGGATATCATGGTGGGACATTAATGGCTTAATTTGTCCATTAACATTAATAGGCCCAGACGGAAATCAGGATTTAATGAATGTTAGCGGATGCTACTGGATATAATGGGAATATCATAAGATAATGGACTTACCATGACTTAATGGGACATATAGTAGGATAATGATGGTTTAATGGGAATATACTAGGAAATCACGGTGGCTGTTTCTTATACTAATCCCTATTGATATCCCACTATGTTTGCAATAAATCCTCCGAATAGCTAGGGGTTATATACGCCTATATCCCCATGATATGTTATGTTCATTGCATATCCCACTATATATCCCCATTGATGATTAAAAGCCCTGCATATATACATATATATATAAAGGTTAGATCCCGCATAACCAACGATAAGAAACGATGGACCAATGAGAAAATCATTATTTTTATCTGTTGAAATCTATTGAAATATACATAAATATTCCAAATAGATTTATATTGTATATATATGTGTGTGTGTGGAGGTTTCCTAAAATGGTGGATCCACAAACCACCATGGGTTTCAAGACTAAAATGGTCTAATCTGGTTAAACGGAAACCTCCATATGTACTGTACCCTCTGCTAGTTGAACAGAACTATTGAAAACTTTATAGAAAGTTTGTTGATTTACCTATTAGACATGGTGATGTTCCATAGTTATCCCTCTGGTAATTTAACATAGCTATAGAAAATCACCATTATTAGTAGGTAAACCATCTATAAACGGGCCATTTTCCAAAGCTATGTTAGTTTACCAGAGGGTATGTAAACGTTTTCCAGAGGCTACATCCCAATATATCCCAGCTTCCCAGTAATATCCCATCAAAAAAATCCCATTGAAATATCCATAAATGTTCCACATAGATTTATACTATATATAAACACGTACTGTATGTTCATCCCAATATATCCCCATGACGGTCAGTGGAAAACATCCCATAATTAGGTATTATATCCCGTAGTTATTCCCATATTATATATATATCCCATATTAGGTATATATTCCCATTATGTGCCATAATTTCCCCAGAAATATTCCCATAGGTAGTCGAGATACCCAATATATCCACATGACGGAAAAATGCCAAAGGTTCCAAGGCACATAGTGCTGAGTGAAGGGCGACCAGGACGCAATCGTCGCCTGCAGTTGGTCTTTTTTGGAAGACAGGTGATGAAACAATGGAGATTATAATGGCATGATTGTCTTAGTGTTTGTTTAACGCCAAGAAGTTTGACTTGAAAAAGTGGGATGGGTGGTGTCTGCTGATCCCCATCAAAAAATATCACCGCTGCAATCCATCCACGTTCTATTCCTCTGGTGTTGTGGCCTTTGATGACATCTGAAACAAGCCCCAATTGAAGAAAACAGGTGGTTCTGAATCGGCCCCAGTTCTAAGTTGGTTTGTAACCCTATCTAAATATAGATACATCCACCATAAATCAGACTAATCCTAGAAATCAATGTGCCTGGTCCCTTCCTGTGGTTATAAATCAAACATGTCCCCATCAGATCGTTTGTGAAGTCATTCCTCTCCCGGGGTCGGTCGACCGGAAATTATCGGAAGGGGCTGCAGTTCCACCTAATCATCAGTTCTCAGGGCATGGATATGTATACATATTTTATAATATATATATATATATCTATCTATCTATCTATCTATCTATCTAATTTGTGGTTTCATCCTGCGGAAGTCATTATCATTCCTTCCCCATCAATCCTATCATTATCATAGCCTTTGGTAAACGTTTACATAGCGGAAAAAATGGTTCGCAAACTGTTGGAGTCCCGGAGGGTAATCCCCATCCTATCCCTTGAAAATATCATCATTATACCTGGTTGGTGGTTGCAACCTACCCCTCTAAAAAATGATAGAGTGAAAGTCAGTTGGGATGATTATTCTCATATATGAAATGGAAAGTCATAAAATTCATGTTCCAAACCACCAACCAGCAATTGTACCACATGGACCATGTCGGGTTTTCGACTTCAGTGGGCTAGCAGCAACAAAGCATCCTTCATTTACAGATGATCTTGGGCATGCTTCCAATTTAGCAAGCAAAAATAAGAAGTGATTTCTCAGCACAAGAATTCTACTTTAATCATATGGGGATGGGTGAAAATTTAGTGTTACCACAATTATTTGGGCGAAGAAACATCCGTTACAGTAACCACCGATTTTGGGGTACCTAGGCTGCCAGGGTTTTGACTCATAGCCATATCAGTGAACCTTAGGCAAGCACCATCTCTCGTGCAACTGAAACACTACCGCAGGCTGCGGCACTGTGACGGGAAGTTTCAGCGCATTTGGGAGGGCTGCTATGTTCCTCAGCCAGTTTAGACTGGGGCACAGGGGCACACTGAGTTTGGAAGAGTTTGGAAACCAAACATATCTTGGAATAAATTTTCTCCAAACCACCGGGATAAAGGAAAAGTTATTTCGGACCCTAACAATAATCTTCACCAAAAAAATGCAAACATCGCATTTGTTTGTTGTCCACTGTGTTTTTTGTGGTTGAAACCCACATCTAGCTTGCTTCACCCACATCTGTGTTGCTTAAGTCCATTTTTTTTCGCTCACATCCTGGACTTCTTTCGTTTCAAATGGCAAAAAAATATCATCCCATGGTCCATCATATTCCCATGGCATCTCCTAGCCAAAAAAATTGCAGCTATCCCAAATTTCTCCATTTGTCCATCATTCTATGGGTTTATTTAATTCTATTTACCATTGACCAATGTCATTTGTGTTGACCCTATTTATCTGGCTGAATTACCTTCTGGTAAACTAACATAGCTATGGAAAATCACCATGCTATCAATGGGAAAACTCACTATAAATTTCCATTTTCAATAGCTATTTTGACATAACCAGAGGGTAACATAATTCGCCAACAAGGTCATGTTGGGATGTTTCCCCCGAGCAGCCAGGCATTTAGAGTGACGTCTGCTGAAATTGTGTTGATGTCCCTCGTTGTTTGTGCCCTGTGCTTCAGCCAAAATCATGGTGGGCTTACCATATTGGCATTTTTGATCATCAACAATTATCCAAATTATGATCATGATGTTTGTTCCATTTGTATATCGGGCTATTGTTGTTTGTTGTTGTTTTCTACTATTGTCTATTATACTGTTGTAATATGTTATTGCAATCCAGAACAAAACAATTAATATCGCATGAATGTCCGTCAATATCCATCACTTTCTGAATGGAACCACATGTATTGATGACTAGTGGGTTGTCATCAAAGGTGAAAATTAACCATAATGAAATGTAATGACAATTTCACATATTGAACAATCATGAATAATCACAACGGTTTTATATCCAATATTGAACCCACCTTCCATGGACCCAACATGGTCATTGTTGATGATATGTCATAAACCCACAAAAAAAAATATGGTCGGTGGTTGACCTACCCCTCTGAAAAATATGAAAGTCAGTTGGGATGATGACATTCCCAATATACGGAAAGTCATAAAAGCCATGTTCCAAACCACCAACCAGATCAGTACTTCATAGCCTTTTTTGTGGTGGCTTCTCAAGTTCGGAAGTTTCCCGACACGGTGGTACCCCCAAATCCATAGGATCTTTCAAGCCATGGGGACTTTTTGGATCCCGTAGGATCCCCCATGACTGAAGAAACCCATGAAAAAATCACCATTTTTCATCAGCAAAAATAGCAAAACCATTGAAGTAGATAGAAAAATCCATAGATTTCCCCCATGTTTTTGGGTTTACAACTCCATTTCAGCTCCATACTGTGGATGGTTGCGAAATCCTGCATCACCAAAAGGATAGTTGACACCCTATAAATAATGGGATGTTTACCACCTATCAACTGGTGCTTCGGATTTCGCTGGGCCATCCACCGTATCCTGGCGTCAGCATGGGTCAACACACCCTTCTTTGTTTCCCAAGGCGCAACTGTTTCTTGAACTCCTTGGCGCCCTGCCGCGCAGTGCCTCCAACTGTCGCGTCCTCAATCCTGAGAGGTTCCAGCATGGCTCTAGCCTCTAATGGGAGATTCATAAATCACCAGGGGTACCCTCTGGTAATTTAACATAGCTATTGAAAAACACCATTTATAGTGAATTTTCCCATGAAAAATGGTGGATCTTTCCATAGTTATGTTAAATTCCCAGAGGGTGTCCTAAAATGATGAAAATATGGGATGATTTGGAATAATGGCTTCTAAGTTATGAAGCCAAATATGGGTGATTTAATCATATACCCTCTGGTAAACTAACATAGCTATTGAAAATCACAATTTTTAATGGGAAAACTCACTATAAATGGCCATTTTCAATAGCAAACTGTTAGTTTACCAGAGGGTATTCCATATCTCCAGAAAGCCCATATGTCTAAAATGTTCTAATCTGGGATGATTCGGGGGTACATGACTTCGAAAACCTCCATATGTGCTGTATATACATCCCAATAGTGGAGGGTTCCATCGATGGGGGTTTCCCCAAATGGATGGTTTATAATGGAAAACCCTGTTTAAATTGATGCTTTAGGGGTACCCCTATTTTAGGAAACCCCTACGTATATATAACCCCAGTTGTTAAATGTTATTAACCCACTTCTATGAATTGGTACTGACCCAGTTATAAACCCATTAATGTGGGTAAAATAATGCCATAAACAACCACCCACGACTGGGAATGGTAAACATACCACCTATAAAAATGGTGATGACTGATGGTTTACATTGTGTTACCCACATGATAGAGAATTTGCCCGTTGAAACCTCTGTTGAGACAATTTTCCAGGTAGCCATGTTTGGTTACTGAAGGGAAAGTCTTTTCTGACAAAAAAAGGAATGAAAATAATCTAACTGTGTGGCTGTAACGGTGTTTCACGGATATTTACATATAACATCATATAACCAACAATAATTGGTTGGTGGTTGACCTACCCCTCTGAAAAATATGAGTTCGTCAGTTGGGATGATTATTCCCAATATGTGGAAAAATAAAGAATGTTCCAAACCACCTAACATAGCTATTGAAAATGGCCCAGTCGAAATAGTGGATTTACCCAGTAAAAATATGTAAAAATGGTGATTTTCCAGTTCGCTGTTGGTTTACCGGAGGTTAACCAACCAGATAGCATCAGTGCCCCAAAACTATTTGATGGTTGGGAAACTCGATTCGTAGCTCCAACTGGCTCCCCATTGAATAGGGAATATATAGGGAATTTCTGAATACCCCTAGCTCCGAATCGCTCCCTCCGTTCACCACTGGATTTTTCGACACATAGCGAACTGGAAAATCACCATCTAGAGTAGGTAAATCACCTATTTCTATGGGCCATTTTCAATAGCTATTTTGACATACCCTCTGGTAAATTAACATAGCTATGGAAAATCACCATTTTTTATGGGAAAAACCATTATAAATGGTGATTTTCCATAGCTATGTTAATTTACCAGAGGGTAACCAGAGGGCCCCAAAACCATCACCAAGTTGGTCCGCACCTCGCCAGTCCGTCGCAGGACACCGCGCCCGTGTCGGCACTGGTGGCACGAATGCCCCAGGTGACGAAGAAGGGAACGGCGTCAGCCAAGGCCTGTGGATCAACACTTACCCTCTGGTAATGTCAAAATAGCTATTGAAAATGGCCCATTTATAGGTGATTTACCTACTATAGATGGTGATTTTCCATAGCTATGTTAAATTACCAGAGGGTAGTGTTGGTCGTTAACCATCGTTAGTAACCATAGTTGGGAACCATAGTTAGTTAATGTTAGTTAACTATGGTTAGGTAGCCGTAGTAACCATAGTTACTTGGTAACCATAGTTAGCAACCATGGTTGATAACCATAGTTAGCAAGCCTAGTTGGTAACCATATGTAGTTAGTAACCATAGTTTGCCATGGTTAAAATGGTTACCACACGACAGTTAGTAACCATAGTTAGTCCACCCATGAACAAGTATGATGGTACCCTCTGGTAATGACCAACATAGCTATTGAAAAAACACGCCATTGAAATAGTGAGTTTTCCCATGAATAGCATGGTAATTCTCCATAGCAAACTGTTAGTTTACCAGAAGCTAATATGTTCTGGATTGTGGGATTATGACGGGAATATCCAACCATTATGTTCCGGATCATCCCAGGGATCGGAACTGGTTTTGCCAAACCTTTTGCTTTGCTCAGCCATGTACAAATGGGATAAGCCCACAAAAAATGGGGACGAACTTGATCACTAAGGCTGAATTAAACAACACTTCCCCTTTCATGGGATCCTCCAAGCAGGGTTTTTTGGGATTTTTGCTGGTTTTCAAGTGGAATTTGTAAATACCCTCCGGTAAACTAACATAGCTATTGAAAATCACCATTTTTAATGGGTAAACCATCTACAAAGCGATGCGTACCAGGCGTTCTGAAAAAACCTCGTAAAGGCAACCATGTGTTCAAAAGGGCAACCATTGGCTCGACAATTTTAGCAGTGTTGAGCCGATTCCAGGAAATACTGGTTGACAAGGGGATTCGCAGTTCATGGATGAGGATGATGATGATGATGATGATGATGATCCCCAGTATATTGGATACATAGTTTAACCATGTTTAACCCCCTACGAGCATCAATCAGGGGTCTTGAACTCTGCTAGATGAAGGTAAGCCCCAACCTATGGGGCTGCATCACCGACCAAATATGGGATACCATGAGGATGTAGGAAGGATAGAACGCGGATATATTTATTCATATGGATTCAACAAGGAGTGGTATCTTTGATGTGTGTTTAATGATACAATATCATATAATGATATGTCAGGACACTCATTGTCTTATGGGTTTCATATTATAAGTTCATGATGATATCATGGGTATTACTGGGGCTATAATGGGATATGTGGGTCAAATGACCATGGATAGAATAGAGATACAATGGGGAGATGACACGGATACAACCAACAGACCACTCATTTCATTTATGGTATACGGTATGCTATTGGGATATAACTGGCACTGTGATTTTTCCGCTTTGTTGTCAAAAATTGGTGTTATGTCCCTAGTCGTGGCAAGTTTGGTTTTCAAAATAATGAAAATATTTAAAAAAAGATGGAATGGGTTATCCTTATGGTGCAGTCTCAAAATATGGGGATTGAAGTACCCTGTTTGAGCATAGCCAACCTGGCAATCATGGTGTTTTATGAGAGGAATTGAGAATCCAAAAAGTGGATATTGCCACGATTAACAAAACAAAACAAAACATGGGTGTGTGATCCAGCAATCATAGGTGGGTTCTGAGAATGCTGTTGGGAGGGTCTGGTTGGCTGGCCAAAAATAAGTTGTCACGAACCTCTGCTACTTTAAAAACGGTCTTTCGAGCAAATTGCGTGGGTTAGCTCACAAAACTGAGGGTTTGACTGGCAGCAATGAAGCAGAAATAGCAGCAGCATGGAGTCAAGCAACTCAGTGATAATTGCGAGTGGTGCTCATCCATATGACAATGTTACAGAGCACTTTCCCTTGAGCCAGTACTGGTTCTTTGTCATGTGTGCTAGGGTCAAAACATGGTACATGGAGTAGGGTCATCCATGCCATAGTGAGACTCCCAAATGGAATATGGATCACCGTTCATGAATTGATGGCTGGGTATACATCCAACGAACTTGACCATGGCACATATTGGGGTGTCCTTTCCTAAAATGGGGATACCCCAGTTATCATCCAGTCGTCATGGATGACCAAACTATAGTATTGAAACAACCATGGTGACTTGGGGTACCCCCATGACTTAGGAAACCTCCATATATTTGGGAAGATATCTCACCAAGTAGACATCGTAAACGCCCTCCACCCTTGGGCCCTGTGGTGTTGTATGGCTCGAAATACTACTAAAATCTCTCAGATTTGGGTCTGAAAATTGGCTGCTCCGAAATTTGAGGTGTTTAAAATGGTTTCAAATCTTGGGATATTCCTATAGCCATTAATTTGAGGTGTTTAAAAATAACCTCATTTTCCCTACTCTCTGATGGCTGTAGGTATGTCCTTTGGTGCCCCCGGGGTAAGCCCCTTCGAAGCCTGATCATCGCTCTTGAAAATCAATTCATAGGTGCCTCAGAAATTGGAATGTGGGTCCCAGTTTGGTGTGCCCGCAAGTTACATAGAGCCTGAAAATTGGTTGAAACAGTCCACTTTTAGTGAAAATGAATCTTCCAACCCCCGACTGATGGGAGGGACGTCATGTTGATTTAATGGAGAGTAAATGGGGGGGTTACCAACAAAAACATCAAGGCATATCTGGGAAAACTGGGAAAACAACTTGTAAATACTTCAAAGATATATCGAGGTGATGGTCCAGTTTGTTAGCTAAGTTGGTTTATAACCCATATAACTGTTGGGTTTCTGGTAGGTATATCTATACTTGGTGGCTCATCCCACTTAGTAAGTAGGTTATAACCCCAGTTATAAATGGGATAAGTAGGGTTAATCCACTTATAACTGGGGTTGTAACCTACTTACTAAGTGGGATGAGCCACCAAGTAGTCTATAGTTACATGGAGTGAAACGGAATCAACAGTCACACTTTTCTATGGCTGGATAGGGCGCCATCTGAAAGAAGTCAGGCCATCGGAAATTGGGAGGAGTTTTAGGGTGGTTGCCGGGTGCCTAAACCAAGCATTTTTGGGTGATATTCTATGGGATATGACGGGGATATCACCAACCATCTTGGAATCTATGGACTTTCCAAAGTTTGATGAGAAACCCTGCATCCGAGCAGTTTGCAGGTTGAACAAAGGCAACAAATGATCCAAAAGACCATGGCAAATGGATGTGTCTAAATCTATACATGTGTATATATATATATATTCATTTATTTATTCATTTATTTATCTATTTACTACATACATATATGATTCGCATTTTCACACGTGTAGTGTGTAGACATGAAATGATATTAAATGACATGAAGTGATTTGAAACAATACGAATATGTGCCTACGCCTACATCTAGACAAGTTATCATGAATCCCAAACCAAACTCCAGGCCGACCTGAATGGTTTTCCCAATAGGAACCCTTCTTAGACGGTACCATGGGAGATAAGGTCACTGCTTAGCAACTGTGTTATATGCCCAAACATAACTGGATATGTACCCTCTGGCAATTTAACGTAGCTATTGAAAATGGTCATGTATAGTTGAATTAGATATTAAATATGGTGATTTTCCACAGTTATGTTAGTTTACCAGAGGGTATACCAGTTGAATTACATCTTAAATATGGTGATTGTCCATAGCTATGTAAACGTTTACTAAGAGGGTAATGGAGAATCTAACCCACTTTATCCCATCCACATCATATTGAATACCACCCCTAGATCATAGGTAGCATATAACGGATAACGGATAACGCCTTTGAATGTACTCATTAGCCACCAGTGGATTAACAGGGGTTGGAAGATGAGTTTCCGGTCAAAAGTTGTTATTTTCAGGGTCGAATTGTGAAAATGTGGTGCGTAAAGCCCCTAAATCATTCATTTATAGATGGATTTTCCATGATTTTCCAGTATGTCCATGTTGGGGTACCCCCATGACTCTGGAAACCTTCATTTTGAATCGTGAAATCCGCCGATTCCCAATGTCCCCCGCTGTTCCCTTTCAGCCGCACACCCGCAGGCAGTTGCTGTACGAAGCCGGAGCCCGTCGCAGCAGTGGACACGGAGCCCGTCGTGGCGTCACCTGGCAAATTGAAAAGGCGGTAGCTGACATAGGGCAAATATGTACCATACGGTGGATGGGCCAGCGAAATCCGAATCACCAGTTGATAGGTAGTAAACATCCCACTATCTGGGTTTCAACCATCCTTTTGGTGGTGATTCGGATTTCGCAAGCATCCACAGTATGTTTTGTGAAACGCCTTGGTACAGATGGCCCATTTACTTCGATTTATGATGATTTACCTAGCTATACGACAGTGATGTTCCGGAGCTATGTGAAATTTCCAGAGGATCTCCAGTTCCAGTGGAGTACGATCGCTTTAAGGACCAAGGATCTCGTACGGATATATCATTGGCAAATGAAAGGTAAATTTTCATGGGAAAATACTTTTTTTTTCTGAGGATACAGTGGGTTTTGTGTGGGATATAATGCGGTAATGGATTGGTTTCACGGATTTGTTTCCCGGAAATCATGGTGCGCCGAAATCTTGGGTTCCAAGAAAAAACGTTGAATTCAGCGAATTGAGGGAATCGTGTTAGGAAAAACGTTGGGTAAATGATGGAAGTACATAATTTCTATAAGGCATGGGGGTTTCAACCAACCCCGGGAAATCCCTATGTTTTGTGTTTGACAACCCCGCCAGCCACACATCAAAAAGTTGGGAAGGCTGCTGAAACCATCAGAATCCCTTCCCCCTAACATCAAATACCCTCTCAGAAACCCGAGTTTTGTATTAGATCTATCCATTTTGGTGTCTCATATGGAGGGTATCTCAAAAGTACCTGGGATGAGATTGCATTATATGATATGCATGAAGGAAAATATGGGATTGTATCCATTATATCCATTATATCTCATATAACCCATGATTTAATCCTTAATATGATATATATATATATATTATTTATTTATTTATTTAGTTATTTAATTAATTAATTAATTAATTAATTATTTATTTATTTATTGTTTATTTATTTATTTGTTTATTTATTTATTTATTTATTTATTTATTTATTTAGGCGCCAAGATATCCTGGGGATAGCCATCTGAAAATGTTGTGTTGGTCAGCTGGGATGAAATTTTTGAATGGAAAAAAAAACACCAAGCAGTATCCTTGCTGGAAGAATCTTTGGGGAGTTCTGCATCAGTTTGATGGTGATTTTAAACATATTCAAACCATGAACCATAGTTGGCCGTTGGTTAACTATGAACAATGGCTGTTGAAGCATGATAACATCAAAAATGGTGACTTGACCATCAACATTGTTAGGATTGAACATGACTTAACCACCAGCAAGATTAAGTTTAAGTTCTAGTAGTCACCGACAAAAGATGAAGAAACAAGTTTCTAGTTTAGAAGGGGTTTACCAAATTCTATCTTTTTGGGGTGGTTACTATCAACCAACAAGAAAACTAAGTGCCTATGGAGCAAAACCATGCGTTTCACATCAACCTTTATAATGATGGTTTAGCCGCGTGTTGATACTCCCATTAATATATGAGAAAATCATAGATACAAACGGGTGCCTAAGTTACTTTATATATCTAAAAATCCAGGTTCCCCCCCATTCATTCAAATGGTCTAACACATTATGTTATTCATAATAGTTGCAATAATATGTTGTGGAAAATCCCCAAAAATTGGCCAAACCGGTTATATACCTGTATGTTTGCAACCTACAGGTCTGATGGCGGTTGCTGGATACAGGTCCTATGAGGGTTGCTGGACGGCCTTTGGGGCTGCAGGTTGGCAACCCATTGGTCTTATGGGGGTTGCTGGCCTTTGGCGCTGTAGGTTGGTTGGCAACCTCCAGCTCTTGGGGGCCTTTGGGGCTGTAGGTTGGCAACCTACAAGTCTTTTGGGGGTTGCTGGATGGCCTTTAGAAATGTAGGTTGGCAACCTACAGGTCTTGTGGGGGTTGCTGGATGGCCTTTGGGGCTGTAGGCTCACAACCTACAAGTCTTATGGGGGTTGCTGGACGGCCATTGGGGCTGTAGGTTTGCAACCTACATGTCTTATGGGGTTGCTGGACGGCCTTTGTGGCTGTAGGTTGGCAACCTACAGGTCTTATGGGGGTTGCTGGATTGCCTTTGGGGCTGTAGGTTGGCAACCTACAGGTTTTATGGGTTGCTGGATGGCATTTGGGGCTGTAGGTTGGCAACCTACATGTCTTATGGGGGTTGCTGGATGGCCTTTGGGGCTGTAGGTTGGCAACCTACATGGCTTATGGGGTTTGCTGGACGCCCTTTGTGTAGGTTGGCAACCTACATGGCCTTTGGGGGTTGCTGGATGGCCTTTGGGGCTGTTGGTTGGCAACCTACATGTCTTACGGGGGTTGCTGGATGGCCTTTGAGGCTGTAGGTTGGCAACCTACAAGTCTTTTGGGGGTTGCTAGATGGCCTTTAGAAATGTAGGTTGGCAACCTACAGGTCTTATGGGGGTTGCTGGATGGCCTTTGGGGCTGTATGTTGGCAACCTACAAGTCTTGTGGGGGTTGCTGGATTGCCTTTGGGGCTGTTGGTTGGCAACCTACATGGCTTATGGGGGTTGCTGGATGGCCTTTGGGGCTGTAGGTTCGCAACCTACAGGTCTTATGGGGGTTGCTGCATGGCCTTTGGGGCCGTGGCAACCTACAGGTCTTGTGGGGGTTGCTGGATGGCCTTTGGGGCTGTAGGTTGGCAACCTACAGGTCTTATGGGGGTTGCTGGATGGCCTTTGGGGCTGTAGGTTGGCAACCTACAGGTCTTGGGGGTTGCTGGATGGCCTTTGGGGCTGTAGGTTGGCAACCTACATGGCTTATGGGGGTTGCTGGATGGCCTTTGGGGCTGTATGTTGGCAACCTACAGGTCTTGTGGGGGTTGCTGGATGGCCTTTGGGGCTGTAGGTTGGCAACCTACAGGTCTGGGGTTGCTGGATGGCCTTTGGGGCTGTAGGTTGGCAACCTACAGGTTTTATGGGGGTTGCTGGATGGCCTTTGGGGCTGTAGGTTGGCAACCTACAGGTCTTGTGGGGGTTGGCAACCTACAGGTCTTGTGGGGGTTGCTGGATGGCCTTTGGGGCTGTAGGTTCACAACCTAAACGTCTTACGGGGGTTGCTGGACGGCATTTGGGGCTGTATGTTGGCAACCTACAGGTCTTATGGAAGTTGCTGGACGGCCTTTGGGGCTGTATGTTGTGAACCTACAAGTCTTTTTTTTTGCTGGACGCCCTTTGGGGCTGTAGGCTCGCAACCTACAGGTCTTATGGGATTTGCTTTGGGGCTGTAGCTTGGCAACCTACAAGTCTAATGGAAGTTGCTGGATGGCCTTTGGGGCTGTGCGTTGGCAACCTACACACGGCCACTGGGGCTGTAGGTTGGCAACCCACAGGTCTAATGGAGGTTGCTGGACGCCCTTTGGGGTAGGTTCACAACCTAAACGTCTTACGGGTGTTGCTGGACGGCGTTTGGGGTTGTATGTTGGCAACCTACAGGTCTTATGGAAGTTGCTGGACGGCCTTTGGGGCTGTAGGTTGGGGGGCTGTAGGCTCGCAACCTACAGGTCTTATGGGATTTACTGGACGGCCACTGGGGCTATAGGTTGGCACCCTACACGTCTTATGGGGGTTGCTGGATGGCCTTTGGGGCTCTAGGTTGGCAACCTACAGTTGGGGCTGTAGGTTGGCAACCTACATGGCTTATGGGGGTTGCTGGATGGCCTTTGGGTCTGTAGGTTGGCAACCTACATGTCTTACGGGGGTTGCTGGACGGCCTTTGTGGCTGTAGGTTGGCAACCTACAGGTCTTATGGGGGTTGCTGGATTGCCTTTTTGCGGCTGTAGGTTGGCAACCTACATGTTTTATGGGTTGCTGGATGGCATTTGGGGCTGTGTTGGTTGGCAACCTACATGTCTTATGGGGGTTGCTGGATGGCCTTTGGGGCTGTAGGTTGGCAACCTACATGGCTTATGGGGTTTGCTGGACGGCCTTTGGGGCTGTAGGTTGGCAACCTACATGGCTTATGGGGGTTGCTGGATGGCCTTTGGGGCTGTTGGTTGGCAACCTACAGGTCTTATGGGGGTTGCTGGATGGCCTTTGGGGCTGTAGGTTGGCAACCTACAAGTCTTTTGGGGGTTGCTGGATGGCCTTTGGGGCTGTAGGTTGGCAACCTACATGGCTTATGGGGCTGTAGGTTGGCAGCCTACAAGTCTTATGGGGGTTGCTGGATGGCCTTTGGGGCTGTAGGTTGTCTTGTGGGGGTTGCTGGATGGCCTTGGGGGCTGTAGGTTGGCAACCTACACGCCTGATGGGGGTTGCTGGACGGCCATTGGGGCTGTAGGTTTGCAACCTACATGTCTTACGGGGGTTGCCTGATGGCCTTTGGGGCTGTATGTTGGCAACCTACATGGCTTATGGGGGTTGCTGGACGGCCTTTGGGGCTGTATGTTGGCAACCTACATGGCTTATGGAGGCCTTTGGGGCTGTAGGTTCGCAACCTTGCTGGAATGTTTTTGGGGCTGTAGGTTGGCAAATTACTGATGGAATCCCCATTGTACAAAATTGCCATATAGCTGTGGCCAAAATTGTCGGCCTGGTAGCCTGATGAACATCAAACTAAATGAACGTGAACAATCAATACTGGGAAATATCATGGGAAATATACAGGATGAATAATGCCTGTATAATGGGTCAATGCACAGCTAATACAACTATGGTTTGGTGGTTGGTTCCCATCTATGTTTTTCTTTTTTTTTCCCGACAGTTCTCATCGTTATGTTTATAAATTTACCTGACTAGGGTGAGATCGGGGATGGTTTATTCCTGGGTGAACCATGTTATACTGGATAAATTACAGATAATTCACTAACCTGAAAACTGCGCTAAATATTGGCATAATTATCCCTACAAACCATCATTCCAGGCTTCGGGAAGACAGTGAGGTCGTTCCAGTTTAGCCACATCATCCATTATATCCACTGGAAAATACCCATTCTCCATGAAATAATGGCCACATCATAGGATATACTGGATTTCATTATCATCCAGTTATTTTCATCCTATGATGTACCCCATTCTACTACTACATTGTCCCATGTATCTCCATGAAAATTACCAGGAAAATCAGCCCATCGCCACAAAACCCCTCACCGAGTATCGGTAGGTTCCGCCACCACCCGAAAGATGCAGGGCGACTGTAGCTGCAACTGGCTGCTGACCGAACCACCTGGACAATTGGAAGGCCAACTAGGTGTCAACTCCCTCAGCTGGTGAAAACAATCCTGAATTTTAGGATAAAAAGCAATTTCAGAAAAAATGAATTTGGTAGAAATCCTATACCAAAATTGGAACATGGCTGGTAAATCATGGTTCTATCTGGGAGTTCGTTTGGAGATTTTTTGGAGAAATCTCGACCGGATCTTCAGAGATGTCATGGTTTTACAAACCAATCCATAGAAACTCACAGGAAACAAAGGTGTCTACATCAAAATAAAGGTGTAGAAATCCTAGAAATCTACAACCAATCCATGAAATCCTAGAAATCTACATCAAAATCATCAAAATATTCAGCGTGTGATGGGTCCTTTTCTTGAACCATCACAATGACAACTGCAAGAGTCCACAAACCAAACACTTTTTTAGTTTCGAAACAACTCATGGGACAATGTACATAATGCGCATCTGTCCGCATGACAAGTTTTGCTGACAGCAAAAATTGACGGTCTTTGCATCATCCTGCAATAGACTGGTCATCTGGCAACCTCAAAAGATACACCTGTTATCACCTGTTTATGTGGTGGTTGTTTCATACAGAAACCCAGAAACCCAAAAGCAAAATGGAATGGTGTCCAAAACTGCTATTTGGGTCAAATGATGCTTTTCTTCGGTTGCTATTTACATCATGTTGCGCTGCTTTTCTTCGTCTCAGGTCATGCCAAGGATGGGAAGCCTCCGTTGAGGCTCTCCGGATGTTCCGGTAAATCCACTGCAGATTTTGCAAAAAAGTACCCTCTGGTAAAAATGGTGATGTTCCATGGTTTGTTAGTTTACCAGAGGGTAAATCCACTGCTGTGAAGCAACGAAAACTTGAAAAACCCATGCGACCCATCCCTGGTTTCATGTCAATGGCTGGTTCTCGGACACTGCATCTGACAAGCAACCTGCAGGTACGGTGTAAATCTCCGAGGACAAAAGTTCTTGCCTCGCCAAAGGTGAAGCGGGCCATCGGGGAAACCATTGGGGAAAACCTTCAGAAAATGATCGACAAAATTTTGGCATTTTCCATATCTTTAAATCCACATCGAAGTGAAAATCCTTCAAGATGGGGGTATGGGTTACGACCGTGGTGCAGTATCCTTGTGAACAGTTTGAAGTGCCTTGTGAATGGAGTTTCAGCCCATCAAAATGATATCGTAAGGTGTTGGCATATGTTGATGACATGAGTTTGACACGGTGACACTACCTGCACTACTTGAAACAATCTTGGATAAGTATCTTATCAATCAACCCTGCAAGTATCTTTCATGGGAATTTGGCGCGTTTAAACTCAGTTAGCCAACCAACCCTTAACTTCCTAGAAATTGGGATATGAAACACATCTACGTAATCGTCCAACAGACTTATCGTCATTGCGAAGAAAGAAGACGCATCATTCATTGATTTCTAGCTTCAACCTCTGCTCTTCGTCATGATCAAAATGATAATCATCGACATCATCGACATCATCGATATAATCATCATCATCATCATCATCATCATCATCACCATCATCATCTTCTTCTTCTTCATCATCTTCTTCATCATCATCATCATCATCATCATCATATCATCGTCATCGTCATTCATCAATTCTCAAGCTTAAAACCTCGATGGTGAGCAGCGCAGAAAGCCATCACCCCCGACGTTCCAACCGACGTTCCAGCCGGCGTTCCAACCGACGTTCCAACCGACGTTCCAACCGACGTTCCAACCGACGTTCCAACCGTCTTCCCGTCAAGCCGCTGGGCGCGGAACCAGCCCGGCAGCAAAGGCTTTGGCGGCGGGCGTACGGAGAGCAGTTCGGGCAGGTCCAGCATCTCCTCTGTGGCAGGGGATGGTCAACAGATGGGGCGCGAACCCTCTGGTTATATCAAAATAGCTATTGAAAATGACCATAGAAATAGTGGATGACTACCCATTGAAAATGGTGATGTTCCATAGTTACGTCAACGTTTACCAGGCCGGGTAAATGGGACACCCCCAAGCCACCATGATTCTCAACACTCCACCAGGAGGTTTTGTTGATAGATGAGGATTGCCTATGAAACACTCTAAATAATGATCCTGTAATTTTTTGGTGGGATTTCGCAACCATTTAGCAACGCGGGATTTGGGTAAGCATCCACAGTATGGATATATATAACCAACATATATATGTAATGTGCATTATAATGGGGATTCTAGTGGGAATTATATAATTATACTTGGGATAATGGGAATTCACCACCGACCATGGAGAGTTGACATTTATTTCTTCGGGTCCACATATGAATCTAACATAATCTAACCATCAAAAGCAATGTTGCCCCAACCAACTCATGAAGAAGAATTACAGGATCTCATGACATAACCAACATCATCATTTGGTCAAAAATAGCGGGTGAAATTCCCACAAGAAGTAATTATATTACAATGGGGAATCCCTGTCAACTAAGTTATAAGTCTGGGCTATATATGATATACGCAATATTATATATATATATATATATGTATGTGGGTTACAATAATATATACACTCGTGTATATATATATAGTGATCCTTAAGTAGATAGAATATTTTTTTGGAGGGTGCGGGATTTATGTTGGACTTATGTTGGATGTCGGCCACTTAAAAAAAAACAGGTAGTTGGAATATTTCGACCCCCCCCCGGGGAGGTCGAAAACTGGTAGTTGGAATATGGTTTGGAGGGGTAGGTAGAATATTGTTGTTCAAAGTGGCCCATTTTCTTCAAGATATTACGCAATTACCCGTATATACTCATGCATAGGGATGACAATAAATACATATATATTATGCAGGTATTTCAATACATAAGCCGCTCCGCCCATATAGAATATGCAAGGAATAGGGTCCCCTTCATGTATAATTATTAAATACGTAATTCCCTTTGGGGAATAGCAACCCTGGATGTCTGAAGTCCGTAAACTAGAACGTTTCAACAAAAAACAGCTCCCCCGAAATGATCAATTTCTTTTTATATTGTTAAAAAAAAATGATTTTTTCAAGCTCACCGAGGGGTACCCCCCACGACCGGCGTCGTAGAACTATGAAAAAAAACTATTTTGCAATGAAAGCCAATAGAATCAGGTGGCATTCTTAAAAAAATGATAATATTTTCACTGGGGACCTATATTCTATGTATGTAGTTTTGCAAGGAATAGGGTCCCTTTCATGTATAATTATTAAATACGTAATTCCTTTTGGGCAGCAGCAATCCTGGATATCTGAAGTTCCTAAACTGGAACGTTTCAACAAAAAAACAGGTCCCCCGAAATGATCAATTTCTTTTTATATTGTACTAAAAAAATCAATTTTTCAAGCTCACCAAAGGGTACCCCCCACGAACGGTGTCGGAGAACTATGAAAAAAAACTAGTTTGCAATGAAAACTACTGGAATTAGTTGGTGTTCTTAAAAAAATGGTTAACTATTTTCACTGGGGACCTATATTCTATGTATGTGTTTCTGCAAGGAATTGGGTCTCTTCCATGTAAAAGTATAAGGGTATATATCTATATATGTATATATCATATACGTAATTCCCTTTGGGGAGTAGCACCCCTGGATGTCTGAAGTTCCTAAACTAGAACGTTTCAACAAGAAACAGGTCCTCCGAAATGATCAATTTCTTTTTATATTGCATTAAAAAAATGAGTTTTTCAAGCTCACCGAGGGGTATCCCCCACGACCGGTGTCGGGGAACTATGACAAAAAACATATTTTTACAATGAAAGCCAATAAAATTAATGAATATGTTCACCGGGGACCTATATTCTATGTATGTAGTTCTGAAAGGAATTTGGTCTCTTCCATACATAAGGGTGTATATGATATACGTAATTCCCTTTGGGGAGTAGCAACTTTGGATATCTGAAGTTCCTAAACTGGAACGTTTCAACAAAAAAACAGGTCCCCCGAAATGATCAATTTCTTTTTATTTTGCATTAAAGAAATTATTTTTTCAAGCTCACCGAAGGGTACCCCCCACGACCGGCGTCGTAGAACTATGAAAAAAAACTATTTTGCAATGAAAGCCAATAGAATCAGGTGGCACTCCTTAAAAAAATGATGAATATTTTCACTGGGGACCTATATTCTATGTATGTAGTTTTGCAAGGAATAGGGTCCCTTTCATGTATAATTATTAAATACGTAATTCCTTTTGGGCAGCAGCAATCCTGGACGTCTGAAGTTCCTAAACTGGAACGTTTCAACAAAAAAAAACGCTCCCCCGAAATGATCAATTTCTTTTTATATTGTATTAAAAAAATGAATTTTTCAAGCTCACCAAAGGGTACCCCCCACGAACGGTGTCGGAGAACTATGAAAAAAAATTAAATTGCAATGAAAACTAATGGAATTAGTTGGTGTTCCTTAAAAAAATGGTTAACTATTTTCACTGGGGACCTATATTCTATGTATGTGTTTCTGCAAGGAATTGGGTCTCTTCCATGTAAAAGTATAAGGGTATATATCTATATATATATCATATACGTAATTCCCTTTGGGGAGTAGCACCCCTGGATGTCTGAAGTTCCTAAACTAGAACGTCTCAACAAGAAACCGGTCCCCCGAAATGATCAATTTCTTTTCATCTTGTTTTAAAAAAATGATTTTTTCAAGCTCACCGAGGGGTACCCCCCACGACCGGCGTCGGAGAACTATGAAAAAAAAACTAGTTTGCAATGAAAACTACTGGAATTAGTTGGTGTTCCTAAAAAAATGGTTAACTATTTTCACTGGGGACCTATATTCTATGTATGTGTTTCTGCAAGGAATTGGGTCTCTTCCATGTAAAAGTATAAGGGTATATATCTATATATATCATATACGTAATTCCCTTTGGGGAGTAGCACCCCTGGATGTCTGAAGTTCCTAAACTAGAACGTTTCAACAAGAAACAGGTCCTCCGAAATGATCAATTTCTTTTTATATTGCATTAAAAAAATGAGTTGTTCAAGCTCACCGAGGGGTACCCCCCACCTCCGGCGTCGTAGAACTATGAAAAAAAACTATTTTGCAATGAAAGCCAATAGAATCAGGTGGCCTTCTTAAAAAAATGATGAATATTTTCACTGGGGACCTATATTCTATGTATGTAGTTTTGCAAGGAATAGGGTCCCCTTCATGTATAATTATTAAATACGTAATTCCTTTTGGGTAGCAGCAATCCTGGATATCTGAAGTTCCTAAACTGGAACGTTCCAACAAAAAAACAGGTCCCCCGAAATGATCAATTTCTTTTTATATTGCATTTAAAAAATGATTTTTTCAAGCTCACCAAAGGGTACCCCCCACGAACGGTGTCGGAGAACTATGACAAAAAACTAGTTTGCAATGAAAACTAATGGAATTAGTTGGTGTTCCTAAAAAAATGGTTAACTATACTGGGGACCTATATTCTATGTATGTGGTTCTGCAAGGAATTGGGTCTCTTCCATGTAAAAGTATAAGGGTATATATCAATATATATCATATACGTAATTCCCTTTGGGGAGTAGCACCCCTGGACCCCTGGAATGGAAAAGTGAAGAATTTGTATGGAAACGTGAAGGATTTATAAAGAATTGTGAAGAATTTCTATGGAAAAATGATGAATTCATTAGTTGAAAAGTGAAAGAATTTATATGGCCCAACGATATTCTATGTGACGTCACCTGTATTCTAAGTAAATGTTTTCAAGTTCAATTATGGGGATGCCCTGGGAAGCCAAAATTTCAATTCCATATTCTATATGGGTGGAGTGGGTTATAAGTACATAATTTACTAACATAATCCCGGATCCTGCTTGCCGTGGCACTACGGCACTGCTGCACGACCACTACCATGCGGACTGAGAAAACCGCACAGGTTTTGACATTTCATTACAAGGACTCAACCAGTGAACCCTTTCAATCAAGTCGAAAAACACCAGAGGCTTTTAACTTCTATGGGGGAAAGAGTAGATGGAATATTGGTCCAGATATATCGGCTCATTCTTGGATACATATGGGGATTGCTGGGCATGTGGCCCAGACACATTCATTTCTCTTCGAAACAAGACTAGTTTGGGATAATGTTGTGTTCTACCCATTTTAAGAACCTCCATATATACAAAGTCAACTCCCCCACTAAGGATGAATCCTGTACCATTTCTTTGTTATAAGAACGGCCCAAGTCAATATTCCATCTACTCTGGACCCACTACAGAATAAGCTTTCATGGGCAGTCACAGCTTCACCCCTGCGCAGCCACTCTACGAGTCCTAGCAGAAGAGAAGTTTGAAGATGTTTATGCACACCAACCCATGTTGTTCCTACATGGGTTCAGGCCCAGGCCGTATGGTTTTAAATCAAGTAACACATAGTGGATGGGTTCTGTTCATGTTGCTATTTTCCACATCGGGTTCTCCAGAGAACTACAAGCAATAGTCATGGCGGACATCATTCAGCGGGTGATCGATGCTTCCGCCCGTGGCGACTTGTACGCAGCTCTGGGAGTGGCGCCACTACCACAACAAGGAGATTCAGCCGTAGACGCTCTGAGACGCTGCACTGTTCTCAAGGATTTGCCCGTTGCTTCTATCAAGTCTGCTTATGTTTCCGTGTCATTGGCTTGCCATCCTGACAAGTGCAAACATGAAAAAGCAACTGATGCACAAATAGCAGTGAACAAAGCATGGGAAGTCCTCCGTGTCAGTGCTTCCCGAACTGCATATGACAGTAGCTTCAGGGCAATGATTCAGAGAGAGAATGAAGCAAAGCAGCGGGAGGAAATGAGAAAACAAAGGCAAACACAACCGGCTATCACGCCCAAAATGTTTCAGCAACAAAAGTGTGAAGATCATACAAAGGCTGGCAAGAAAGTAAATGCAGAGAGCAGTCAGAAAGGTGAACAAAATGCTGAGACTGAGACTAAGAATCCAACCAAACCAGGCAGCAAGAAAGAGACTGATTCCAAAGAAAAGGGTGGACCACAAACAACCTGGGATGTAGGTACTTCTACTCTCAAAGAGCTCAAAACAGCAATTTCAGTGAAGGTTTCAGACAGCGTGACAAGGAAATTTACTTTCAAGGAATGGCAAGACAGAAACGTGGCCAAACAAGTTGCGGAAAAATTTGCAAAGTCCACCTTGTCCATCATCAACCAATTTGATTGCGTGAAGCTCAAGAAGGACAAGGCAGTCTTCGCCCAACAGCAAGGAGTTGAGTCCACTGGCAAGGAGACTGTTGCAGTTCTCCGCGGCTTGCTGGAGGAGGCTTGAAAGTCTTTGCTGAATACCACCTAAAGTTATCATGTTTCCAGATGTTGCAAAAATATTCCATCTTTATGTTCTTGCAACCTGATTCACGCCTGGCAGTGACTGTCGCAAGTAACAAATTATCCGGATCCAAATGCAAACAGCAGTTGTTTGTTCAAGTTTTTAACATCACAGCCGACAGGAGGATATATTCCATCTCTTCGGTTTCACACTGACAATTCAAATTTGGGATGGTTCAAAGTGTCGCTTTCTGGGTACCTTTCTATGTTGCAATGGGAAGAAAAATAGTCATTTCCATTTGGTTTAGTCACAGTTTGCATTCGTGGGTACCTAGATGTTTCATAGGAGGCGGTTTGTGGGGAATATTCCATCTACCAAGTGCAGCAAGGGCATTCTCCTTCCCCAGGTCATCGGTTCTGGGAAATGCAAATCAGTTGAAGCAGACCTGCGCTCGTGCTTTCAAACTGCAATTGGGGCAACTACTGTTGGCAAAGCAGCGCAGGTGGTAGAAGGGGTAACCTTCAATAGCTTCAAAAATGTGTTCCAGGCATCGATCAAAATTGATGATCAAGCTTACATCAAGGAGTTCAAATTGAAAAGTGATGCAGAACATTGGGTGGACATAGTCAAAGCTTTGAAACACAAGGATCTGTTGAAGGGCCACTTTGCTACCCTCAAGCAAGCTGCTGCAACCAGGGAGGCTACTCAAAAGGCTTTCGATTCAATCGTACATGCCAAGAATGTGTTCGTCCCAGAATCTCAGAAAACTTTTCAATATGATCCTGCCGAGGGGAAAGATGTTTGGTCCAACATGTTCAGCAAGTTCGAGGATGTCCCTGACAATATTCCCAAGAGCAAAGTTTGGCTTGCCCAAGTATCTTTACAGGAACTGACTGTGCAGGGCTTTAGCTCTCCTGTGTATGCTGACATTCTGGGCTGGAGACATAAGATGCTTGGCTACCGTGGCATTCAGCTTCTCACTCATGGGGAGCATGAGACAGCTACGGAAGAGGTTCGGGAATGCGCAACTGGCCGCAAGCTGACACATGTGGGGTTCATCAGGTGCATTTCTTCTTCTACAGATCAGCCCACCCTTGCACCGAAAGATCTAGAGAAGCTGAAGGACTGTGCCTCAAAGAACTCTGGGGTTGGAATTGCCATCATTGTTACTTACCCCACCAAAGTTGGATGTGTGAAGGCCTGGGAATGGAGAGGTGGAAGTGCAGCTTCTTCCTCTTCTGCAGTTGAAGTTGGGTTGCAAGAAGTGTCTGTGGCTACCATCATTCGCAGGGTGGAAGGGGAAAAATTCACAATTGAACCTTTGGCACCTGCACCTCCCGCAAAGACTCGTTTCTTCGAGGACATTCAATCTACATTTGACAAGCATGTTGCTGAAACGTCTAGTGTTCCCACAGAAGACAAGTGTTCTTTTCAAAGGCTTCCAATTCTGGGAGATGGGTACTGCTTTTGGCATGCATATCTACGATGCACCCTGGTGGATGACTACAATGTGTACAGAAACAAAACCTCTGGTGGGGCCCACTCTAGGGAACGATTGGTGGCTGAGATTTCCAATGCCAAGGGTCTTTTCCAAGAGTTTATGAACAAGCACAAGTTAGAGTTTGAACTTGGTGGTCCTGAAGTACCCCTATCACAGGCAGACCAGATCTTGCGACATCTGAACACGCGCTTCCGCATCACCGTTTCCCAAAAGGCCAGTGTCAGTATGAAATCCAAACACGGAAAAATATATACCATGGTTTTTCAGAGGCATCAGGATTTGAAGAGTATCAGGTCCTTGCCACATAACAGTGGCAATGAAACATATTCTATCTACTAGTCCTCTGGGTGGATTTCTAAACCTTCCGCAATAATTACTGCTGATTGTCTGCACTCTTTGTGAAGCTCTACAACAAGGACAAGGTAAACCATTGTATACCGTATTTCTATGGTTTTCACACATGGTAAGCGGGGGTTGAATCAAAGGTATAAGCTCATGTCGGATATTCTATCTACTAGTCCCTGGGGTGAGATTCAGAAACCCAAACTTTTGGAGGCCTACATGGATACACAAATACCCATAGTAATCAATCACCCTGCTGTAGGTGCTGGATGAGAACCCCACAATGACTGGAGATGCTTATTATGGCAACCCAGAAGCTCCTCTCAGAGGGCACATGTTCTTCCGATGGTTGACAGATCCTGGTACAGGAAAGGTGAATGCAGGTCACTACGATTTGTTGACCCCCAGCGATGGTGGTACCATCAAATTGCCTCAAGATGCACCAGTACATTTTTCACCTTCTAGTGATGAAGCAACTTGGGATTGGGGCAATGGGGAAAGCAGTCAGGGCAATCAAGAAGGTGACCCTCACAAACCGTTTGAACCCGAAGTTGTGGATCCTAGCGGGAAAGGCGCAAAGGACACAGGCATGGAGGATGACATGATGGTTGGCAAAGATGTGCAGGTGGAATCTGAACCAAAGTGTGCACAGGGTAATGAGGACACGGCAGACACCAAAAATCTGTTTGGCGGTGACAGTGACACGTATTGGGAGGGGAAGGAGCAGGAGGTAGACACTCCGCCAAAGTTTGAACCTTCTCCCCAATCGTCTGAAAGTCTACAAGATCCTGTGAGTGCAACTACGCCGGGGTTCTCTGAGAGGAGCGATCCTAGTTTGCTGGAACCACAAGGATCTCCTGCTGTTTCGGAGGACTGGGGGACAAGTTAGCACATCAACAACCTCAAAAGGAACTTTTGGCAAAGCAGGGCCCAATAAACAAAATATTCCAGGTAATGACATCAATTTTCTTTACTATATGCACTGGCCTCAGAAAACGATACCACTGGCATGCTCGCCGCTCTTGCCGCCGGGCACCACCACCAACACCACCAACCACCAATAGCCACCATGAAGAATTATTGGATTAGCCTTTTTACAGGCCACGATTTTGATTCCTGGGTTACGTGTTTGATTCTTGTATCCTAGCTGCGAACTAGTAGATAGAATATTTCACCACTGGGTTCTGAGTTGAACATGTTGCAGTATTTGGGATAACCCAACCATATTCCAATAAGAATCCAATGGTTCCCCCCATGTATATTTGACTGCATTGGGATGGCCTTTTCAAATGATTACGTATTCAAAACGTGGTTTCTTCTGTGGAGACATTAATTAGACTACATATGGTTTGTATATTGTACCATATTACAATTGTTTGTATATACCAAATTACCACCACCTTCACCGCCACCACTGGCCATGCTCGCCGCTCTTGCCGCCGGGCACCACCACCAACACCACCAACCACCAATAGCCACCACCAAGAATTATTGGATTATCCTTTTTACAGGCCACAATTTTGATTCCTGGGTTACGTGTTTGATTCTTATATCCTAGCTGCGAACTAGTAGATAGAATATTTCACCACTGGGTTCTGGGTTGAACATGTTGCAGTATTTGGGATAACCCAACCATATCCCAATAAGAACCCCATCTGCGTGTACCATATAGGAATTTCCCAAAGTAGGGGTAACCACAAGTAATGCAAAATTACACCATCTTCATTTTCGTATTGAAACCCGTAGTTTTGGGGTGCCGTGCAGGAAACTTTGCCGCCAGGCACCATCACCATCACCACCACCATTCACCACTAACCAGCATCGTCCCTATTGGATGGGTCCACAATTTCTATGTACGGTGGTTTTACTTGACTAGTTTCCATTTTGGGGATCTTCATCCAGGTCTTCTGGCCCATATTGTGACGAGTAGATGGAATATTTCGTTCACACGGTTTTTCATAATATGAAGTGACCAAATCATACCTCGCAAAGAAGTCAGTATGTTCTCAGCAGTTACTATGCATACAATGATCAGGTGGTTTGAGATCTGCGACGGAGAACTTAGCTGTGCTGATATTATCCCACGGATATGTTTTACAAGCGTTTGCCACCACTACTGGCAACACCAGCCCCGCTTTTAGAAATTCAAACACCATCCCCGTATATGATATATTCTATCTACTGGTTTTATGCTGGCTGACAGCCACACCCAGATCACCCAAATCTTCGAAGAGCCGCGAAGAGTTGCATCATCGTGTGCAGGAACTGCTCGCAGTGGAAAGCGGTAGTCGATTATTGAAGTTTTTGTTTGCATGCTTAACTTGTATTTTTGTGTATGTGTATGTGTTGTGAATAAATACATGTGCAGCACATTTAAACTTTTAGATGGTCACGCATAAGTACCAAGAAATTGCTTTGTTGGTACCTAAGTTAAAAATCACATTGAAACACATATGTTCTTATTTAAAAAATGGCAAAAAATATGTTTTTTAAAAAAAAAAATCATTCCAATACCTTGAGAATGAACCACTGAATGTTTTAAAACTGATTGTGGGTATAATTTTATGGATAGAAACTAGTTTTTTGAACATATTTTGACAAAAATATTTTTTAAAAAAAAATAAAATATTTCATTCCAATACCTTCAAAATGAACCACTGAATGTTTTAAAACTGATTGTAGACAAAATTTATAGATAGAAATCTACTTTTTAAAAAGTATTAAAATTATAAAAGTGACATTTCTCATTTTGCATCATTTTCCCGCTGTGGTTCTCCCCGTTGTGTCTCCCTGTTGTGCTCCTTATTGTGCAGAGCTGGCTCCGGGCAGATGGCCTGAACAACGGGGTGGTTCAATAAGGAGCACAACAGGGAGACACAACGGGGAGAACCACAGCGGGAAAATGATGCAAAATGAGAAATGTCACTTTTATAATTTTAATACTTTTTAAAAAGTAGATTTCTATCTATAAATTTTGTCTACAATCAGTTTTAAAACATTCAGTGGTTCATTTTGAAGGTATTGGAATGAAATATTTTATTTTTAAAAAAAAAATATTTTTGTCAAAATATGTTCAAAAAACTAGTTTCTATCCATAAAATTATACCCACAATCAGTTTTAAAACATTCAGTGGTTCATTCTCAAGGTATTGGAATGAAATATTTTATTTTTAAAAAAGAAATATTTTTGTCAAAATATGTTCAAAAAACTAGTTTCTATCCATAAAATTATACCCACAATCAGTTTTAAAACATTCAGTGGTTCATTCTCAAGGTATTGTAATGATTTTTTAAAAAAAAAAACATATTTTTTGCCATTTTTTTAAATAAGAACATATGTGTTTCAATGTGATTTTTAACTTAGGTACCAACAAAGCAATTTCTTGGTACTTATGCGTGACCATCTAAAAGTTTAAATGTGCTGCACATGTATTTATCACAACACATACACATACACAAAAATACAAGTTAAGCATGCAAACAAAAACTTCAATAATCGACTACCGCTTTCCACTGCGAGCAGTTCCTGCACACGATGATGCAACTCTTCGCGGCTCTTCGAAGATTTGGGTGATCTGGGTGTGGCTGTCACCCAGCATAAAACCAGTAGATAGAATATATCATATACGGGGATGGTGTTTGAATTTCTAAAATCGGGGTACCCGAAAGTAGTTTTATAATTAGGCATCCTATTCAAATGGATGATTTGGGGGTATTCCCCATTTTAGAAAAACCTCCATATCAGAACCAAAAAAAATTGCCGAAGGATTTGGCCTGACTTCAAATGATGTTGAATGAACCTTGGAGGAGAAGACTGCCCCTGAGATTCCAATCAAAGAACTTTCACTTGATGTGCTTCTTCCCATTTCCAAGCTCTTGGCTGTACATCATCATTGGCAAGACTTGATCTACTCTGGCCAGAAGGTCTGGGAACTTCGAAATGCTGCATGGCAACATATCGGTGATGTCGGCTTCTGGTGTGAATCCCAGGTATGTGGCAAAGTCACCATGACAGGCTGTAGACTTGTTGCGTTGCGAAATGATGATGGTGAGTGGGAACCCTTTGATTCCACAGATCTTGCTACATCGGTGTTTCCCTTGTCCCCTGAGAACATGAAGAAACATATGGTTCCTCTTCAGCAATTGCATGCCATGGCAAAAACATGGAGCCGGATCTACGCGTACATGTTTGAATCCCCATGCAAGTTCTCAAAGCCACTACCAATCACTGTTCGAAAGGGGGCCCAAAAGATCCTGAAAATGGAGCCAGATGATTGGAAACTTGCATGGCACAAACACAATGCAGAAGAACCAAGTGAACATCCTATTCCCGCTTCTCATGTTTGTGAATTGGACCCGAAAAGCATTGTATTGTACACGATGGGAATGTCTGATGCCTTCAAGCTGCTGGAATCTACCACAACTCTGCTATTGAAAAGCTACAGCCCCAGCCAGATCAAGACCGGACGAGTTCACATCGCTGTCACTGTTCCAGGCACGGCATTTGTCGTGGGTAGCTATGAGTTGATGGATGTAAAGCCTCTCAAGAACATGAAAGACCTTGAGAAGCTGGAAGCTTTGGGATACAGGCACAATCTTTTGAGTTCAGCAGCTGCCCTTCAATCACTGAAACAGAAGCGGCAATCATTTGCTTGGCTGATTGACAACAAAGAGTTTGAGCAACCCCCTCTCACATGGAAGACGGCTTCTTGACCAAATGGATGGTTCAACCGATAACACGAGAGGAGTGTAACTCTTGGGGGGGAGGAGTAGTTGGAATATTGGTACAGATACAGCGGCCCATTCTTGAATACACTACATATAGGGATTGCTGGGCATGTGGCCCCAACCCATTTGTTTCCCTAAAAAATGGGATGATTTTGGGGTCCAACCATTTTAATAAATACATAAACATAATTTAGTATACAAATGCTTATATGACTATCTGTGTGTGTGTCAATGACTAACTATACACCTTTTTTGTTTGGGGTTTAGGTTTTTGATTTGACGATCCGAGAAATATTCTATCTACTCCGCAGACCAATGCCTGAGGATCGCAAGAATGTGCCAAAACTGCAAAAGATTCCGCTCAGTGAACTTGAAGCTAACCGGTATTTGGCATAGATTTGGCAAGTTTTGCTGATTCCGATTATTGTTGAAACTGGTTATCACATTGGAATCCCTACAGAACGGACACTACTCTACCACCCCTGCCCATAGAAGCTAGATTTTTAATGGTGATAACTACGATGCCTGCTCGAAATCCTAGGCAGTCTTTGAAAACTACTTGGTTGAAAGGCAAGCTGCCTGAGATGAATCTGGTATCGTTTGCGCACTACTTCATTGACCAGCTGTCCGCTTCTGAATATGAGACCTTGAAATCCATTGCGGGAGGACTACATGAGAGCACAATTCCAATTGGCAGTACCTGCTCTGGACTCGGGACATTCAGCCTTTGCGTGAAAGCTTTGTTTGAAGCCATCTCCCAAAGATTTGGTGTGAAGATCAATATCTCAGCAGAGTTTGCTGTAGAAATTGATCCACGGAAGCAACAGTTCCTACTTTCAGCCCTAGGAGGTTCTTTGAGGCACCTCTTCGCCGACGTTGGTTGCTTCGGGGACAAGGAGGCATTTTGCATCAAAGAGCAGCGAATGGTTCCAATTCCATCATGTTTTCTGCTGGCTTCTAGCCCATCATGTGTGAATCTGTCGGGGCAGAGAACAGACCGCCCAACCTACGCCTCATGTTACGAGGAGGAAGACAACCAATCAAGTTCCAAATCTGGGGAAACTTACAAATTGGGTTACAAAAAAGCCATTCAGACAACCCAAGCCAAAGTGTCCATCTATGAGAATGTCAGGGATGCTGCCCACTGCCTGAAAGATCAAGATGGTAACCCTCAAAAAGCTGCAACTACAGTCATCACAGAAGACCTTCGTGATTTCGACCATACGTTTGAATTCTCGAAACTGGATACCCAAAATTTCCTGTTGCCTCAGCGGAGGGAGCGTGTCTGGGGATCAAGTTGTGTGGGGGAGGATGAGGTGCAGTATCCACTACGAATGAAGATGACAATGCAACGCTTTCAATCCAGAACTAGATTTCCTCTTAGTTCCATTTTGGAAGATGGCTTACCAACACAAGAACTTTCTGGGCAACGTGTTCAACAGCAGGCCAAAGCCGTTCAGAAGCTTTGCAAAGAGCAAAACTTGAGCTTGGCAGAGGCAACGTTTGACCTCTCCACCAGCGCGAGCCGAACACCGGAGTGGGCCTGGAACCAACTGACTTGTGTGAGGCCAACACACCAAATCTGGAACTTTGGAAAGAATCGGCGCATTACACCTTCTGAGATGTTGAAATCCCATGGGGTGTTTCCTGATGATTTTCCTCATGGGGAATACCTGAAGAACATGGATCCCACTTTGGCTCATGATTTTGCAGGGAATGCATTTTCAACCACCGTGGTCATTGCGAAGGTCCTAGCTACCATCGTGAACGGCAACCCCTGGGAGGAACTTGCAAAGAAGGGCAACTATATTCCATCTACTGTTCGGGCGGGGCTGTTGGAAGAGTGTCTTGCCTCTGCGTCTGCTGCATCTTTGCCGCTACCGTCCAGAACCAGGAAACGCAAAGCTGGAGACCAAGGAGGGCAGGGTGCAGAGAAAAAAAAGAAAGATATTGAAAAGGATGAAGAGTCCAACAAAGGCAAGGGCAAGCGAGCAGCGCATGATCCACAGCCTGATCCCTCTGGGGACCCTCAAATCTGTCCAGCTCCGAAAAAAGCAGCCAAAAGGGGCGACAACAAGAAAGGCGACGTTTTGACCATGAAGAAAAAGCTTGATATCCTCATCGAGTTTGACAAGCTGAAGCACTCATGCAAGTTTCCCGAGAAGGACACTGCTGTGTGGGATCAACATGTAATTCTTTTTGACTGTGTGTGCGTGTGATTTTTTACTCGTGTCCATATTCTATCTACTATAAACCCTATAGGAACCAAGGTGCTTCGCCAAACCACCCAATATCCTGATTAAGGGTGCAGTTCCATCTAATTAGCTCTTACATGGCAAAAGTTACAGGGACTACATTATATCCCAAGCCACGGTGATTTACCTTTCTCGTGGCAGGCGCAGTACACAGAGCAGTACACAGAGCCTCCTGGAGGAGCTGCGGCGCGCGTGGTTGCCGCTGGGGCTGCGGCTGCCTTTCTCGTGGCAGGCGCAGTACACAGAGCCTCTTGGAGGAGCTGCGGTGCGTGTGGTCGCCGCTGAGGCTGCCTTTCTCGTGGCAGGCGCAGTACACAGAGCCTCCTGGAGGAGCTGCGGCGCGCGTGGTCGCCGCTGGGGCCGCGGGCTGCCTTTCGCGTGGCAGGCGCAGTACACAGAGCCTCCTGGAGCAGCTGCCTTTCGCGTGGCAGGCGGGCAGTACACTCACTCATTCACTCACTCGCGCACTCACTCACTCACTCACTCACTCACTCACTCACTCACTCAATTTAAAACTTGGTTATGCCCATCAATAACTTGAACCGCACCCTTGCTAGAAGCATATTCCATCTATGTCCCAGCTCAAGCAAGTAAACTGTTCGATTTAAACCCAAATGTCCTTTAGTCACTAGACTTTTCAGGAGCTGCTGAAGAAAAAGCACCCAGGCTATTACCAGGGGGCTGCATCCAAGTGGCAGAAAAGTCGAGAGAAATACAAATGGGATGTTGTTGCAAAAATCTGCCCGAAAATTGCAGAATCTCATGATGAGCTTCCAAATTGGTTGAAACATCGCCTAGATGTTGAAGGGCCCAAGGGTCCTTCTCATACCAAGATCACAAAAGATGTGTTCGATGTTGTGGACAAGTATTTGGAAGAGGCAACCAATGAAGGGCAGGAGATGAACATGAACAGCGTTGAAGCATTGTTGTCCGATGCAATTGATGCTTACAATGGGGAAGTAGGAAAATGGCGAGCAGCCCGAACAGAGGCAGACCTACACGCAGTGAACACAATGATGGAGAATGGTGGTTCTCAGGAAGATATCAACAAACTGGTTCAAGAACAAGACGCTCGCAAAGCTGCATGGCCTCACCCCATCAAACTTGGAGATACACCACGAGCTTTGAACCAGCTTGCATTGACATTTGCTTCGAAGTATGGCTTCTCTTCTTTCCATCAGGACAAGCCCATGAAACACTTGAGACGGGACCACCCACATGTACAACATGTGATGGACTTCATCCTGATGAATGTCAAGACACACCAGGTACACGAAAAATTGCTATGCAACTTTGATCAAGTCTGGTCATGCTTGTTTGAACCTATGCGGCGTACCCTGTGGAAAACCAATCCTGGTGAGGGGGCCAAGGATGATCTCACCAAATACCCAAATCGTCAGATTTTGAGAGCTGCTATGCAGAAACATTTTGGGGAGACTGTCCAGGAACCAATTCATGTGAAAAACCAGAAGTGGCAAGCAAAGCTGGCTGACATTCGCGGCTACGGAGGAGTCAACACGATCTTCGCCTGGAGGATCTGGATTCTATGTTGAACAAAAACGTGCTGTAATTTCTGTGGCTATGCAGAGTAGATAGAATATGTGAGTCCATCCCGTGCAGTTTTGCACACAGTATTTGATCCCCCTGGCAGTGAGTCCATGCATTCACCTCAGGCGACAGAATAGATAGAATATTGTATATAGGGATTTCACTTAAATATAGTTATACATGTACAGTTTGGGATGAATATGTCATGCTCCCGACAGGACACCGCGGACAACGACTACGGTCAGTTGGGTAACTGGTGAGGTCGGCTTTGCCTTTGTCACTGTACCAGAATCCGAAATCAATCATCAAGAAATTCAGCAGCTGAATGATGAGTTCAAAGGCCAGCTTGTGGTTCAAAGCACTGGGACAGATAGTCACATGTGGAATGGTGCAACCACTGTGGCCTTCCTCGACCAGATGACCATTGAACTGAGACGCCGCCGAGCTGCCTTAGGCTTCACTGATACTTCGGCCAGAGCCCTGATTGTCTGCGATCGCTGCACCAGCCATTTGTCAAGGACCTACTTGGACTTGAGGAAACAATGGGCAAAAGAACAGAATGTGCTCTTGGTGGGTTGTGATCCTGACTCTGACATACAGGTGCCTGGAGGCTGGGGCCTGTCATGCAGCCCAAATGATGGCTGGCATTCTCATTTCCATCTTCTCCGAATGACTTTCATGAGGTCTACTTTGGGGATGCCTGCAAATCCTTTGTACCGGGAGGAGCTCAAGAATTTGGAGATGTCAACGGCTGGAACTCAGCCAAGTCTGACTTGCCCTTTGAAGACTTCTTTGCAAGCTGATGCATGGGCATTATCCCAGATATCGACCTACAAAGGTGGCAAGATCATTACATGGGCCTGGGTTAGCCGAGGCTATCTTAGCCCCGAAACCGCCGCAGAGTGGCACTTTGGAGGAGATCTTGACGCCTTCGAGAAGCACATGAGGAAAGTTCGAGGAGGCTACCGAGATCTTGTCAATCTGCATGAGATTCCGCCCTTGGATTCCAGTGGCTTGGTCCCAATCTCCATGTTTGAATCCACATGAGTTTCTGAGTTACCTAGCTTGGCACCAGTAGATAGAATAATATTGAATATTGCTTGTTGCAATTGACCAAACTATTGAAAGCTTGAGAAAATTCTAGGCCTTTTGGAATCCCATCTCAACGCAAATCTCTCGCCGCCGCTCTCTGCCAGCACCCGGCAACAACCAACACAACACTTATTTTGATTTGGTGTGGTTTCTGACAAGCATTCTTGGTCCCCACTGGTTCTCTATACCCTGCCCGGTGCCAAAGATATCTTGTCCATGTATGCAATTTTTTAATGCATCAAGATAAGATCATCTACCTTGGGTACCCATCCAACACTTTAGTTTTCCAAACTGTTTTGGACATATGGAGCCTCGATTTACAAGCCTGAGACTTGTAGATAGAATATACAGTGCGTTTGCATGATGGATGCTCACTTCCTACTTCTAGTTTTGAAAGCTGAGGTGCCTACCGCCTCGCATGGGAAAAAGCATCAGTGCCTCTCAAGGGTGAATTGGTCCATTGCTGGTATGTGAAGACTGAGAGTGCCACACCTTTGCAATTACCCAGGTATTGGAACACACCTCTAGACCTTTCCATGGCTGGTTGGATGGCATTGAGAAAAAAATGGGATGGGGCCATTGCCAAAAGAGCGAAGATGGGCAGGGCGCTCACCCCTGCTGCAGCCAAGGCATACAAATCATTTTTGGATTCCCCATACAGGAAGGTTGTGTTTGACTTGAAGAACAAGGTCCATGTCCCTCGCCCATCTGCAGTGGGGGCTACTTCTCTGAAGGAATGTCTTGTGGCGGAGTTGAAAATGCACATCGACCCGGCACACTTGTCGCTTCGCTTTGGGGATGGCCCCTTTTATCATTTGATGGTTCGCCAGTTTGAGGTCACTGAGGCAAGGAACGGGAATGCTACCTAGGGGGTCGCCCGTTTCTTTCTAACAGGGCTTTTGGCCCTGCTTGAGACCAGTAGATAGAATATTTCTTTCAAGGTGTTTTTTGAATTGACCAGAATGTACTTTGTGGCAAAATCCAATCATATACCATCATATACCACTAACAATTCAGTTAAATTCCAGCTATGTGCTGTCATTGCTTTCGTTGAAACAAGTATCTGACAACATGGTTTGTACGGTGGTCCAAACAAATAGCATTTGGTTTTACAAAGATTTTCTGCTCCACCACAATCACTAGTGGCCATGCTCGCCGCTCTTGCCGCCGCCGCCGCAACCACCACCACCACCACCACCACCACCACCACCACATATAACCACAAGAAGGTTATACCATCAATACTGGTAATTCCTCTTGACATAGGTAAGGGTCCCAGAATGATATGAAACCAATATCAAAGCTACGGGATGATTTACATTTAGAGAGAGAGCCCCCTTTGTAATACCAACAGGGCTTTGTGGCCTGCTGTAAACAGGTAGATAGAATATTTCTTCAAGGGGTCTTGAACCGACCAGATTGTTCTTATTTTGGGGTAATCCAATCATATATCGCAAGCAAGTCAACCTTGTTCCCCTTATTAACCATTGCTTCCTTTTTAAACAGGTATTTGCCAACATGGATTGTACAGTACCAACACCATAGTGATAATCACAATCATACCCATAACCATCACATCACCATAACCATAACCACCATATCACCATAACTATAACCATAACCACCACCACCACCACCACCACCACCCATATAACCACAAGAAGATTATACCATCAATACTGGTAATTCCTCTTGACATAGGTAAGGGTCCCAGAATGATATGAAACCAATATCAAAGCTACGGGATGATTTACATTTAGAGAGAGAGCCCCCTTTGTAATACCAACAGGGCTTTGTGGCCTGCTGTAAACAGGTAGATAGAATATTTCTTCAAGGGGTCTTGAACCGACCAGATTGTTCTTATTTTGGGGTAATCCAATCATATATCGCAAGCAAGTCAACCTTGTTCCCCTTATTAACCATTGCTTCCTTTTTAAACAGGTATTTGCCAACATGGATTGTACAGTACCAACACCATAGTGATAATCACAATCATACCCATAACCATCACATCACGATAACCACAACCACCATATCACCATAACTATAGCCATAACCACCACCACCACCACCACCACCACCCATATAACCACAAGAAGATTATACCATCAATACTGGTAATTCCTCTTGACCTAGGTAAGGGTCCCAGAATGATATGAAACCAATATCAAAGCTACGGGATGAGTTACATTTAGAGAGAACCCCCTTTGTAATACCAACAGGGCTTTGTGGCCTGCTGTAAACAGGTAGATAGAATATTTCTTCAAGGGGCCTTGAACCGACCAGATTGTTCTTATTTTGGGGTAATCCAATCATATATCGCAAGCAAGTCAACCTTGTTCCCCTTATTAACCATTGCTTCCTTTTTAAACAGGTATTTGCCAACATGGATTGTACAGTACCAACACCATAGTGATAATCACAATCATACCCATAACCATCACATCACCATAACCATAACCACCATATCACCATAACTATAACCATAACCACCACCACCACCACCACCACCATATATAACCACAAGAAGATTAAACCATCAATACGGGTAATTCCTCTTGACATAGGTAAGGGTCCCAGAATGATATGAAACCAATATCAAAGCTACGGGATGAGTTACATTTAGAGAGAACCCCCTTTGTAATACCAACAGGGCTTTGTGGCCTGCTGCAAACAGGTAGATAGAATATTTCTTTCAAGGGGTCCCTGTTTGATCTGCAGCGCCAGGCGCCACCAGCAGAGGATGACTTGCCGCCAGTTGTTGCGGCTTGTGCAGGAACCGGGCTGGAGGAAGCTTCCGTTGATCCCGAAATACTGGAGGGTGAGGGTGATGTGACCATGGATTCTGACAATGAGGGTGAATTTCAAGAAGTTCATCCAGAGCTGGTCTCCGCTTTGGGAGCCGCTGGCCCCAAGGCATCATATGCAAGCAGTTCATGCCATGCACCTGGCGACAATGATTAGGTTGATGGCTCACACCACTTCCGCTAATCAAAAATATGATTGTTTCCTACAACAGTGCTGAAACCACTAGGCGCATTGCGCTGCAGCAAACTATATCATGTAATGTTTGTTGTTCATTAACATTTTATTTCGGTATCAAAAACTGCTGTTTGGGGTTGTAGCTGTCAGGTGCAGCCAAATCCGCTGAAACCCCCATGGGGAAACATGAAATTGCATGTATGTTGGCTCGGAAAAGGCCAAAATATGTGTTTCTCTGCATGCTGGCCAATTCAAGCAGCCTCCCTGTGGCACAGAGAAGATAGAATATGGGTACTAACCAAGCCTCAATTGATATTTCATGGAAAAAAACGTCATCTCATCCAATCCTCTCTCTGCTGCAGGAAGGTGAAATACACATCCAAGCCCGCACGACTTCTCACATGTTTTCAAGCCTTGCTTTTGGTGGTCAGCAAGCGGAATCAATTCAGATTAGAATTCGCAATGGCTGGGGGCCGACCACACGTAGTGGATGAATAGCTGTGTCTCCACTTCTCGTCCCATGAAACATGTAGCAAGCTCAGGCAAGGCACCTTCTGATGAGAAAAGTTATGTTCTATCTTTTGGTTTGATCAAGGAATCAATGTATCCACAGGCTTTATGTTGGTTGTCCGCAGGGTGCCTTGCAAATTCTGTATTATTTGCAGAATCCATATGTTTAGTAATTTGTTGGCGCTGTGTGTGGCCCTTCCCAGGAATATAGTTTGGTAAGTTCGTGTAACCAGGAAATGGAACATGCACAGAGCATTTCATTTGGGTTCCTTTGAAACCATTGTACCCTTGGTTCCCGGAGTAGATAGAATAATTTCTTCTCCCTAATACTAAACCCCCCCTCCCCCCCATCAATCAACACGGTAGGTAATTTTTATTATTAGGGTGGTATTTATTATTAGGGAACCCTTTTAATAAAATTAAACCCTTAATAATAAAAACTATTTTTTCCGATCTTAAAATCGATTAAATTTCTTTATTTAAGGCAATTAAAAAATTGCCGCAAATTGGATTTCAAAGCTTCCCCAAAATATTAATTTAAAACCCTTAATAATAAAAATTATTTTTTCCGATCTCAAAATCAATTCAATTTCTTTATATAACGCAATTAAAAAATTGCCAAAAATTGGATTTCAAAGCTTCCCCCTAGTATTAAATTAAAACCCTTAATAATAAAAACTATTTTTTCCGATCTCAAAATCAATTCAATTTCTTTATATAGCGCAATTAAAATATTGCCAAAAATTGGATTTCAAAGCTTCCCGCTAATATTAATTTAAAACCCTTAATAATAAAAATTATTTTTTCCGATCTCAAAATCAATTCAATTTCTTTATATAGCGCAATTAAAAAAATGCCAAAAATTGGATTTCGAAGCTTCCCCCTAGTATTAAATTAAAACCCTTAAAAATTAAAAAAAAAACGATCTCAAAATAAATTCAATTTCTTTATATAGCGCAATTAAAAAATTGCCAAAATTTGGATTTCGAAGCCTCCCCTTAATATTAGATTAAAACCCTTAAATAATTTTTAAAAAAAAACGATCTCAAAATCAATTCAATTTCTTTACATAACGCAATTAAAAAAATGCAAAAAATTGGATTTCGAAGCTTCCCCCTAATATTAAATTAAAATCATTAATAATAAAAATTATTTTTTCCGATCTCAAAATCAATTCAATTTCTTTATATAACGCAATTAAAAAATTGCCAAAAATTGGATTTCAAAGCTTCCCCCTAGTATTAAATTAAAACCCTTAATAATAAAAACTATTTTTTCCGATTTCAAAATCAATTCAATTTCTTTATATAACGCAATTAAAAAAATGCCAAAAATTGGATTTCGAAGCTTCCCCCTAATATAAAATTAAAACCCTTAATAATTTAAAAAAACGATCTCAAAATCAAGTCAATTTCTTTATATAGCGCAATTAAAAAATTGCCAAAATTTGGATTTCGAAGCCTCCCCTTAATATTAGATAAAAACCCTTAATAATTTAAAAAAAAAACGATCTCAAAATCAATTCAATTTCTTTATATAGCGCAATTAAAAAATTGCAAAAAATTGGATTTCGAAGCTTCCCGCTAATATTAATTTAAAACCCTTAATAATAAAAATTATTTTTTCCGATCTCAAAATCAATTCAATTTCTTTATATAGCGCAATTAAAATATTGCCAAAAATTGGATTTCAAAGCTTCCCGCTAATATTAATTTAAAACCCTTAATAATAAAAATTATTTTTTCCGATCTCAAAATCAATTCAATTTCTTTATATAGCGCAATTAAAATATTGCCAAAAATTGGATTTCAAAGCTTCCCCTAATATGAAATTAAAAGCCCTAATATAAAAAAAACTTTAAAAAAAAAGGACGGACCCTAATAATAAATACCCCTGGGTTGACTGGTTTTTAGTATTAGGGGGGGGAACCCACAAATGGTAGCTTTATTTTCAAATTGTTTTTAAAAGGGGATCAATTAAAAGTCAAATTGGCCAATGTGAAATTTTCTGAAATTGGAGATGGACCCTGGTTTCTAGTATTTGGGGTGGGTTTAGTAACCGGGAGAAGGAATTATGGTACATGTTCAAAACCTGTTATTCAAACCAGTTTTCAACTCCGTAGTTGTTGTTTCCCTGGGCCCATTGTCTCTTGAACAAGAGATCGCCAAGCCACTGGACAGTTTGGCTAAGGACACTTGGGGGGATGGAAAAGGAGTACTGAGGTGTTGGATTTACTCCATCAGCTGCAGAATCTTGCTGAGAATGTGACAACATTCAAGTGATCAAACAACGGGTTGGACAATGTAGAGGGTAATTGCTGATATTCCATCTTTGGTTCCATCCAGTGGTGTAGCCCCAATGATGAGATGGTGTTGTCAATAGGGCGGGCCTGTTTTTTGGAACCCTTTGCGATCACCTCACCAGGGATAAAATCCAATAAATTGGTTGCATATTAGTATAGCCTATGCACTTTGTGTCCAGGTTTTGAGCGAATGCATTGGGAGTTTGTTGGATTGTAGATATTCTATCTATTCTTTTCCACAAAGGTGTTGGGTGTCCTACTTTCCGTTGCCTGTTGTATCGTTTTAGATAGTGTTGCGAAAGAAGCGTTTGGCCCTTGCAGCATCTGTCTATAGTAGTGGTTGAGATGACCGATAGTTTGGATATTGCGTTTCCCTTAGTGATGGCGTACCTGGTGGTGTGCTTGGCCAGGGATATCTTGGCCATTGTGGGGTGGGTAGCATCGCCATACAAGCCCATGAACGTGAAGAAAGATGAGAAGCCTTCTATTCCGTGTGAATGTTCTTCAACGCCAAAAGTGAAGGAAATCTATGTTTTGCAAGGGCCAGGACACAAGGCCAGATGGAGGAAAACATATAGAAGGATAGTTGCAACAAACATGAAGCATGATCTGGGTCAAAGTAATCATCTGTTCAAGTCGGGTGAAAAAGATCATTTTTGAAAGTTCTTGAATAGCAAATTTGAACAAATAAATGTAGGTATTTTTTTTGACGCAGGGGACCAGGATCTCAATCTAGATGAAAAAGTTCATTTTTGAAAGCTTTTGAATCAGAATTTGATACAAAACCTGTTGTTTGGCAAATTAATTTACATTTTTCTGCAGGGTTGTATTTTGACACCGCAATGCCCTTGCCAGGTGCACTTCAACAAGAACTGTGTGGGAAAAGCATCAGAGATGCAGTGTATGGAAGTGTGCAAAAAATGCTTAGCAAGAGCCGGTAAGGATCAATGACAGAATGCATATCCTGTGGAAAAACAGTCTCAAGCTGCTGTGGGGTCTGCGCGTGGTGTTCACAATTCCCTCAAAATATTCTATCTACCTGGTTTGAAACAATATTCTATCTATTTGTTCGGTGTTGTTTGATTTTTGTATTTTTCAAAATTTCCCCAGACCCGTGTCCAAAACTGGCTAAAAATGACTTAACAAAGACGAAAAACGTGTAAAAACTGAGGGTTTTGAAAATATTCCAACTATTTTTTTTTTAAAAAAAAATCCTTTTTGAAAATTTCCGATATTCTATCTACTTCAGGATGACTATATATGTATACCATAATATAATCCAGTTGCCATTTACCGGAGTTTGATAAGTGGCTTACAACCTACTTAGCCTCTGGTAATCAAACATGGAAATAGAAACTTCCACATTTAGGCCACGGGGATTTCCCCTGCTTGACATGTTTGAGGACGCCGGAGAGTTTCCTAAATCATGCGGGGTATCCCATGATAAAATATCCATCATCAATGTCCTAAAATGGTAAAAATAGAGGGGCCGGGAGCTTAAAAAAAGCATCTATCATCAGTTACCTGTTGTTAAAGGGGTTTCTTCAAACCTCTCTATGTTCATCAACCAACCAATGGGAAAAGGACACCTTAGGATCCTGAAATTCCCATTGATAACCATCATTAACCATTATTAACCATCATTAACCAGTATTAACCATTATTAACCATCTATTAATATCCATCTGATGTTTGGAGTTTCCCTGAAAATCATCCAGCAAGGAACTCTCCTGGCGATAGTTGGAGGTATCCCTGCCCTTCGCCGCCAGCAAGGCGACAGTGCCCAGCAGTGCCGCGCAGTGCCGTTGAGCTGCACCCGCTGCACCCGTGCCCGCGGGGGACCAGTATGAGAGTTTCAGCTGGTACTGGCCCTGGCAAGGAGGAATTCCAGTTGGGAATGACATATTAAATACATCCTGAAATACATGGAATATCCCTCTTGAACATCCCAATATATCCCAATAATGGCTTATGTTTATTTATGTAGTGTGTAGCTGGGCTATAAATTGGGATATACCCCAGTATACAACTGGGTGTCCAACTGGGATACAATTTCATTTGGAGATTTTGGAGGAGTCCATCTGGCAATGATTCTAATGAGATGGGTGAATCTGAAAATTTAGGGGGAAAAAAACAAAAGTTCCTGATTATGTTTCACCATTAAAGCCACACATCAAGACGAGTTGGAAGCAGCACAACTATGTGGACTTTACCCTCTGGTAATTTAACAGTGTGCTATTGAAAATGGCCATAGAAATAGTTGATTTGCCCACTAAAGATGGTGATTGTCCATAGTTTTTTGTATGTTACACCAGAGGGTATATGATTAAATTCCCCGCAAACATGACTATTTACCCACCAAAATCGGGAATGATGGCTGAACACCCGGGTAGTCATAGCTCCTTCGCTCGCAGCTACAATCTCTGGCTTATGAAGGTGACACTTGGGGGTTCAGTTCCACAAATAAGTGGCTTATAAACCCCAAGTTGTAGGGGGCCCATATTCAGCATATTCCATCTTGTGGAGGTTATTACCATAGTATACCCATCAATAACCCCAGCTGCACCCCCAAGCAATATTGTTGGCTACATATCCCATTCATACATTCCATTCTGTTCCCATTGTATTCCCATATAACTGAGGTACAAGAAATGTATGTGGAATATCGCCAGTTATATGTGGGTCATGTCTTGTTTGCAAACCTATGATATCTCGGACCCAGTAGAACCTCTCTCTGATTCTGATGAAATCGAAGCTTAAGGCCCAGTCAGGTAACCCCTCCCAACCAATGGGATTTACAGCCCCAAAATAGGTCCAAGAGCTGGAAATCATATGAAATTCTGAGTAAATTATGACCATAAACCCATCCAAAAAAAGGGATGGCAAAGGCTCTCCCTTGGTTCCTACAAAGATTCCGGGTGGCTAAGCCAATTCCGACCATCTAGAATTGGCTGGTGGTTTCAACCCCTTTGATAAATATGAAAGTCAGTTGGGATGATGACATTCCGAACAATAAAAGCCATGTTCCAAACCACCAACCAGGCATTGAATCCAAATTCCATATGTTTTTTTGAACCATCCCAGGTATTGGGCTACCCCCATGGCCTTTTTGGAAACCTTTGGAAAATTGGAAACTGGAAAGCTCCAAATGGAGCGGATACTGATCAGTGGAGCGTGGAGCGGGGTCCCATAGACCCACAGGCATCCATCACCTTGGGCAGGCTTGGTAGCAGCATGACCAGCCGCTGCCCTGCGAAGTGCGCGCTGGCCCAGGCTTTCTCCTCCAGGAGGATCTAGGTAAAATCATCCCGGGTGCCCTAATTAATTTGGGTAAATTATAATAATTCACTAACCTGAATTAAGGCCATTTGGGGATGATTTCCCCTTACTAAGCATGATTCCAGTGAGGTCGCAGTGAGGTCGTTATAATTTACCCAGAAACATGGTTTAGCAGGGCATAAAATAGGATAGAATCAATTAAAACCACATATTTGGGACCATGGAATGGGGCTGGGAATATTAGGGGAATGGGACTAGGGAGGTTGTAACAGTTGCAGGGGTGCAAGCAACACTTTTCTAAGATCTTGATGACATAAATCACTCAACCAACAAACATGACGTGTTTAAGCACCACCCTCTGGTAATTTACTGTAACATATTGAAAATATCCCATTTATAGTTAATTTACCTATTCAAAATGGTGATGTTCTATTTTTTAGAAAAGATAAATTTTCATAGCTACGTTAGTTTGCCAGCAGCCCCAATTTGTTGGGTGGTAGTCTATACTTATATTCCCCGTATATTTTCAAAGATTGACGGTTAATGTACCATTAATATTCCATTCTGCACCTCCTGCCCATCGCGGAAGAGCACCAGTTCCAAAGGCAACCAGGGAGCCTGGTCGAAGATTCACCGTTGCGCTGTAACCATGCCGGCTTGGGGCTTCATCTCAGCTAAGAAATAGTTTAAGAGTGTATGTGTATATCTCTATTATATATATATATTTATTATATATTATATTATATCATATTATATTATATTATACTATATTATATTATATTATATTATGTTTTGTTATATTATATTATATTTTATTTAATATAATATAATATAGTATAATATAATATATTATATTATATTATTATATATATAGTTTAATAGAGCAAGTAGGGTATATCCCATGTATATCTGGGTTATAATGTGGTTATTGCCTACTTCGTAGCTGGGATAATTGGGTCATAGTCTGTCTGGGCTCTTGAACTCATGGATGATCATGGATGTCACAAATTCCCGCTGGTTGATAACTACAGGATGGGGCCCCCCCACTTATAAATTTGTTTATAACCCCATCTGAATATAGTTATAAGTATCATACACTATTGTTATTATAGTTATAAACCAACTTAGCTAACTATGGGGCCCCACCCTGTAGAGGGGTCCCCCATTTTTCTGAACCAGTCGTTAAGTGACGTTTATGTGATGAGACATGGTGCCTCCAGCCACGGCTTGAAATCATTACTTGGATGCGCATCCACGATAGGATCCGTGGTAACCACACGAATCCAGTTATGCCCAGTGAATCAGTTATGGGGTATATATAATTAATATATTACTGGGGTATATCATACTGAGTCATATACCCAATTTTTTTCGGTGAATCAGTAATGATATACCCCAGTTATACCCCAGTAATATATAACCCAGTGTATTTATACCGTATACCCCAGTTATATGGAGGTTTCCCAAAATGGTACCCTAAATCATCCAAGTCATCAGATCATTTTTAGCATTGAAACCCAGAGTGACTTGGGGATCCCCCACTTTAAGACACCACCCATATGTTGATTATGATCCCCCTGGCTACAAGGTGGTGCCCCCCCCCAGTTACAAGTTGGTTTATTAAACCCCATGAATACTATATAGATCCATCTTGAATAAACCATAGTTATTAGAGTTGTTGTAATAATAATTCATAAGTAATATAACTATAACATACTATAACTATTAGACCATAGTTATTATCATAATCACTTACCATAGTTATAAATTAGAAAATACTTCACTAAGCTGAACAGTTCGGCTTCTTCGTAGGGGAGAATTCTCCGAATCCGATTCCCATCAAATCTAGGTTGCCAACTTAGAATTTACCCAGAGTTCTGTTCACCAACTTAGAATTTCATTTATAAACCACCATAGTTGTATAGTTACACATCCACCATAGTTACATAGTTAATTCACCAAGTGATGTGCGTCAACTTAGTGAAACGATGGTGAAACCTTAGTGAAACCATAGTGAAAGCATAGCGAAACCATAGTGAAACCAAGTTGTATCCACCATAAACCGTAGCTAAACCATCATTTGTTGCCACACCAAACGCAAGTAAAGTCCCCCATTCAGAGCGCGCCTCGATCGCCAGTTCCACTCGCAGTTCAGCAGACACGCTCAGCACCTTCAAAGGCACCGTGGCTGCCTGGCGCCACACAGAAAACGAGAGAGCCGTGCCACAGCTAAGCCGTGGAAAAAGATGCGGAAAAACTGGCAAGAAATGGCTATAAAAACAAGAAAAACACCTAATAATTGGCTGGTTGGTGGTTGACCTACCCCTCTGAAAAATCTGAGTTCGTCAGTTGGGATGATGACATTTCCAATCTATGGAAAGTCATAAAATTCCATTGTTCCAAGCCACCAACCAGTTGGGATATGATGCGGGATATTTTCGAGCAAGCGATTTTTTGGACCTGTTTGGCCTGATGGGAGATCTCCCGAAAATGATGATTCACCGTTGGATTTTGCGGTGCCCAATTATGAGACGAAGCCATGTCTATGGCAACCACAAAATAGATGGAACGCTTGTAACAGGTGGAACAGTTGGAAACCCGTTTCATGAGCAACAAGAAATTAGAAATGCCAAAAATGGAAACAACTGGAATTGATGATGTATCGTCTCGAACATCCTAGCAAACAATGTTTGATTCGTGGATAAAACTGGATTTTTCGTTTTGCTGCAACTTTTGCATTGGACCCCAATTGGAATAAATTCTTGGAGGAATATGTCGTTACTTGGGGTCCAATCCCTTGAGGAACTGAAACTCATAGAAGTAGATTTGATGGTGTTTCATCATTGAGGGCGACAACAAATGGCAGGAACACAACCTTTGAGCAGCCCAAATTCTCAAGGACAAGGAACAGGCGTCGAAATCATGCAACAGGTTGGTAGTTACATGATGTTACATGGTGATTCCAAGTACTTTTTCATGGTTTAACATAGCCTAACATAGCCTAACATCACATGTTATACCATTATTGAATAGGTTTAATTGCATTTAACATAGGTTTAATACACTTGTTTTTGCATATGGTATTTAACATTGTTGAAGTACTTAAGTTTAAGCCACTCATCAGCCACTCATCATCCCCACAGCGAACTGGGAATCTTTTCCCATGGTGGTTGGTTATCCACAGCAAAGAAAGAGCTGGAGATCAAATTGCCATTGTGAATATGATACTGGTTGGTTATAATAGTGGTTATAATACCAATAATAGTGATTATGAATATGGTTATTTGATGGCATTATATATATAACATAACTGGTTGGTGGTTGAGCCCTACCCCTCTGAAAAATCTGAGTTCGTCAGTTGGGATTATGACATCCCCAATATATGGTAAGTCATAAAATTCCATTGTTCCAAACCACCAACCAGGATAAGAAGCTAATCCCCTGACCGACAGTAGTATTTAATTACCAGTTGGTTTATCCATGTATATCCACGTCGTTTAGTTGTAGATATATCATTATCCATTCATATCCCCGTTCCTATTGTTCGCGGAACATATACATCAATAATTTTATTTTCATGGTGAAACCATCATCAACTCGCCATAATGTCTGGTTTAACCTGTTTCAGTATCTCCTCCCGTCTTCCCCCTGATTGTTCGTAAATATTCCCATTCCCATGTTTGGTCAATATAGCCCCATTTGGGTTTGTCTGAAAATAAGTCTACAGTCTACCCCTAAATTCGAAGCTGTTTCATCATTCTCCCCATCAAAATTGCCATTTTTGGAACTTCCCCATTTCAGACAACGCCTTTGCTGTCGCCTCATCTGCATATTCCCGCGGCATCCCCACCGGTACCTAAGTTTCCACCTTCGCCGCCACCCCCCCCCGGGGCATCCTGCGACACGTCCGGAGACAGCTGCGCGGCCACGCGTTTCAGCTGGGCACTGTCGCTGGACTGTTCCAGCAAGGCACTCTCGAGGCTGTTACCCAAGGCCTCGCCGTGGCGAATGGATTTTTCAAAAATGGATTGAGGGGGGTAGGGTACCCAGTGACTTGAGAATGGATCAAAGTTGGAGAAACTACCCTCTGGTAATGGAAAATCACCATTTTTAATGGGTAAATCGGTAAATCCACTATAAATCACCATTTTCAAGTTCGCAAACTGTCTGTTTACCAGAGGGTTTTGGGTCATCATGGAATTTTAGGTTGGACAAAAATCAACAGGTTAGGGCCTCCCCAATGACTTGGTTGAAATAATCCCAGCGGATTTCCCAGCACTTTCCAGGTGCTTCATCTTGATGACGCGACAACCGGGCAAAATCAATCCTCGATGTATTTTTAAGTGCGCCTATCCCTGTTACACTTGGCTATAACCCTATGTAATTCCTTACCACGGGCAATCTTAGATATATTATATAATATATATATATATATAGAGAGAGAGATTTTTTGTTTTGAGCCGGTTCATATATCCCAATTTACGGCATCACCAGTTGGGTTACCACCAACCTTTTAAATGCTTAGCACCCCATCTTTCCTTGATTAAGCCATTTTTAACCATCATGTTGGATGGTTAAATCATGTGAGCCTCTGGTAAACTAACAGTTCGCTATGGAGAATCACCATTTTTTTTAATGTAAGTCAACTCTATGGTGATCTTAAATAGTAATTATCAGAGTGGAGAATCACCAGTTCTTAAATCACTATATTGGTTGGTGGTATACCTACCATCTTGAAAAATGATGGAGTTCGTCAATGGGAAGGGTTATCCCAGATATGAAATGGAAAATAAAACATGTTCCAAACCACCAACCAAATATATATATATATATATGGGTATGGGTCAATACCTATAGATACATTTGTAGTGGGATGAACATCCATTTACCAGCTATTTTGATGTTCACCAGGGGTACAAGGTTTCGACACACTGCCATATATAAATGGCTATCTTCCATCGCTGTGTTATGACCAAAGAGTAAATCTCTAAAGAGATGACCGTCTCAGAATTCCCACCTGGAGGCTTCCAAGTGCCGCTACTCGGCTGCAGTCCTCAACCGCGGACTCTTGCCTCGGATCCGGTCGAGCTTTCGCACAGAATTTTGGGACCCGGTGTCCTCAAAGGTGGCAAAATCATGGGAAAAACATGGGAAAATATTGGAACATCCACTACATATACTAAATAAATAAGTAAATAAATAAATAAATGGAATGGAATGGAATGGAATGGAATGGAATGGAATGGGGTGCAACTCACCAGCAATCTGATTTTGTCCGGGTGGAAAATCATCCCACGAATCGTAGATTTTGGTCAGAAAAGACTGGTGATCGCCTTTTTCCCCCGAACAACCAGTGGGTTAGTCCAGGTTTACTACAGGGTGGGACCCCAGTTCGTTAGCTAAGTTGGTTTGTAATGGTTTATAACTATAATAACAATAGTGTATGATACTTATAACTTATATAACTATATTTAGATGGGGTTACAAACAAATTTATGATAATTTAGGGCCCCATCCTGTAGCCAGTTACCAAGCGGACTGTGAGGTGATCCTCCAACTCTGGACCGGTCACGAATCTGGACCCATGGAGCCGTTGGACAAATGTCATCACTGCAATGGGATAGAGACACTCCAACTTTCATTGGGCCTTTTAACAGCAACTAAATGTCCCTTAAACTTTTTCGGGCAGGATGAGGAAGGAATGACCTTCCGAACTTATCCCAACTTAGCCTATCCCCAAGATCTGGGGGGTGTTTCACCCCCGGTACCCTGGTGTTTTTCAAACACCACACCAAAAATCTAGTCCGTAGTGTCCATCTGTCAAGTGTAACTCTTGATTCGATGAATTTCCGGGAATCAAACATGGCAACATGGGGGAGTTTCCCTTGTCACGTTGATTCCCGAAGGGTAAATCCATATAAATCCCTATTACTTATGGGCATCCCCATATATTATCCTAACCATGATATGTCAACCCCATCTGCTTCGACTGCCCAGCGGACTCTCCAGCTCAAAGCTGTTTTTTACAAGGCGGCAGCGTATGTCTTCTCGCTTCGATGAAGACATCCAAAGGATTCGTTGGTGAAACGGGTACGGGTGAAAATTGTGATATTTATTATATATTCAAATGGACCCGACCTTGCTTATCATTCTTTATATGAAACGATAATTGATCATTTCGACCCGTACGGTTCGCAAGATACCAGAGATACCAGAGGAAGTAAGAAACCATCTGATTTTCAGGGCTCCCAACACCCAGGTTTTTTAATGGGGAAAAACTGCCAAAATGAAGAGGTAAAATGACCTCCACCCCTCTTGAGGCCCCCCGGCTAAATTATAGTAATTCATTATTAACAATGATTCCAGTGACGTCGCAGTGAGGTCGTTATCATGTATCCAGTTTGATATGTGTGATCCATCCCCTCCTAGGCAGGAGTGCACTTCCAAATCCAGGCGGTGTGATTCGATGGGCAGCTGTTGCAATCGTAGCCACCGAAGTAGATGGTGTTTGGCTCCTCTCAGCGGCCCAGAATGAAACTCTAAGAAATACCCCGCCCCTTACGGTGCACGCGCTCCTTTTGGTTTTATCACCATGTTTCTCGCTTGAAACTCTGATGTTTGTTCTTGCATATCTCATGTTCTTGTTCGTTTGACTTCAATGTTTCTTGTTTAAAACCCATTTGTTGGTTCATATCAAACTTTGCTTCGGTTTGATATGAGTTCGTCTGAAAATAGAGCGCTCCATTCCATCCTCCGCTTGATTATCATTTGCTCCTTATGAATGGCCATATTTGATATATTTGGATTACAAAAACCATTTTCAGGCACACTTGTATCATCCCATATCCATTCTTCCTTGGTATAAATCATTTGTAAATCCCTATTGTTGATTGTTAAATCCCTATAAATCCCTATTGTTGATAGTTAAATCCCTATAAATCCCTATTGTTGATAGTTAAATCCCTATAAATCCCTATTGTTGATTGTTAAATCCCTATAAATCCCTATTGTTGATAGTTAATCCCTATAAATCCCTATTGTTGGTCTATAAATCCCTATTGTTGATAGTTAAACCCCTATAAATCCCTATTGTTGATAGTTAAATCCCTATAAATCCCTATTGTTGATAGTTAAATCCCTATAAATCCCTATTGTTGATAGTTAAATCCCTATAAATCCCCATTGTTGATAGTTAAATCCCTATAAATCCCCATTGTTGATAGTTAAATCCCTATAAATCCCTATTGTTGATAGTTAAATCCCTATAAATCCCTATTGTTGATAGTTAAATCCCTATAAATCCCCATTGTTGATAGTTAAATCCCTATAAATCCCCATTGTTGATAGTTAAATCCCTATAAATCCCCATTGTTGATAGTTAAATCCCTATAAATCCCTATTGTTGATAGTTAAATCCCTATAAATCCCTATTGTTGATAGTTAAATCCCTATAAATCCCCATTGTTGATAGTTAAATCCCTTTAAATCCCCATTGTTGATTGTTAAATCCCTATGTTCGGTCGAATCCCAATGGTTCACACATGTTTTCCCCATTAGATCCAAGTGAAATGTCACGCTTTCTGTCGCGACAAGATTTCAGCTCTTTCAGGACATGACCATCCATTGTGTTCAATAGTAGTGGGAGCCACAAGTAATGGATTTTTTCATAGTAGTGGTAACCTCTGATAAGTGATAACAATGGATTTGAAAAGCTATTACAATCCATTGTTTTCTTCAAAGTGGTTACCCTCCAGTAATTTAACATAGCTATGGAAAATCATCATGCTATTAATAGGTAAATCAACTATAATTACTTCAATGGGCCATTTTCAATGGCCAATTAAACATCGGAAAATCCTCATGGTCGGTACGTCATCCATAAATGGATCTAAACGGACCATTTTCAACATCTTCCGTCAAGGCTACATGATGGATTTATAATGAACACATGAACATGAGGGTGACCTGATGAAACAATAAACAGATAAATTGGATTGATGAACATGGATTTTTACACCCGCCATGGATTTATAAATTCCCATGATGTTTGGATATTTCCCATGATGTTTGATATGTTTGGATTCCCATGGGTAAATCATACTTCACCAACCTGATATGTTCGGCTTTGGAATTCCCTCCGATTCTCATGATTCATTCCAGGTTCGCTCGCAATCGCGACATCACCTAGATGACGGGAATGACCTGCCATCGACAGCTATATCTGCTATATCCCACTATCTCACCAATATATTGCCATTCAATCCTACCAATATAACATTGTGTAACTATATTGTTGGCCAAAAAAAACACATGATGTTTGGATTCCCTCCGTGTCAGTGATGATCATATCCAGCATCTTCCCACCGCGCCGCACCTCCGGGAAGGGCGAATTTTCAAAGCATCGCACGGCCGTTAAGGCCTGACCAGTTCCCCCGACGCCACCCACTTCGATGACGAAGTAGTCGTGGCCGTTGACGCGGCAGGCGATGCCCGCGCCGGCCCAATAGGCGTGCCTTGGACGGCGTCCGAGGTCGATAGCCACGACTTTTGACCGGCAAAAATGGGTAATTTCGTGGAATTTATAGATTTTTGTAGTGGGATTAAGTTGGTTTGGTTCATGAATTTTATTGAACTCTTGGGTTCTTAAATGGCAGATATATCGAACTAGCGCATATGGGGTTGTAAACCCAAGAGACCTGCTTCGAAGGACGTGGTTCGTGGTTCAGTGCAGTCCAAGACATTGGATGGACCGAAGGGATCATTCAAAATCCCACTTACTACCCTCTGGTTATGTCAAAATAGCTATTGAAAATGGCCGTAGAAATAGTGGATTTCCCCATTAAAAATGGTGATTTTCCATAGTAAACCGTTAGTTTACCAGAGGGTAATTGCTGGTTGGTGGTTTTAACCATTTTGAAAAATATGAGTCAATGGGAAGGATGACATTCCAGATACGAAATGGAAAATAATCCAAATGTTTGAAACCACCAACCAGTGATATGAACTATCAATTATAACATTAACATGTATGAAATGGAAAATAAAACATGTTCCAAACCACCCACCAGATTGGATTATCATCCAGATAGATCCCATATTTCATCCCATAAGTGGGGATATTCCATGTATAACTGAGGGCTATACCCGGTAAGGTAAACATACAAACACTTTGCAAACTTGAAAATGGCCCAGTCGAAATTGTGGATTTAGCCATTAATAGCATGGTGGATCTTTCCATAGTTTTTCGTTAACGTTTACCAGAGGGTTTAAAGTCAAGATGTGTTGCTAATCCCATCTCATCCCAGCTCCAGATTCTGAGAAAATCCCTGTTCCTGATCAAATCCGTATACTTTTCATAGGGTTAAATAGTTAAACCCCCAGTATGCTCAAGCCATTTTCAACCTACCACCAACAATTCTCCATGGCAAGGTATATGCTGAAATTCTGATTGCCAGATGAAGTCCGAACAAAATCCCTATCAGACCCGACGGTTTCCGCAACGAGTTGCTTCTCTTTAACTTGATCCAATTGCAGCTTCTTGAGGCCTCCACCGTAAACGACGATCTCAAAGCCAATGAGATTGCACTGGTGCTTTCCGACCTGGGAAAAAAAAACACAGATCTTGGTCAAAGGAATTCAAAGGACCTTAAATAACTTGCGTTGTATCATGTATCTCTACTTAAGCATAGTAACTTTAAGATTCTATATGATAAGTTGGTTTATAAACCGTTGGTTTATAAAACATAGTAATAAGTTGGTTTATATAATTTCATAGATAACCATAGGAATCGATATCTCTAGCATAAATCCAAACGTGAAATTGGAGTTGTCTAGAATCCAAACCAGCTCGAAAACCACTGAGTTTTTACGGGCCCGTAGCCTTTGATCACAATTTAAGGATCTAAACCATCAATGCATTGGGAGTAAATGGATGGTTTATGAATAGTTTCAAGTGGATTAGTTTCAACTGGATCCATCCTAAGTTGATTTATATAAGTTATCTAATCCGCTTGAAACTATGATTACCATCTGGTTATTTAACATAGCTATGGAAAATGGCCCGTTTATAGATGATTTTCCCAGTAAAACCTCCATTTACAATGGATTTTCCATAGCTATGATAAATAACCAGATGGTTTAAAAAAAAAACGACCATTTACTCCCTATCTAGAGAATTGTTGATGATGAATCAGTGGATGACATGAAAAGTGTCCGACTCCAAGCCATATATTTGACCCATCCCTGACTTTTTCACAAAAACCCCTATATATACAGATATTTGGCCCATCCCTATATATATGGCAATATATATGGCCAATATATAGGGATGGGTCAAATATATATCCCCTATCAAATATATATGGCCTAACATTTCCCTTTTTCTTGGGGCCTTTTTTTCGAGTTTTCCCAAGGAATTTTCCCATGGCCCCCACCTGACTGGGCAACATGTTGTTGTAGGCCGCCAAGGTATACGCCAGATCTTCGGTCTGCAGATATTTTTTGGCCTCCAATAATGTCCGTTTGGTAAAAATAGGTTTGGGCCGGGAACTGGTTCATCCCATCTATCATCATTTACCTGTTTTTCAGGCTTTTCTGAAGAAACCCCTCTATGAAAATCAACCAACCAATGGGAATTTGGGACATCGGCCTCCGCGTTGATGGAGGTCTCCTCTATCGGCTGCATCAATTTTTTTTCGCCGTCGAAATCGCAACGGAGGATCCAGGACTTGGAGGTGCTGTTGGGGTTCCAGCAAAACCTGTGTCGAAACGTGACCAACAAATAACTACCCTCTGGCAAACTAACATAGCTATTGAAAATGGCCATTTATAGTTGATTTACCCATTGAAAATGGTGATTTTCAATAGTTATGTTAAATTACCAAAGGGTATGTGTAAAAACAACAAGTCATGCCAAAACAATTTTGAGAATAAGTACGTGTGTGTGTGTACCACCAAACCTTTGTAAATGTTTCCCTCCGGTAAACTAACATAACTATGGAAAATCACAATTTTTAAGGGGAAAACTCACTATAAATGGCCATTTTTAATAGCTATGTTAAATTACCGGAGGGTACAGGGGTTTCTTTCCATGTTTTTGCTGGTTAAATCCACCATTTACGGCTGAAACCAACGAGAAACAAGATGGATGAGCCAGTCCCCGTAGGACTCTGCACCGCGGTCATGCCGCGAATGCCGCCCACCTTCGTCAGAACGACACGACCGTGGTGTCAGGTCGGGAAATGGTGTCAGTCCCTTTGTAACTGGGGATACAAGGTTTGGCTTCGGACTTGGCCAAAGATTGTATAACTATATAGGCATGTAAATAAATAAATATATATATATAATAATGTGTATAGATGAATATATATATATACATACAAAAATAAATATATATATATATATAAATATGTATAAATATAAATATATATATATGCACATGTTACTACTATATATATAATTGTTATTGTTATTTTTTTAAAAAAATGTTATTATTAATATTACTATGTTGATACATTATATAATACTTCATTTTAAATATTTTACATTATATATTACATATTACATATTATAAATTATGCATTTTATATTGTTTACTTTATAGTAAATATTATATATTATATATTATACATTTTATATTTTATATCTGTTATTATATAGTATATATTATTATAATATAAATCATATAATATATATTATATATTTTATATTTTATATGTTATATTTATTGTTTATGTTATATAGTATATACTAAATCTTAAATATTATATGTTGTATATTCTATATTAAAATATATTATATTATATACATATTTGTCTTGCCTCTTCTTTTCATCCCAGCCTGCTTTCTGTTGACCGCTGCTGGCACAAAGAGCTACACCACCGAAAGTGATCACTTGACCAGAACTGGTCTGTAGTGCAGACGCACCTTTCCTCAGCCATGGACAGCTGTGGGTAAGGACCAGTGGTGAGCAAGGACGACGTCCTTCCCCACCTTGTTTTCACAGCCTTTGTTTGGAGTGCTGCCGAAATGCACGGCTACAGCACTGAAAGTGCTTTTGTACAGGGCGTCTGGAATTCCACATCAAGAAATCTCAAGCAAAACCGACTGGGACTTTTCGCGCGCTGCCGCGTATCGCTCAACAGCTGGTAAAACCGACTGGGACTTTTCGCGCGCTGCCACGTATCGCTCACTCCAAAAGTGTTCACACCAAACACACACACATCGCATCTGGAAGCGTCGGGCTGAGTGAGATGCCTTCCTGTAAGGATGCGTGCGCTACGTGCAAAGATTGGTATGCTTGACCGAAACTGGTCGCGCCGCCGTGCGTAGAGAGCGCTACAGGAATGTGATAAGTCACCTGCATGCAGCACAAGGTGGTGCAAGTCGCAAAGAAGCTTGCAGGAAACGCTGGCAAACAAAGGCTGATGCGACGTAGCAACATCACCACAAGATTTCAGGCCATGCTTCGGGCCAGCGGTGCTCCAAAAGCAAGCTCACAACCAGAGGGTTGTCGGATGTGTCCACAGCCAGACACAACGGGGTTTCGTCCAGGAAGTTCCGGGCTGAAGGTGAAGCACTTGCATGCAGCAAGTGCTGCAGGCATGCAGAATCCGCATAAGTCGCTGCGTCGTGCAAGGCTGCGGCCACGACACGAGGCATGTTTTTTGCGGCGAGCCAAATGGAGAGAGGAAGCCA